TTGCATTCGCGACAAGATTGAAAACTACAGGCCCAAATCGGCCACTACCGTCAATATTTGCGCCATCTCCAAGCCTGCATTAAGCCAGGACATCTCAGTATCAAGAGACGGCTCTTGGGGCATCCAGCTCCAAGCCAACTTCAGCCCAAGCTCAGCCCAAGCTCAATAGCATTAGCCAACCAGCCAGCAAAGGCTTCAGGCTCGCACCCCCCTCTTTGTTTCTTTGCACACTCCTAGGAGCCAATATCTAGGACACAGCAAGGACAGTGGATATTAGAGAATTCAGGACATTCAAATGAAGAAACAGATTGGAACAGCATCAGAATCAGAATAAGCGCCATCAGCGGACCGTTGACAGTTGAGAACCTTCTCTTGACTACATATTACCTTGCCTCTTTTAAGGTGAAAGAAAGGCACTCAGCATTCAGCCTAGCTCGACCATTTTCTAGACTACAGCTGCCACCGTTGTCGCTATTTCGCAGTCCTGACGAATATTACCTTACGTATACTACAGGCATCATACCAAACTACCTACTGTATAGTAAGTTGAGTCACTGTTCTTCTACTATCAATATCAAGTTTTAATTTATCAATACTTTAGCAGATATTCAGTGAGGAACACTCTGCTTCCTCCTCCTTGGCAGTCTAGCAGTGTCGCTCATCTCTGACTGCCCCTCCCACCCCCCAGGCCGTGCTAATTTCTGACCCGAGCCCAAGCCTGACCCTCCACTCCTCTTCTCAAATCCCCCTCCCTCTTACGCCCAATCCTAATCCGCCTCCATCGAAAACCCCCCTCGTCCTGTTCGTCCTGCCCCCGTCCTGCTGCGGCGCCTCGCTCGCTCGCCCGCCGCCCTCAGTGCCCGTGTCCGCCTGTGCTTTTGTGCCTGCCTCTACCTCTTTTGACCTCTTGGGTCCTACTCCTTAACCTTTTCTCCCCTTTGCTCCTCTTCCTCTTTTCCATATGAGTTCTATGAACTCCCGCTTCAAGAGCCTTGGCTTCGGAAAACGCAAATCCGCTGCAAGCATACAGACCTCGGAAGGTCTGACACCGAGCCCAACCCCTCCTCCAGGCCAAATACCGCAGTTTCCTTCTCAGCAACAGCTAAACGCTCCCTCAATCGCTCCGTCGTCTTCAACGACGAGTCTTCCGATGAATCACCCGGGCCCCGGCAACCGTCCGCCTAGCTATACCGCAAACTTCCCTCCCGGCCAAGCTCCTCTTGGTCGTACTAGTCCTCTCGCTCAACAGCCTAATCGCACTCCTCCAACTCAAATGGTCGGCGGTCCTCCCCCGATCAACACCGGAGCCCCAATGGGCTACCCTCCCGGAATGGCGCCCATGGGTCAAGGTCCTCCTCCGATGGGAGGTCCTCCTGGTTTCGGACAACAGCCGCCTCCTCCCCAAGGATATCCTCCTCCCGGTCCCCCAGGTGCTCCTATGAACCAGCAGTTCCAACGACCAGGCCCTGCTGCCGAAGTTGAGGGCGCTAGCAAGAGCAAGGCTCAGCTGATTGTCGGAATTGATTTTGTAGGCATTCGCTGAGCTACCGGCACAGCAAACATTGTGGCTAACTATCAATCAACAGGGTACCACTTTCTCAGGTGTTGCTTTTGCTTTCGCGACCAACAACGAGGCCAAGGAAGATATCATTACTGAGTGGCCAGGTGCTGGTTCTTACACTAAGCAGAAGGTATGTCAGCATGGAACAAGATATGAACCCAGGAAGCCAGCAAGCTAACAACTGTCCTCGACAGATTCCAACAGTGCTTTATTACGATCAATACCAGAAAGTGGTAGGATGGGGACCCGATATTGCCGATGCCCTTGCTCCTACCGGCTATCCCAAGCCTGGTGTGCAAAAGGTCGAATGGTTTAAGCTGCAGCTGATGTTGAGCGGCAACACATACATTGACCCTATCAACCTCCCTCCTCTGCCTCCAGGAAAGTCAGAGATCGATGTCGCCGCCGATTACCTTTTTAAGCTTCGACAGGCTATGCGGTCAGCTCTGCAAAAGGCGTTGGGTGAAGTCTTTAACCGAGAAGAACGCAACATCCGATATTATCTGACCGTCCCTGCTATTTGGAACGATGCTGGAAAGGCCGCCACTCGAGCTGCTGCCATCCAGGCCGGTTTTCTTCGCGATGAGAACGACAACCGTCTGACTCTCGTCTCAGAACCCGAGGCTGCCGCTTTGTTCTGTTCCAAGACCGGTCTTCTGGACCTCAAGGTCCACGACGCTGTCCTGATTGTCGATTGTGGTGGTGGTACCGTCGATTTGATTGCTTACGAGGTTGAGGAGGAGAACCCTTTCACTGTTGCCGAGTGTACGGCTGGTTCTGGTGACTCTTGCGGTTCAACAGCTCTGAACCGTAACTTCAGCAACATTCTCCGCACCAAGATTCGAAAGATGAAGCTTCCCGATGGCTCCAAGACCGCTGGTCGAGTCTACGCCAAGTGTATCATGGATTTCGAGAACCGAATCAAGGCTGATTTCCGAAACAACGGTCAGAAGTGGGCTGTCGATGTTGGTATCGAGGCTGAGTTCCCTGAGGCTGGTATTGAGGAGGGTTACATGACTTTCACCAACGAGGAGATTCTTCAGTGCTTCGAGCCCGTTGTCAACCGTATCCTGGAGCTCGTGAGAAACCAGATCATTGCCATCCAAGCCCAGAACCGCACTCTCCAGAACATCCTGGTTGTCGGTGGTTTCGGTGCCTCCGAATACCTTTTCCAGCAGATCAAGCTCCACGTCCCTCCTCAGTTCCAGTCCAAGGTTGTCCGACCCATGGACTCTGTGGCTGCCATTGTCAAGGGTGCTGTTACTGCTGGTATCACAGAGCGAATTGTTACTCATCGTGTTGCTCGACGACATTACCTCATGGCGACTCTTCAGCCCTTTAAGGAAGGCTACCACCCTGAGGCTTATCGTGTGCCGTCTCTCGATGGAAAGGACCGCTGTAAGTTCACCCGCCAGATCTTCGTCCAGAAGGGTCAAAAGGTCAAGAACGGCGAACCTGTTAAGGTCTCTTTCTTCCGACAAGTCGCTCCAGGTGCCACCCTCATGTACGAGGATGTGTTATATGCCTGTGACGATGATGTCTGCCCTGAATACACCAAGGATCCCCGTAAGTTGAACATCCATTCCGAGCTCCACAACATATAACTAACATGGCCCAGGTATCAAGGAAGTTGTTACTCTTACCTCGGACCTTTCTCGCAAGAACTTGGAGAAGGACTTTGAACGAATGGATACCCCTCAAGGCACATTTTACCGCGTTTACTTCGATATTTACCTGACCCTTGACGGCTCGGAATTCAGCGCCGAACTTGTCTGTCAAGGCGAAGTCATGGGCCGCTGTCGCTCTCGCTTCAGGTAAACAAGTTCAAAACGGAGGAGGAAGCGAAAGTCGATAAGTTTAAGGTTCACTTTGAAACCGCATGATACCTAGGAAGGCACAGACCCGAGATGACGCCAAGTCAGCGCGCAAATGGGATTATTTTTATAGCTGCCTCAAGAGCACGCGAAGAGGATGTGCGACATGTCGAGCGAAAGATGTTGGATTTAGTATTGAGAAGTTAAACGGACGGGGCATGGTGAATAGACCAGCGTGTCTGACTGAGCCTGGTGCTACGTTCTGGGATAAAGAGGGGAAGAGTTACATGCATGAACGACATGATGATTACTCGTACATAGACAATGAATTTTCAGTTGAATGGACACAGGCTATAGAGTCATATAAAAGCGACCATCCCGCTCTCTCAAGTCTCGTGCTGAAGTTGCTCACAGTTTCTGATCATAGGGGTTATAGATCGCAAGAAGGCTACGATAAAGCACATACGACCAAAGCTCGTAGAGAATACGGGGTCCCGTCCGCTCCCCCATCGTCAAGCTGCGAAGCGCCGGATTAGTAGTTGGGTCGGTGACGACCAGCGAATCCCCGGTGTTGTATGTTTTTTGGTGCCTATAATTTTTGACGATATTCAGATTGCCCAATGCGGTAATTGGTTAGGTGGGGCAGAGTCTCTTACACCGCACACGTGGGATAAGGTTATCGTTACCGTTGCAAGGCTGAGATTGACTCACAATGACATTCAAAGAAAGGGAGTTAGAATATTTGAAAAACGGTTTATTATAGCTTATCTGAATATAGTTTGGTAGATGTTAACAATACGAGGCTATACTGAGGGTTATCGCCTATCAGCCGGGCTGGTTCGCAACTGCCCTGACGTCATATTTGACCTGCCATGTTAAACAACATCAGGAAATGGCAGGAACGCCAGCCATGGGTTCCTTCCTTGAACAGCATGGGATACCATGTTGTTTCACTATCAGCCATCGCTCGTTTAGGTTCCCTTTCCCTTCTCTATTCTCTCTTCTTGTTGTCTTATGATTCTCTCCTTTGCTCCAGGCGAGTTTTTGGCCTCGCCTTTATCCTCTTTTCCATCCTTATTGTTACTTTCCTGGTATTTGTCTTTGGGCGATCAGACACCAAAAATAGCTGTTACAACATCATCTTTAATACCCCTGGTCGTTTCAGATTCTTGGTTTCTCCTCTCATCGCCTCTTTCACAATAGCCTAGCCCTATCTCGTTTCCCTCAGCCGGTCAACCCCTGCTCATTGGGCCAACTATTTGTCCTTCTTCTGGTCATTATCAGTTGCCACGCTTAAACCGCAGATCAATTGGACTAGGTTTATCAAGAAACAGTTTCTGGGCATCAAGAAAACGGTTCCTATTCGCAGCTTTATTGTCGCCTATACGTCACTTTCGACCCTAGACCCTGGCTCCATACCAACTCTATCGTTCGTCTTATATCTGACTCTCGGCCGCAGCTTGAATAGTCCCTACAGCGTTATGATCACGACTTGCTAGCACTTTTTTCTTTTTTGATACTTTGGATCTGAGGCAACTCCATTCGACAGGCTTATTGGATCTCAGTCCCAATCACCTACGTTCAACATCTTCTTCTTGGTCGGAATAAAGTTCTCGGGTCGTGAGATGGTATCCTCGTCAAGGCGTAGAGGCGCTAATAGCGTTTCCTCATTTTGTCGAGTATTGGTACCTACCGTTGCTGTCGGTTTCCTCCTGAGCGCCGCAGGGGTGGAAGGAGCACAAGATGTCACAAAGGGTTCAGACGAAGATCTTCCGCATTTCCCTGGACGAATTAGATCTCCGAACCGAGGTGAACCAAAAGATCCTGACAGGACAATTCCCTTGACCATCACCAACAAATGTGACTCGACAATCTGGCCCGGCATCGCAACACAGGCCGGCAAAGGCCCGGGAACTGGAGGATTCGAGCTCACTCAGGGAAAGAGTAAAGACCTATGGGTCTCATGGGATTGGCAAGGTCGAGTTTGGGGTCGTACAAATTGTACTGTGAATGGTGATTCGTGTTCCTGCAAAACAGGGGACTGTTTTGGGCTGTTAGATTGCGAAGCCAGTGTAAGTGCTCTGTGTTCGAGCAAGACTTGTATAATACTAACCACCAACAGGGTTCCACGCCAGCAACACTCGCTGAATTTACACTGGCTGGTGGTTTGCATGGGAAGCAGACCTTCTACGATCTGTCTTTGGTTGATGGCTACAATCTCCCGATGGGTGTCAACTTCATACCCTCCAAAAACACGACATTCATCCCGCCGAATCTCACCAACTGCGCCTGCATTGCGACACCTAGTTGGATCTATGCCAGCAGCCAGACGGGAACATATTACACAAACTCGTCATACCCTGTTCCACTGGAAACTCGAGTCAGCAGCGACAATGCCCGAAGCTGGTGCCCATGGAAGTACCTTGCTTTTCCACCCACTAAGCCTGGGGATGGCATCTATCCTTATCCAGACGATGACATCCAACGGCCAGAATTCTCCCCCTGTAACAGCGCATGCGCTGCGTACGGAACCGACGAGGATTGCTGTGTAGGAAAGTACCACGACCCAGATGTCTGCAAGCCATCTGCCTACAGCAAGAGAGCCAAGATTATATGCCCCGATGCATATAGTTTTGCTTATGACGACCAGAAGTCCACGTTCATTATTCCCAACGGTGGAGGCTGGGAGGTAATCATGTGTCCCAAGGGTCGCTCAACTAACATTCTGCGACAACTTGGAGATGAAATGAATGAGCTCGCCCAATCTGGCACCCTGTCGGACGCGACACAGAAGAAGCTCAAAGACGTCAGTTATATCGTATCTGAGAAGAGCCTCGGAAACCATGTGTTACCTATCGAACTCATGATGGCTTCAACAGCGTTGGCAACTGCACTTTGGTTACTGGTATAAGCTGCAACGGGTTTTATGCGGAAGCCAGCCTTGACGCTGTGCAGTTTTCCTTTGTCCAGGGTTCAGGCCGGTTCCTGATCTCAAGTACACTCTTTTGGTGCCCATACTGCAGAAAGTGCGTATACGACGAAACGATAGACGATGGAGAAGAAACCGCTCCATATACCTGATTAGAACGTTTATACCCCCTTTTCGATAACCTTAAATGAGAAATGCTTATTCTTGCACCTGTGCGTAAGCTACTTGGGTTCTATCGCTCTGAGATTTCATGATTTATATCCACCCATGAACTGGTTTGCCTCGTCCTACTGTGAAGCAACCTCTATATTTGAATTCGTGTAAACGTGCCATGTTGCTCGTCTATTTGCGTTGCTTCTCCTTCCGCCTCCTCTCCCATTCAGCTCGCTCCTCTTCATCACTTCCGCTGAACTCAGCATCATCGTCACTGTCGTCTGGAACATCTAGCACAGCTCCACCGTGGCCAGCCGAGTTGTTGACATTGATGAAGTCGCCAGCATTTTGGTTCGCATACTCATGCTTCTGAATTATTTCGCGGAGCTCTGTGTTTGTAGGATCGACAAGCTGGTAGGGAGTAAGACGAGCCTTGTTCTTGACTCGTGTGCTGGAACCGGCCTCAAGCATCATCTCGACGAGGGCGTTGCCAAAAGGTCGCTGTGCGGGTGGCTCTGAGTTGATCCAACGAATGGCGCTGTGAAGAGGTGTGTCGCCTTCTGTACGGTTGATAGGATCGCACTCGAATTCGGGCTGGTCGAGGAGGTGGTCAATGATTTCGTCTGAGGCGGTGGGTTAGCGTCTGGATCATGCGCATATGTCAAGGGATGTGAGGCGCACAGTTTCCGCGAGAGGCGGCTTCGTGATAGAGATGGTTGCCCAAGACAGTTGTGGTCTCGTTGAGGAGCTTTGAGATCTCGGCATCGGACTTGTCCTCGAGACAGTCGTTGAGAAGATCGACGTTGTTGCGGCGGCAGGCTTCGATCAGGATTTCCTGGACGGTGGCGCCCTGTAGCGTCTGTGTTAATTCGCTGGCCTATTGAGAGTCTTTTGTGTGAAGCATGATATAACTCACATCGTGCTCATCATCTCCAGCCATGTTGAGATTTGTTGAATATTCAGTCAAGTTGAGTTCGCGAGAGCGGGGTATTAGATGTTAGGATTGACGATGACGAAGTCAAGCGCTGAAGAATCTGACAAGCCTCGTTGGTATGTCAGAAGAGTTCCAAGAATATCCGCAGGTAAGATACGGAGAATGTCAAGGCTGGTCGTGTCGTTGTGGCCTAAGGGAGGCAGTGAATATGGACTGTGCTAGGTTTTGAGTGTTTCATGTTTCGTCGGTGTTTGGAGGGGCACTGTGATGCCCAGCCTAATCCAAGTCCACCACAGGGAGCTTAGGCGGAAATGGCGGGGAGAGGATGGCGCTAGAACTGCCAGACCAGCCTGGGCGGTAGTGGGACCCACCAGATCAAGTCAAGCAGCTTCATGTTCTTCGGTAAAATAAAAAAAAATAGTCATACTTCAATTCATGATCGTTTGTCTATTCAACCGCACCTCAATCCACGACGGCTGCCAAAGAAAAGGGCCTATCTCCAAACCAACCTCGCCCCTAATCAAATAAACCGCTGCCGTCTTTCACGAGCATAGCAACCGTCATCATGCTGCTCTGTAAGAGCCCCAAAATCAATGTGCCTGTTCCAAACTAACAAACTCCAGTCTGCCCCCATTGCGCAAACATCCTCACCGTCTCCCTCACAAGTACACGAACCAACCGTCTCGAATGCCGAACCTGCCCTTTCGAACATCACATCACCGAGCCCGTCTTTTCGCGACGAATGTATGAGCGTGTCGAGAAGGAGGACGTCTTTGGCGGTCCTGGCGCTTGGGACAATGCGCAAAAGGGTCGTGTTCAGTGCCCCAACGAGGGATGTGAAGGCGACGAGGCAGCTTTCTTCCAAGTTCAAATTCGCAGTGCTGATGAGCCCATGACGAGTTTCTACAAGTGCATGACCTGCGGTCACCGGTGGAGAGAAAACTGAGTTCGAGGAAGGATTCCTTTTGGGTTTTGTAACGACGGGGTTTTCTTTGTGCAAGGAGAATCGGAGTTGGGTCATCATACTTGTCTTTTTGAGGTGTTTAAGAATTTGTTCCACCAGGCGTCGCACTGTTCTTGATAACGTAAATCTTCTTTTTCTTGCGTGGGGTTTTCCGCTTTCGCGGGGTGTCAGGCGTTCCTTCGTTCACAGTGTCGTCCTGATTCCTCTTGTTCTTGTTCGTGCCTTTCGTATCGTCCTGCGAAGGGCTGTTCAGCTTGGCGGGGACCTTCTAGCTCTCTCGGTGCCAATCGACGGATGCCTTCATGCCCTCCTCCATTAGTGCCCTTACGACATCAGGGCTGATGATCTGCTGTCGGAACGTCTCCTGCTGGAGGAGCTCGAGATGTCGTAGTGTCGGGCCGGGGTACGTTAGGTACTTGAGATACGGCGGTTTGCTCCAGTATTGTAGGTAGGCAAGATATGCGACAAAGGCGGGCTGGCTAAGAAGCTTCTGGGACGCAAGGTGGTTGAGGTAGGCCGGATTTGCGAGGGACTGGACAAACTGTGCGCAATACTTGTTCGTTATGGATTCTAGCGCTACTAAAGGAGAGTGCGAACGAACCTCGAGCTCAACCTCGAATCGTGAATAGCCACCATATTTGGGCTCTTGGTCTGCTGGAGCGGGCGGTTCAGGAGGCGATCCCATTGGGACGTCTTGAGAATCTTCCGTCGCCATATTCCAGGAATTGTATCGAGAGAGACTAATTCCGAGTAGTGGAAAATGGAGCCTGGGGTTGTGGGTGGTGATGTGTAGGAAGATGTTGATGCTTTGTTTGGAGGAGTGCAATTGAGGTAGGGGTCCGCGCAGTTGAAAGGCCCACTTCTTCCATTTGACAGTTGAGGAGAAAGAAAAAAGTCAAGAATGGAGAGTTTGGTAATTCTCTACTCTAATTCCTCTGAGCTTTCATCTAAATTATAATCATAGTCTGAGTAACAGTCGCGTCTTATTTGAGTTGAGATTCTATATACTTAGTTTTATGTCTTATTCTCATGCTCTTACAATGTCATTATTCATGACAATGCAGACGCTAGGCTCCGTCTTTTCTGTCCTCGGTGGGCATTGATAAACATCGACGTCAGCCTGAGCTCTTCAACATGAAAGGTCACTTCGTGGTGTAAGGCTGCAATCCACAAACGCAAACTAGGCAACACTGTTCTTCTCAAATTTATGTTAATCTTATTACCTACTAAAATAGAATTATTCTTCCAACTGAAGGCACCATTGGCTCTTCTCTCAACCACAGCACTTCTGTTCCCTGACACGCTCAAACTCAACATAAATATTGTCTTCCTATGATCGGCTTCAACTCTCTTTAAAATGTCCGAAACACCTGCTACGACACATGTCAAAACTCGCATCCTTATTATATCTGACACACATGGGTCGAAACCAAAGCCCAAGAACAAAGGTGGACCTAGCACTGACGATGAGCTCAACCAAAAGGATGCCACGCGTGTGACGACGGGTTGGAGAGAGCCTCTACCAGAGGCTGATGTTGTTATTCATTGCGGAGACCTCACGAAGCGAACTACAGTTCCTGAGTTCGAAAACACATTCTCTGTGTTACGATCTATCAAAGCCCCTCTCAAGCTGGCCATTGCAGGCAACCATGACATGGCGCTTCATGACGACTATTGGATCAATGAGTTTGGTGGTCCAGCGGACACGCTCGACAAGGTCAAGAATATCGTTCAGAAGGCTGAGAAAGATGGTGTTCGATATTTGACAGAGGGCGTTCATGTGTTCACCTTGCAAAATGGCGCTCTGTTGAAAGTGTATGCGAGTCCATGGACTCCTTCTTATGGTGGCTGGGCATTTCAATATGACAATTGGCACGACTTCAACATTCCCAAGGAAACCGATGTGGCCATTACTCACGGCCCGCCGCAAGGTATTTGCGACTTTGCAGGCATGACGGGGTCTCACGCTGGCTGTCCCGACCTCCTTGCCGCCGTCGCGCGTGCCAAACCCAAGATCCATTGCTTTGGCCATATCCATGAAGCTTGGGGAACACATCATGTGACATGGAAAGGCAATGCCATTGATGAGAACCTGTCAAGAAAAGTCGGGCTCAAGGGGCTACGACCAAATCGCGTGACGCAGAACGAGCAAGAGGCCAATGCAACGAGGGTGAAGCTCATTGAGATGAGCAAACAAAGAGCTGCACATCTGGACCTCACTCAGGGTGATAGTCGCGTGGTTCAGGGAAAACAAACATTATTTGTCAACGCAGCCATTATGGATATCAGATATAGACCTATACAGCTACCGTGGCTGATTGATGTTGACTTGGCGAGAACTGGACAAGCATGAGAGGTCCTTAAGAACAACCACATCATTATCATTGTGTATCATAACATAGATGTACATCAATTGAGAATCGAAAGTTTCAATGCTTGTTTATTACTAGCTAAGCTGGTACATGTCTATTACTACTTTTCCCATCACTCTCAATGGTGAGCTAATTGTAGGTACCCCGAAAAAGAATAAGTGACACACAATCCATGGATCTTTGAACAACGCATTATTAATTTCCTTGTATCGTAAACGTCAATTGACTGCGTCCCAAGAATGCTCCGTGGTGAAGATGAATTTATACGCAAACAGATATCAGAGCTCTTACAGAGCAAGGGCGGCACCGAGAGCAGCGAGGAGACCGAAAGCAGGGCCAGCAACAGCAGCAGCGTTACCAGTAGGAACGCTGCTGGCGCTGCCACTCTCGCTGCCAGAACCAGAGCCAGAGCCAGAGCCAGAAGTTCCAGTGGGGGTAGAAGCTCCGTGAGTCTTGGTAGTGGTTGCGTTGCCGGGGTGGGGAGTGACGGGGACAATGGGAGACTCCTCGGGGATGCTGGAGAAGATGGCGGGGACGCTGGCGGAGCCGGTGACGGAGGTGTCGATGCTGACGGTGACGGCGCCGGTGGTGGCAGCAGCAGAGGTGGCGGTAGGCTTGCTCTCGCCGGCGGTCTTGGCGAACTCCTTGCAAGCCTCAGCAGCAGCGGACTGAGCCTTGAGGAGGTCTTGGGCCTCGCAGGCCTTGGTCAAGCAAGGGGTGATGATGGGGAGGAGCTTCTCCTGGAACTTGGAGTCGCATTGGCAGGCGGTGTCCTCGAGCTTGCAGCCGGCCTTGGGGATGTTCTCCTGAAGACATTTGAGCTGTGGATGTTAGTTAGGTGCTGTCATGGAGTGTGTAAGTGGTGTTTGGTGGACTCACAGCACACTCGGGTTGACCACTGAGGTCCTGAGCGGCAACGAGGCCAGCAGCAGCGAGGAAGAAAGCAGCCTTCATTTTGAATGTATGAATGACTTGGTACTGTAAACGATTGAGTGAAAGCGAGTGAGCTAGCTTTGAGTTATAAGTCAACAATTAGACAGCAATACAATTCAATTCAATTCAACGAGAGGGATGTACAGGAGACAACTAAGACAAGTCTTGGGACAGGTCGGGATCACCTCCTTATATACAATGTAGTAGAGTCTTGCAAACTTAAAAAAGTCCTGATACTTTATTAGCCCAGTCAATAGTGACAGGCAGCAGACGTCAACAAGTGGCTGATCTACGAACGAAATACAGGCTATTGGGGTGACCATTGACCTGATCCTGATCCAATGCTAAGCTCTAGCACAGCTTCAGGCTGCAGAAGTGCCCCTGGACCCCTGGTTAACCCCCCGACAAGCCGACACCAACCTTCTGCGTACTGTACATAAAACACTGGACCAGCCAATCATGCCGAGTCCCACGGCCCAGGCGCTGACCTTTTTCGGTGGGTCTACAGCGCTGTTAGAGTTCTAATGGCCTGTCAATCACCATATTTCAGTAACATTCTCACAACTCCCGTAATTGTCGGGTGTCATCGTCCGAGGTTTCATAAAACTCTACTTTTTGCTGTCCTCCATTATTTTCTGTCACTACTACCCAAGCGCCATTTTGTGCTCGGCAGCGACTTCGGAACAGAAAATTGAGTTTTATTTTGTCTTTTCTAGCCTCTCATCCCCCTAAATTTGCTACACTTGTTTTCTTGTGCCGGTTGCCGTTTGGGGGCGACGCCATGGCGTTTCTTGGTATGCATGTTTTTAGAGGCGGGGGAGTCTAAATTGGTGCTACCCTCGAAACTAGGGATTTATTGCCCCGGACAACATCAGAACAGTCAATGTCTTTCCAGATCAAGAAACATACATACGTTGAATGTATTGAATACGAAGTAGCCTACCATAACTTTATTTCTCGATATAAAGTTTGATGATGCTAGTTCATGCATCAAATTTGCTCTTTTCGTTTGTTTACTCCTTTTTCAAGAAGCTTCCTTTTCCTTCTCTCACCCATTCACTCAACTTACAGAGTATATCATCCGGAATAAGGTAAGGCTAGGTAGAAGAAACATGTATAGTAAACAACGTCGAGCTATGAAACGCCACTAAACGGTACAAAGACCAGGATGAGAACATGATATGCAGCACCATCTCAGCTTCTGCAACTCTCACGCACTGATCATTCGTGGCAACCTTGAAGGCTGGCTGGCTTACTGTTACTGTTACTGTTGTCTCTCTGAATGTCATCTTCACATCCTCAAGCTCATCCATCAACGTCAGCTTATTGCCCCCTCACGCATTGTGCATGCGCGTGCATACAAACACTTACGCGTCGTCCCAAAGTGCCTCTTTTTGGCGGCCTTGTACATACGGATAAATGCTCCCCAACAAAACATCTCCTTCTCCCTCGCTGCTATTGGTGGATGTCGGTTTCTAATTCGGGGAGGTGTCTAGACAGTGCAACTCCACGAAACGCAGTGATGCTTAAACGAATACTGTTGTAGCTCTCTCTGGCGGCTGCTTTTGACTTCATCCCCACATGCAGGGTCAGATCAGCGTCACCGATCAGCAGCGGCATGCCATGTGCAGATGCATCTCGTATCCAGAGTAACGTGTTGTCGGGGGCTTGGAATCAGACGAGTACGGTATAGCACTTCCATAACCTCACATCATGCCAACACCACCACGTATGGATCTCCATTCGCTAAATCATACTGTACTCTGAGTACAGAACTAAGCAACAAAGACGAGGATCATCAAGACATTTATTATTAGAGACTTCCACAAAGCTCCAATAACAAAGCAGCAAAGTTTTGTCTCATCCTAGGCTAAACTCATGATGAGATTCTCAAAATCATAACCCAATATGATAAGCATACAAGCCGGAGCACTATCGAATTCCTTGAATATATTCATTGCAGTTCCTTTAGCCCTTAAGTTGCTTTAATGCATCTCTCTCTTGAAGTAGGTATGAGTATGCATATAGTACATGGCACTTAACATCCATTCACAATACCACATACCAAACGTTGAATCTCCCTCAACTGCCATCTACCACTTCATTCCAATTACCTCAGCCTTCAAACCTAAGTCAAAGTCAATTCTCCCTTCCGTTCGAATCCTCGATCGATATCAGTTATTCGCTTGTTTCTCAATCTGTGACACAAATCCCATATCGGCGACCTAGCGTAGCCCTGTGGAGTCGAACAAAAGCTTGGCTCAACATAGAAATCTTGCCAAGTTTCCTCATGTGTTTGGCAATTGCTTATACAGCGGGACTCATATGCCATTCCTTTTAAATGATGCAAACAGATATCTTGTCTTCAAAAATCACAGCGACTTTTCTTGCTGAGAATTTGATGATGTCACAAGCGTGGAAATCTCTCTATCAAGTACAACAAATGCAGGTCTAAGTACATTAACAAGCAAACGTAAGTTTTAACTATTTTATGCCAAAAAAAAGCATTGCCTCATGAATCATCATCCCATCGAGGCCGATTCATGATAATGGGTCTCGCTGGGTCCCACGGTCCTCGTATCTCGTTCTTGTACTTCTGAAGCCCGATCAGCCACCAGCTGCAGCCTCCTGTAGCCAGTATGGCAATGAGTACTCCAACAATCATGCCCACTAGTCCACTCTTCCATGGCCATCCAACTGTGTTCTTATCGTATCCCAGTATTAGGCCAACTCCGAAGCTTGCACCCAATACCAGCAGAATGGCAGAGAGGATATGGAAGCGCCAGCTTCGGTGCCGTACATAGCGTCGGAATACTGGAAACAACCCAAACACCTCGATGCTGAAGAGTGTCAGACTGAACACCTGCTTGGTTGATGGTAGTCGGCTGGCGAGAACAGTCGATGCCATCAAGGCAGCATTTGTGGACAGCGATGCTGGAAACTTGGCACCCACACCTCCAGAGTAGTCAAAAAAGAAGATATTGATCGCGAGAAGCCAGAAGGACATGGCCCAGATGCTGTCGCTTGATGTTGATAGCGTTAGCGACTTGAGAATGGGGCTAAGGCCAAGGAGCGTGCAATAGATGAGAATCGCCGACTTGACTGTCTCCATCCTTTGTCGATATCGATTTTCTTCCGCCAGGAGCGGCGGTGGTAATTCGGGGAGATGTTCTTGACTCGCTCGTGGAGTGTGTGCGATACCACTGGCCAGAGAGGTGGTTGAAGCAGACTGGGCTCGATGCATCGTACTGGGCGCATGCAGATTGGTTGTCGAACTCGCAGCCGAAGGGACAGCGGATGGTGCGGTGGTAGACGGCGCCGACTCGACACGGAACGGAGGTGGACGGCGGATACTGCCCGTACGGGTTGGTCGTCTTAGACTTCCAGTCCGGCCAGCCCTTCCCATAACGTTCGCTGCCACACCAAGACTCGGATCATCGGTGTCTTCAATTTCTGATAGCCACCGTTCCCACAGGATCCATCCTACAAACGTTGCGAAGCTGCTCCAGCTTGTGACAGCAACAGGAGACACGCGCTCCTGGAATATGCCAACAAAGCAAACAACAAAGATTATGACGGAGCAGACATGCTGTAGTATGACTGTAGAGTCGGCGACGAGCGGCCAGAAGTCATACGGCTTGAGACGAGGATTACGCTGGAGATTCTCGAGGAAGGTTGCTTGATCGGTATAGTTATCAGGGTCTGCAAGCTCAATTGTTAGCTGCCATTGTTCAACACGGGAGTTTCCTTGGACATACATGATTGCTTAACCCACATCAACTTCTTCCAGGGGCGTTTGCGTCTTCGACTCCGGCCTCGCGGCCCTCGGGGAGGCGACACAAAGGCATCATCAGGGGAAAGATGAGAACGACCGAAGCCATGGAGGGTCGAGTGGTCTAACGAGGGGAACGGGGTCTCGTCGTCGGTAGGGGGCGGCATGCTATCGAGAAGGCATTGGAGGCGTCGGGGTCTGGGTCCGGGTCCGGGATCGGGATCGGGATCGGGATGGTGACTTGGACCTGGACTTTTTGTTGGTGAAGTTGGAGCCGGAGCTGAAGTTGGGGGCTGGTGTTGATGCCAATTGACACCTGTAATGAGTGGGTCGCCCAGGGTTAGCGGACTTGGAGATCGTGCCGTAGTGTCTCCCGTCATGGAAATGGATGGATCTACAATGACAAGTGCGTGCGTGCGTGAGCTCGTAGCTGTACTGTACTGTATGTAGGTGGCTAACAAAACAGGCTTTGACAGTTGAGATGTGATGGGCTTATCGTCATCTCCAGCTCCCACCGGGGGATGTTGATCCTGCCTTGCAGCAGTACAATATTCGTATACGTACCTTCAGTACTATCTCTTGGTTTTATGTACATATTAAGGTACCCTTTACTTCAGGCAGGAGGGCTGTCTATGGTGGGGTCAGTGATACACTTGCAGCTTCCCAATCGTATTGCACAACAGATCGTGCAGTCACCAGTAGCAGAAGTTTTCTCTCACTTCTCTCCTCTTGCAATATTGAATTATGACCATAAATACGATTGAGAATGCACCGATACGCGGGCCGAGAGTCAAAAAGAAGCTTTGATCAACCCTCGGGCCATTCTCCTACCCTACACAAGCAGAATCAACTCAACTCAACCGCCTGACTCCTGATCACTCGCATGATTTCACAAACAGCACCTTGCAGGAGGAGAGAACACCACCGGAGAGAAGACTCAGGTCTGGCGGCTACAGTGCGATTCTTTTGATGACATTGGATACCGAAAGTGACAACATTGAGAATACGCAGATACGCATACACACCGATGTTTCAAGCACAATCATCAGCCATCCCAATCTTGAGCACATCACCGCTCTTCCTTCGATCCACCATCCACCATCCCATCCTGCTTGGCCAGCCAGCCTTGGCATAGTCAGTTGCTTCTAACCGAGAAACTGGGTTGATATGCTAGACATGGTTCGTGGATACGCAGCACACAGAATGAAGCACGCAGAATGCAGGCCTTCCTCCCTGTCACACTTATAAAACCACATATCCCCACTCCTCGATAGCAACCACTTCGCGTCTGCGAGCCAATGGATCAGGTTAGCTCTCCCGATTCTGAGAGATCGATTTGGAGAAAAACGTGGTCTCGGGACCCAAATCAGCCACGCACCCGTACCTGCTGATGTGCTGTTATCGGAGAAATTGAATCATGTTGATGGCAAAACAAAATAGGAACCCGGTGTTATTGCCTGACATCCATTCGCTCAGCTTTCACTCATCACCAGCGCTATCTGCAGTCACCAAGGATGCCCACTACTTGTGGCCCGAAGTCAGATCTCACTGCCAATCATAACCAGACTTGGTAAAGGCGTTCATTCTTGGACTGTCCCAGAACCAGTTCACCGGCACCAATCGCGTACTATCCCGCCTCAAGTTAACAGGCTCCACACGGGGTTACCCGACATCCCTTGCAGGTTCCCGTTCAAGCCCTTCCGCCTCACTTCAAGCACATTTTGTTAAGCCAACCAAACCGCCGGGTCCATACCAAACTCCCAGTTTTCTACAGTACAGAGTGTAGGATCAAAAGATCCCTCGGTACCTCCACCGCGACAAAGAGGACACATCTTCAGGCTTCCTATCAGGAAGAAAAAAAAGAAAGAAAAAAAAAAAGGTCGAAAACAAGCCAAGAGTGGACAACTCAATTAACTCACTCCTTTGGTGTGTTGAGCTGAGCTGAAAGTGTCTGTTCGCGCGTTGACCCACGTTCTCGGACAACTGTCACCTACGGAAACTAGCCCCGTGATAGACAATCGACATTCCCGGCATCATAAGCGGTCACCTCCAGATGACTATAGCTGGGGAGGTTGTACTCCGTGCTGAGGAGGTCCTGATTCTGATTGATCTCTCTGGCCCTAGCATCGCGTCGCGTCGGTCTTGCCCACCGGCAGGCTTTGCGTCGTATGCAGCCACGACTGGGATAGTCTGCCACTGTCCAACTCACATCAGGCCATTATCCAAGACATATTCACTAATGCTATAGAAACACGAACTGATCGAGTATCTCGAATACTGAGGGTTGTCTTGTTGCTGTTTCGACTCAGTACGAACACGACGAGATATCCTAGTCAAATATTTGATTAAAAAGCAAGAGGAGACCATAACCATACAATTTGAGGTAAGATGATGAGCTAAAAAGGACGACTAGGAAAAACGACCAGCGTGGTGAGGCGTTTGCTAGATTTGCTTTTTACGAGACAAGTGAGAGGCGAGAGGTAAACAAGAAGCGCGAAATGTTCGATAAAATGTGATCGTCCACTTAACATCTTGCACCATCTGCGGCTCCCCCGGTCTCATCACCACTTTGTTCCTTGGAAAGTTGTCTCATTGGTAGATTGACCGAGAGACCAGAATCCGCCATGCAGCATGCCGCCATCGAACCGCTGAGGGCGGTGTCGGTGAACCATCCCGGTTTTAGTAGACTGTGACACAGTACAGCACATAGTCTATCTACTATCTACCACCTACATACCTTACATGCATACATGCATGCATGTGTGCATTGCGTCCGACGATGGCTTCACGAGGATCAATTATTTTCCCCGCCCCGGACGTGCCGCAAACGGTCATGGTCCCCCCCTACTTGTAGGTATGACACCGTTTCCGTCTGTCCTCGTGAGAACCCCTGCTCTGGGGTTCGACACTATATACCCGACGTGAGATTAAAACCGCTGCTCATACCTCTTGGTTGGCCGCCAACCTCTGATGTCTTCTGCTGGTCTTCTTTCTCTGGAGTTCATATACTCCACCATCTGCTTATTATGATAGACATGTCTGCTTCGTCTCATGGCCTCGAGACCATGGCGTCTTTGTCCCTCTCAGCAACCTCAACTACGACCGACTTTTCTTCCTTACCAACAGAACTCCGTCTTAAGATATGGTCCCGAGCCAGCGAGCCTCGTATCGTTTTATACGGTGATCTAGTTCAAAAGAGCCGGTCTTATCCCTTGCCTACCGTTACACAACTCAATGCGGAAGCGCGAGATGAAACTCGACTGGGGTACGAACCAATTGGTAATGGATCGTACTTCGACTTCTCTAGGGACATCCTCCTTTGTGACCACAAGATCTCAGATCAGGTGACCGACGAGTACCTAGATGGTCTTGCCCCCCGGATACGGCGTCTTGTCTTCTGGGACTGCTTCCCTGATGATGGCCGCGTGGAGGGACCCTACCACTATTCCGTCTATCTATCAGCGTGTTATCGGCAGCCAGATTTTGGAAAAATCGAATTCGATAGGTTTTGGTTCCCTAACGTGGATGATCTGTGGATTGTCAAGGTGGGGGAAATCGACCCAGCGTGGATGGTCCAGGTGAACCCCAAATTGCCATATAAAATGCGACTTCAACAATTGGCGAAACAGTTCAGATATTGGGTGGACGAAAACATCATTGAGATGGCACCTCTGGACCTGAGCGAGCCAGAATCACAGGCTGTCTTGAATGAAGGCCGTTGCGGCAAAGAAGACTGCCATGAACTCAACAAACAGCGCAGTATAATGATGTCCAAGGTTGCCTTTCTCGACGGTAGATACAAGGCTCCCGATGATGGACAGAAATGGATCCGAATCGTTGCATGGCAAGCTGGCGAAGAGAAAGCCGTGTACGAAAACAGGATGAGATGGGTGGTTGTCGAGAGAATTTTGACATTTGACTTGCAACGGGATGGGTGGAGCGAATCTGGACTGGAAGTGAGACGACGTAGCACTTGAAGGTAACTGGACTGAGTGGAGGCTATCTTTGCCAGGCGCAAGGCTATGCCATCCTGAACGACAAGAACAGTACCTTTGGGACAACTAATCTCTGCGTGAAATTTAAGAACGGCACCGATATAGGGAAGAACAATTTGACACTCCCTGAGGGTAAATGAAGAACGGAAATGGAGGGGGCTTGGGATTTTAAGGAAACTTATTGGACTATTATATCTAACCACAAATGATGAACACAAGAATCGGAACAAGCTGCGGTCTAGCGCTATCATTATGCGCAACTCAATGATGAAACAAGCAACAGTATCTAATTATTTAAATATTCATTAAAAACATACCGAAGTATGTTGCTCCTGTTATATATTGCATTTATAAATATAATCTTCTAAAAACAGGGAGGGGATTGAAGAAACAACGAAGAATACTGAAAGACCATTTCCTCAATCCTCAGCTGAAATTACGTATTATGATTGAAGTTCTGAATAACTGTTATTGTTCATCTACTGTGCAACCAGTGTTACAGTTTAAAGTACTCCTTAACTTGTTTATCTGACATTGAACTTCTGAACTGGTTTCCCCTCACATTGAGGTTGATGATATTTATAGCAGTGTTCAGCCGAACATTCAGGGATATATCGTTAGCCTGCTATCTGAATAACATATACCCAATCAATAAGAATCAAGTTATACGAACAGTATCCAAAACTAATGAACAATCTATATTCATATTCATGCTTCAGAGAGAAATTTGACTATAAAAGAGACTGAACTTCCAGCCATCTTACCTTTCTCTATCTCATACATCCGCTACTTTACATTCATCGAGAAGAGACCCAAACATTGCACATTCAATAGCTTTGCAAATATTCACAGCCTTGTTACTTCTATCATGTCTTCGATACAGCCCAACAAAGAGGGAAAGATACTCGCTACAATGGGGAAATATATTGACAAGCTCAGCGCTCCTGTAACTGTCAGTTTCGATCCTAAACGAGCAGTTAGATGCGAAGATGGCTATCGCAGAATTCTGGCCATCATTAAAGATTACTCCCATAGGCCTGGACACATCAACGGCAAAACCCTTAGATCTGGACCAGACGAGGTGTTCCAGCGACTTCACCACACCCAATTCCAAGACATTGGAGCATCGATGGAAGCGAATGTCCGTTACAAAAGATACCTTCTTGACACACAACATGGTTTTCCCCAGGCCTGTGCCCTCGCAGTTTGGCTTTCCTCAGGGATACAACCTCATCAGTCTTGGTCTCCGTCTAGTGGCGTCAACTTTCGACTATGATGAAGCAATTCCACACATTCAGTTGACAGAATATACCTGGCGACCGTTGAGCCTCAAGACGTTCCCTTATCTTCAAGAGTTTGCTATGCTGTGCCTTCGACCTATCAGCTGCAACTACCAAGGTCGTTCACCCTTCCTCCATTCCTCAGAAAACAAACGAGGTGAGTACTATGGCTTCCGCTACCACCAAGATACTCGACTTGTGGAGTTCACTCAGCTAATGTGGCCTGATGTTGTAGAAATTGCATTCACTGGTGAGGATCTGGTGAACGGGCTATTTTCTTATACAATTGTCCGTCTATGGATCGTTGGACAACGACGTGGTCGATATAGGATGCCACGAGAAGAGCTTGGATGGACGAAGCTGGACTTGTATTCAGAGTTTCGTGATCACCGTCTCAACAGAATCCGAGACTTGTGGGTGCTGACTCGAATGAGACTAGAGAACCCGATTCGAGAGGAGGCATGTGAGATGTATGTCTGATCAACACAGGGTGAGTATTTTGTGGTGTATTTGAAAGCACGAGGATGGGGGTTGGAGTTGGAGTTGGAGTTGCTTTGCTTGGTGCGTTAGATGTAACGCTGGCCGTTACTCTTGCTTGGTATTTGATTTGATTTGCTAGCTGGCTGACCTCTGAATTAGAAAATAATTTGGTTATTATTCTTGTATTGTAATCTGTGAGAGTTGACTTGCTATACTGCCGCTAGGTAACAAGTTACAAGTGAAGGAAGGCCTCTGTCAAACAGATAATTGTTAATAAATCTCTGTGAACGATAAGCCCAAAGTTGATGTCAAGTCGCCAGTACAAAAGTAGTATCGACTAGCTAGAGAATGGTCTTGACGTGACCCATACTTACTCAATAAAACAATTGCCTGATACTGTTGCATACCTTGCTTTTTTACCCCTGAGCTACTCCAATCGAGCACTGGCAGTATATTCAAGCCATTGCAATTCCTAAATAATGACTACTACGATAGATTTAACTTGACTGATATTTGTCTTACTTGAAATATGGTAAATAAATGTTGTGTAGATAGATACATATTCGACTGCTATGCAAGAAAATCCAACGCTCCAACAGTCTAGCCTCCATTAATGTACATAGCAATGAGTTCGTCAAATCCGATACTGAGTAATTACAGCGTTATTACATTACGTTCCTCCGATCATTGCGTCTCAAACTTGAAGCTCGTGACCATTCCCCTGCTGATTTCCGTAATCTGTTACCCAGGCTTATACTGGCAGCAGAAAGGCCCTGCATTCGTGAGGGAAAAGAGGCCTCAACTCTCTCCCAGTCACGGGGCACCTTTACATCGTCGTCGCTATCATCCAAGGCTGGACCAGGCAGCATCATCATATGCCTTTGCCCCTTGAGCATGGCTCCCTGTAGGGCTGCCCATGATTCAACCTGGCCGTCTGCTGCCTCCTCCACACAGTTGCACTCGTCGCCTGCGGGACATTGCGTTTCGCCAGCAGCATGCCACTCTGCTAGACACGCCTCGTGGCTTGCGCAACCACACGCCAAGCATGGCGGGAAGAGGGCATCCACAGGCTCAAGGCAGTACACACATGTGAGCTGACTCTGAGTTTGATGGCAACGATCACATGTGCCAACAGCACCACCGACCTTGGAGTCACTGGAAGTATAACGAAGTGGTTCCAGCTGGATTTCGTGTATACGGCACATCCCTGTGACATCAAGACCGCGACCTGATGCAAGCAACGCTTGAAGCTGATCCTTCTTACCCATGGCGATGGGTGATGTGTTATGTGCTTTGCCATCGTGGCCAGCACCTGGCTCATGGAAGTTGTCGTCAAGATGCCCTCCGGTCATATCTTCCTTGAGTGAATTGAACTTCATAATCTCGAGTCTGGAGAGTGGTTGATTCCACATTTGCAGCATTTCAGCATACGCATATCGGTAACGAGCATGGACATCCGCCTGACTGGACTCAAGCATGGGTATGTTCAGCCAACCATCATCGTCGAATGCGGTTTGATCCTCCATTGTGACGGAAATCTTTGTGGGCACAAGTGGCAGATAATCATCCCTTCGATAATCGTCATCATCCAAAGAGTTTCTACCACCATTCGAGTCCATTGTGGTCGACGCACTCCATGTAACATTACCTGGAGCCAGACTGCTGAGAATCGTTTCAGCAGGGCTTGGTTTCTTTCTTACATGATTTGGAGGTGACGACGAGCTGACTCCTGCAAACGAACGCGGCAGGTTAGCAGCAAAAGCTGATGCCAGGCCGGAGTTTGCTCTATTTAGGAAGCGTGTGTTTGGAGACGTAGACACGCTGGGTGGTGCCTCAACTTCCCCTAGATACCCCTTGAACTTATTTGGCGGCGTCTCTCCGCAGGAGTACGAGTTCGATGCAGCGTCCCCGCCCCAAACACCATCGTCTGATGCCTGGGATCCAGCGTAGTGGACAGGAGTGTGCACTGTCATCGGCGTTGTAATAGCTGAGTTCGTATAACTGCGTCCACCAATATTCCATAGTGAGGCATCAGTGGGGAAGTAGTCCAGCGAGAAAGCTGGTGCCTTGAAAGGGAGAGGCGTCTCGGGCTGCGGTAAATGCGATTCGAAGTATGCCACACTGTCTGCAGCAGAAGATTCGCTGAATATACAAGAAAGCATCGCCAACATTTGGATATCCGCGATTTTCTCATAGTATGCAAAAAGGTCCATGATGAAGTCCCTGGCCAAGGGATGTTTACCCCATTTGACTCTGCCCGACAATGCACCTTCATGTCGTTCCAAGAAAGAGTCAAGAGGAGAAGTATCGGCATTGCACCTGGAAACCACATCGTGGGCGATCACCAGAATAGAATCACGCCTCTGATTGTGGGCAAGTATCTCGAGCGGAACACCCTTCTTTAGTAGAAGCGCAAGATATCGCCAGACATCAACCAGATCTCGAGCGTTGTACTTCTCAGCGACCATTGCATTGTGCTCACAGACCTCGGCTCCATCCCCAAAGATGGCATACTCACGCGCAAATTCCTCTTTCGAGGGGAGAAGAGCACGGAAATCATGTATCGATATGAGGTTCTTGGGCCGACCAGGTCTGCGACGGCTTGTGCCAGTGCCAGTACCAGTGCCTACTCCTGTACCACCGCCACTCGAGCGTATTGACCTGTCTTCGCTCCAAGTTTTCCTAAACTGGCGGCTGGGGTGATACCAGAGACTAATCTTATGCATTGACGTAGACTCTGAGTCGCTCGAAGAGGACGATGATGAAGATGACCCAGAGGCAGACGTATCAGAATCCCCGCTGGATGCGGAAGTGTCTTCCGCCATGAAACGCTGTCGAGGCCCAAGATCATGTGCGATTCTGCCAAAGCCCGCAAAGAATGGTTCCCCCTTAGGGCGTTCCCTATAAGCGTCCATAGTGGTTGTAAACAATGCGCGTGCCTTTTCCTCTTTGGAGGGGAAGAAACAGATCAACCGTCCGTTGTGGGAGAACCTGGCACCGCAGGTCCTGGGTGGCGGTGGCACGATTGTCCTATTCGGAGGCGCAAGCGCGGTATCAAGCTCGTTGTGAGGTGGTAGTTCCTGAGACATGGATGCTGAACCGCCAGCGGGGATATCCTCGTCGGATTCACTGGAGCTCTCGTCCGCTAAGCCATCAAGCTCATCATCTAAATCTCGAACGTTCTTGAAGAAAGTTGTGCTGCTTTCAAGATCAACTTCCCCGAGGAGATACGTAAAGGCAACCTCAAGGCAATTCTTTTTCCTCTGCAAGAATTGATTGGCCAGTTGGTGAATCTCGCGATCAATCTTTTTGTGAGTCTCTGCAGGCATGAAGGACGATTTTTCAACATAGAACTTTGGTGCCCTGGTCTTGGGATAGCCGACTGGAATATCAATCCGGACCTTAATGAATATAGTTTCTCCATCAGCACCCCAAGGGCCGTACAATGAAGCATTGAGGGTCAAATTGTCCATATCAATGTTGTCCCACCTCACTTTGGGAAGTTGATGGCTGATACGTAGAAGTTCCTCTTGAATAGTATCAGGCTCTGCCCACTCATCGTCAGGGTATCCATGGCCAAAGATACCCGAGTCTTTTGATAAGTGTCGTTTGGCGCTTGTTGATGCCTTTCTCTTAGTCATGGCAATTCCTTTCATCCATCCTATTTGCGACTGGTTACGGTCGACCGATCTTCCAGATACCTTGGCCTTCATCGAGGGACCTCGCCAGGCCATCGATGTACGATGGCTTTGAGTTGTGCCTGATCGCATTCCCAGGGTAAGAGCACTTTGCTTATGATAATTGTTGCCAGGCCGATGATCACTCATAGTAGCAGATTTACGATCGCGATCCGTACTTTCGTCCACTGTACGGAAAGTCTTGTATGTCGCGCCTTTTCGGGTGATACTGATTGCTGGATCGGCTGGCATGCCGCGTTGATGCCCGATAGCGGCAAATATCTTGGGGTCGATGCATTGAAGCTTGAGTTCGTTGTCTGTGCCCCAAGAGACGAGCTGGAATTCACGGTTGTCTTTACCATCATCAGTTATGCCACCACGGCATCTCCATAGAAATTCCTTTGCTTTGTGATCTCCGTGCCCCGGCCAGACATCGATTGGTTGACTTGTCACTTTCGATTCTGGCTCAAAGTTAGTGTTGTAGAGATAGAGGTCTCCCGGTTCGTTCTGGGGTATTGCGAGGAGGCCGTGTCCGAAAGGTGTGTGACGAGCTCTCCACACTGGAAAGCCAGTTTCAATGGTATGTTGTAAGGGCTCTTCTGCAGTATAGTCCCAGAAGTTGATCCTCTTGTCGATAGAACAGGAGACAATCGCTTTCGGGTCAGATCGGTTCCAGTCCAGGCCGTATATCTTGGATTTGTGAGCTTTGATAGATTTTAGAGGTTCGGAAGAACGGCGTTCATCCCAAATATGCAACCATCGATCATGAGCAGAAGCGAGGATGTGAGATGCTTGCCGGTTGTATTTGACCTGAGATGCACCAGCAGTCCAATCACAGAACGTCAAAACGGGCTGACGTGGCCTTCGAAGATCCCATGCGTGAATATAGCCATCTACTGAGCAGGTCGATAAGAGGTCTGGATGGTGAGCAGACCAGTTGACGTCTGTAATAGCACGGCTATGGCCTTGAAGAGAGTGTTCTATGGCACCTGAGCTTGAGTCTTCTCTGCGATTTAAATTCCACACGAGGGCACGATGGTTGGCGGCTGAGACGATCCAGTAGTCGCGAGCAGCGAAGGGTGACCATTGGACATCCACAACCAGCCACGGAAGGCCATGAGTTCTCAGTCGCCGAGGAGGGCTATATGGTGAGTCAAGATCTATGATTGCCAATCCATCAGGCCTGTTTAATTGTCAGAATCTGTTAATTTAATGGTACACTTTTAACCTACGAAGCCAATGCGACATCTCGCCCAGCAGGAGAGATTGTGGCTGAGCCGACCAGGCCATCAACATGAATAGTGCCATCTGACTCAAAACTTTCGCTCTCGTAGGCCGACTTGATAACCTTGCCCTTCTTGGGAGCATCAGCGAGTTGGTCGAATGAGGGCATTGTGATGGGTATATCGAGAGGCTATCACGGCGTTCCTCATGTCGCAACTCATATGAGGTAAGGAGAGGACACACGGCGAACTGCCACTGAAGAGCTTTGAATCATGTCATCATCCACAGGAAGCCAAAATAGGATAGAGGAGGCGTTTTCAAGCAAAGGAAAAAAGTTGCTAGGGTATTGTTGAATACAAATATTGTATATGAAGTTGCTCAATTGAACTCGCGTTCCTCACTGCCCGGGTGAATGATTGACAGTACGGGAGGTGGTCAGAGCGCGCGACAACGCTGCACAAGTACCACCCCGGCTGTTTGAAGTGCAGTGGTACATCCCCCACCATTGCCCTGTCCCGTCCTGTGAGTTGAGTTGAGTTGAGCTTGTCCAGGTTCAAGACTTGACGGAACCTTCCGCGACCTTTATCGGGCACATGTCGTAGGAATCGTTGTACAACAGAGCCTAAAGGATAGTTAGACTATGTACTTTTAAGTATAATTGTACCTTATAATGGATGCATATGGCTTATCTATCTTTGCCTAACCATTTTTTGATGGTCGTCACTTGATTTAAATGATCAGGTGTAAACACCTTTATTCATTTGTGAAGCGCTGCCGAAATCTTTCTTTCATTCAATCACTTCTATCGAGCCTTAGATCATACTGGGCTCTACCTGCCTCTGCGACTGCCCCGCCGCCGACCTTAAGTGCCCGCCTTAGGTATTCCAAGAATTCAACTTCAGACCTCACCCAACCACGACCCTTCTATACGCAACTCTTTCAGAAGCTAACGCTACGACGACACGATATCTTACGAGCAAGTACTCACCGAGATAAAAACCGCATCTCCCGATCCCGAATATCATCGAAACACCTTCATATACCCCCCAGAACTCCACGATGGCTCTCCCCAAGCGCATTATTAAAGAGACAGAACGGCTCATGGCCGAGCCGTAGGTCATCCCCGAGGGTACTTGTCTTGCGCCTTGACTTCGCAACCTAACACTCGTCGCGATACAGTGTTCCAGGAATCAGTGCCGTTCCTCACGAGGATAATCTCCGATATTTCGATGTCCAAATCCACGGTCCCGCCCAGTCTCCTTATGAGGGTACGTTCTCCATCGCTACATATTGACTTGTCGACTAATTCAACCCTCAGGTGGTGTTTTCAGCCTTGAGCTCTTCCTCCCCGACGATTACCCAATGACTCCTCCCAAGATTCGATTCCTTACCAAGATTTTCCACCCAAACGTCGATAAGCTTGGCCGTATTTGCCTCGACGTCCTCAAGAGTGGGTTGCATATCAAGGTACATACATTTCTGGGACGACCAAGCTGACAAACGCTATAGATAACTGGTCTCCCGCCCTTCAAATCCGAACTATCCTCCTGTCAATCCAGGCCCTCCTCGGTGCCCCTAACCCGGATGACCCTCTCGCTGCCGATGTCGCCAAGAGCTGGAAGGAGGATGAGCAGGCTGCTATTGCAACCGCCAAGGAATGGACTGCCCAATACGCGAAACCTTGAGGGAAGATGATACACCAGGATTAAATACAAAGAAGGAAAAAACAGAATTTAACAGCCACGGATGATCAAGTTGGGAGTACAAATACTGGAGTTACGGGGCCAAGTGATTTCTCATGGAGATACTTTCCATCGACTTTGAGTGGATACAATGGCACTTGCAGGTTTGCTCTTGGTCTTGTCTGATAGAAGTGAAAGCTTTTGTTGTGAAGAAACGCATCGCTATTTTGTCTAGTTTCATGCTGACACTTTCAAGAATACTTGCCGCGTGATCGGTGTGAAAGAATCGTACCCAGCTCCCAGTCCAGATATCTCCTTGTGTTTATGACCTTCAGTTACAAGCGGGTTGTTGTTCACTGCACCTCCACCGATCCGAGATGTCAAAGCTTTAATTTGAGCCTTGTTTTCAGCGCAAGTCAGAAGTTGATCAACTTAGTACAGCACAAGGCAATAGGTTTAAACTCAGTGCTGCTGTCATGCAACTGTCGTTGGCTGAACAAAACAAAGCACATCAGTACCCTGTATCGTGTGGAAGAAACCTGCGATCCGTCCCCATATGTACCCCGTTTCCTTTTCAGGTAGATATACACAACTTGAATACCCTGACTCACGCTCACGGTATCGCATATTTTGATAAGTGGGCCAGGTTCCAAAGATGAGCTAACAATATACAGGGATATTTGGTAGTCAGTATCACCAACCCTTCTATTGAACAGATTGATGTTCTCAGGAAGATCTGTGTTGACTTAAAGAAGCTCTGTTACTCTATGTCCGCCGAGGACTGGAATTCTCACCTATGATGACCAGCAGATCCGAATAACGTCTGTCCTTCCTCCATCCCTAACTCGACAGAATGCTCTGCGCAATAAGAACAAGCTACGCCATTCTATCGAAAGATCCCTCGACAATGTACTCAATGGGCGACTATCACCGCAGGCCACACAATCTATTCTTGGCAACAGCTTTCGTGGCTTGATTGATATCCGCTGCGGCTCTTTGAGAACGGACAAGTTCCTCAAAAACCATGGGTACCGCGAGGAAGATTAAAGCCCCGACTCGTTTATGGCTCGGCATCTGGAAGGACATTCCAGCAAGTTTGAATTTCCAGCCTTTAATTGCATTAGAAAGAGTAACTCGTAGTTTCTTGTTCTGATGTTCCACTAGAGGGTTACATGGGCTTACTGAGACACGTTGTTACTGTGAAAGTGGGAAGAGACAGAAGAATTAGACAAGAAATCAAGATCTGTTTATGCTAAGAAGCAATGGAAAACACATTTCCTGTCCTACTGCAGTTGCTCCTATCTGAGAAGCCATCGTAACCCTTCCAACATATGCTTCTCGCAGGTCAAGGCATGATCCAGGTGAGGAGCTTTGAGCCAAAAGGTATGCGGCCAACCCACCTCAACTTGGACTTGAACGTCGATGCCTGCTTCTCTTAGGATCATGGCGTAGCAGAGTCCGTCAGAGTATAGGGGGTCGTTTAAAGTGAGCTGGATCCAAGTACGAGGGTGCCCCTTGAGCTCATTTTCTGTAACCTCGAGAGGCAGTTTTTCAAGACCGTCCCTAGGTGTGCTTCGATTGAGATACCCGCCCAATGATGTGATAAAGGTTGGGGACACGCTTGTGTGGTACGGACGTAACTTTTCAGGTACATATTCCTCACCACTGGCTCTGTCCGCTGTGACTGGACACCTCAGCAGAAGTCCATGAATTGGACCTTGAGGAGCTGCTTGCGCTACCGCAGATGCCATCTGTCCACCACTCGAGCTTCCGATAACAATAGTCTTTATCTTCGAACTGTGGAATTTTCGAAATCCATCCAGGCTGTCGGAAAGGCAAGCGGTAGCTGGATTCTGAGGCAATAAGCGATATCCCACCGAGTAAAGTCGAATCCTGGCAATGCCTGACTTTACGATATGTCTGCATGATAGTTCCTCGCTATCCGCCTCGCCAACCCTCAGACCACCGCCGTGGTAGAATATAACGATAACCTCTGGATCCTCGGCTTCAGTACCTGTAAGGTCCAGTTGAAGGACAGGGATTGGGTGTCCATCCACAGAAGAGGGAATAGTGAACTCTTTCCTCGTAACTCCTTGAGAGAGCTCATGATCTCGCGTACCAGGTGCCGTAACTTGAGCATATAAGTCGCGGCATTCCTGAGCATAAATCGGTTGTCGTTCTTCGACACTGTTGAATACTCTAGGAGGGCCTTTCTTCTTGACTTCTTCCTCATGTGCCAGCCAGGCAGCGTCTAGTTGCGGTGCCGTCTTAAAGACATAGCTTTCGAGCTCCGGGTCTGGAAACACCATGATAACTGTTGATCTTGTATTCTGATAACGTACTTGATTCAAGAAGTATTCACAATACTGAGCATGCGTTACGAGGGATATTATGGCGTATCGTGTAAGTCGGTGTATTCAGGCTAAAAGCCGACACGTGACCCCGATATTGCCATACGACTACCAGCAAAGATACTGGACGAGACCAGAGCTAGGTCTGAGGACTCAAGAGACCTGCAGTTTGATCAATAATATTCTTTGAGTGGAGGACCCTCAGACTGGAAGAGCCAAACTTGAGTTGGAACAATGAAGACAGAGTTCAACGGCTAACAAGATAACCTATAACACACTCATAAGGAGTTCAGTCTCTCACAATTCGACTTCTACAACTCGAATATCAACAAATATTCCAAGTAGAGTATTGCCTTTCATGTAGACCGACACAGGACTTAGTCTCAGGTTGTCCTGGGATATAGGGTATGGAAAGAGAGAGGTTATGATGCAGACGAGTGAAACATTGCCGAACAGAATCAACTTGATAGATGGGGCATGCTTTTACAGATAGATTAGTCTACAGTCCACATTAAATACATTGAGATATAGTCGTACACAATAGGTATATCAGAATTCAGCCTTTGCCTCCCTCACATTGTTCAACATTCCCAAAAGACTGTCTTCATACTGTGTCAATATTGGGCCACACGTCGACAAAGGGCTGAAGATTCATTCCCCAAGAATTTGTCCGCAAACAGCAGATGAAAGTGATGAGAACGAAGAACAAGGAGTCTCAGTTTAAGCTGGGTTGCTAAGAGACATAAATAGACAAGTCTAAGGTTAGTCTGGGAATTGAGAACCTGGACACTATGCTTCACATCGAACCGCAATTCTCAAGGTCCCAAAAAGAATTCATTATGAAGCACTGAGGAAAAATTGTAGCTGATTGGGTATGAGACAAGCCGGGTTCTCCCTCGGGATCTCGTATCTACAATGCTAGAGTACACAACGCGAAGCCGGAAAAGGTATATCGTGATTCGTTTAAACCACAGCCAAGTCGCCAAACTTCTCCTGCAGTGGATGTTAGTGCTGTCATCTCCTCCGTCATCCGTATAACATACCTTGTATCCAGGCACCATCCATCGGCCCTTGGAAACGAGCTGAGCAGTCTTCTCGTCGATAGACTTCTCGGCAGCGGCAACCTCGTCCTGTAACTTGTGAGAATCGATCCAGTGGTCTCAGATTTGGTGGTACGTACGACAGTGAGTTCCTCGAATGGTCGGGCCTCCTCGATGTTCTTGAGGGTAGCGGCAAGATCCTTGAGTTCGAGGTCAACGGCCTCCTTGGTAGCCTCGGCGTTCTTCACGGCCTCGGCCTCGAAAGCGTCGATGGCCTTCAGTTGTCGGCTAACATCGTAGGTGACAGGCTTGAAGGCGCTGAATCGCTTCTCGATCTCATCGATGATAGCCTGGTTCTTGAGGACGGATCGGTACTGGGAGAAATCGACGGTGGTGGGCTGCTCCTGGAGCTGCTGAACCTTGCGGCGGACGTCCTCGTTGCGCTTCTTGAAGGCCTGCAGGGAGGCAACGGTCTGGCCACGGAGACCGAGGGAGCTGGTGACCTTGGTCCAGTCAAGCTTGAGAGCTGCGCTTCGCTGTCGGAGAAGGGGAAAATTAGCTCAAGGCATCCTGGGACGTAGAGGCGCGCGATCGGGACCGTGGGAAAAGTTCGACAGCACCTGCGATCAGCCACACGCGCCAATTGATGAATTGAACTTACAGTCGCCATTTTGAGGAAGGTTACGATGTCGAGAGAGCGGAGAGGATAATCTTGATTGACTGTTGATGACTTTGCCGAAGTTCAGGGAACTACCGGGCACTAGGAAGTCACGTGCTTCCACTCAAATATCCGGCGCGCGGCGTTTTCGGACCCCTCATTGACGTCGGCTCAGGACAAGTGAGAACAAGAGAGAGAAAATTGAAGCTCAAAAGCTGATCATTGGTGAGAGAACATTGAGTGATGAAACACGAGATGCTTGAAAATTTGACGAATTGGAGTACGGAAATTTAGGGTAGATAGCAATCAGGAATTGATGGAATAAGTACTCATGAAATACATCGCTCATAAGGCCAATATCAAGACAGTCACCATAGTCCATGAATATAATATCACGCATGATGATAAGTTCAAGAGCATTCTTTGACGGATTTGGGTGTTATTTCCCTTCAATTGTTACCGTTGTTTGGCATCAACTCCATTCCGCAGGGTACAGTTCGCCAAGAACTAATACAGAGCCCAATGTTCGTCCCATGTACATGCTTTTTTGGATGATCGTCCAGCAGAATCTCATGCTTAGATACTTAGAGCCATGATGGAATTGACAATATCGTTGTCGTTCTCCTTCAATGCCTTGACGGCCTTGTTGCGGCTGACGTTGGCCTGGGTCATGACGAGCTCAATATCCTTATCCTCGAGTCCGGAAGCATCGACCTCCTCGTCGTCGTCTTCTTCTTCCTCTTCCTCCTCCTCCTTCTTCTCCTCGGCGGTCTCGGCGGCCTTGCTGGGCTCACCGTGGTTGTGGCCAGAGTGGTCCTCAGCGTTAGCGGAGGCGAGCTGAGCAGCAGCAGCTTGTTGAGCAGCGGCGTTCACATCCTCGATCTTGGCCTCGCCGAAAACACTAACTTGAGGTCAGAGGCAGGTCCATCATCAAGTAGCAAGGCAACTTACATGTAGGTGTTGCTGTTGGGAGACTTGTAGACCTCGGGGTTGTTGATGACGAAGAGGATCTGGAGCACTTCGGTTAGCACCAACACCTCATTTTACTCCTCCAAGCTCTTCGAAAAATTCGTCGGCACTCACGTTCTTGGGTCGGCGGAGAGTGACACGGGTGATGCCAGGGATGCGGGTGAGGTGCAGCTTCTCGAGGGCCTTGCGAGCCTTCTTCTCATTGCGGTTGTGGATCACAGTAGAACCAGCGGGGAGCTGGCCCTCGCCGACCTCCTCGACCTCGGAATCGTCGCTGGAGTCATCCTCGTGCTCCTGGACGGTGGTCTTCTTGGGCTCCTCGTCGGGAAGTTCTTCAACGCGGGGGTTCGACATTTTGGCGACTGAGTGCGGGCACAGATGTTAGTAACTCTAGCTATTACGATGCAGTAAAATCTCAGGCAAACAATTTGTGGCTGAAAAATCTTCCCGAAACCGCAAAAATCGATAGCAAAATAAAACGATGAACGTAACGACAGCTGCGGACTTACTTGTTTTGCTGATCCCAGTTACGTCTGTTTGCTGGCCTGATCTCTCACGTCGTCGTTTTGTGATGGGGTCCTCGCACAGCGATAATTCTAGGGCTTGGTGGGAGGTGGGAACTAAGTCGCATTAGGTAATCAGATTTTGTGTCACTACCTCTCCCCCTCCAGAATTCGGATGTCCAAGAAAGTGACGACGGGTAGAGGGAAATCTATAGACAATTTGGACAATAATTAAGGTTGGTATGGGGATACATGTGACTGAGTGTAAGAACATACACATGCAGCGGAGTTTTGGGGTATTCATTTCATTTTTATTTTGGCTACAGTTCACAATGAATCCATGTTCTTTTTTGATGCTCCTTATGCTTTGAATTCAGTTGATCTCAGAATTTCCGTATTGACGCCGCTCATCTTGACGATGAAGTGTGACATACAGCCTTCCAGAATGGAGCAAAAGTGAATCCAGCAGCCTCTATACCGCCGTGATGTGTTTCCTGCCCAGTTCCGTGCCACTTGATCTAAACCCGACTTTCAAGCACCTCCGTGACTCCAGCTTAATGACCCATTTATGCAGAGGCCTTGACCTTGGCCAGAGCCTTGCGCTCCTCGAATCGTCGCTGCTTCTTGAGTCGGAGAACCTGGAAGCGTTCGAAGTCGGTGAGACCCTTCCTCCTCTCCATCTGATCCCGCTTCTTAGCCCAGTTGGTCTGCTCCCACTTGGAGTCGATCTCGGACTTCTCCCAAAGCTTTCGGACGACACCAGTTCGGGAACCGCGGTTCAGGCCCTCAACGATAAGAGAGGAGAGGAGGACCTTGCTGAGGGGAACGGCTTGTCGGGGAACAGCGAGGCTAGCGTTCGCGGAAGGACCGTCGACGAGAATCTGTGACGGGGTCAATATCGCGTATTTCGGCAAACTGATCTGGAGCAGGAAAAACCTACTCGCTTGTGGTCGATGATCTCGACGATCGTGGCCAGGCGGCCGGCGAAGGGGTGGTCGCCGTTGATAACAACGACACGGCCAACCTCAACGAGGCGCCAGTTCGAACCCTCAATGACTGCGTCGCCCATTGTGACGGTGATCTAATTAACGGTCGATTAGTCGAAATGTTCAAGAGTCGCGCGCGCAGTGATTGATTGTTCGAATGCAACTGCGATCGTAGGAGTCGAGGTTCATACCAGTTGTCGATTATGCTGTCCCGTTAGTTGGTTGTTTGCTGGAGCCGCGGACCTTGAAATCGCTAAGGACTTTTTGATGGTGGGCAGAAAAAGATCCTGTGCGTGCCTGCCCTAACTTTCGGTCTAATCTTCCGGATTAATCTTTCGCCGTCCGGCAAAGCGAACCCAGCACCCGGCAACGGAGCACGGGCCAGCCGACGAGAACTTCAAAAGAAATTTTCTGGTAGACATTAAGTCTTTTGCAGCCAACAATCTTCTTTATTATTCGAAGAGGCACACGACATTCTTGAGTGCATCAAGGTAAGAATCCGACACTTCTCTTCCCCCTGTCTTCTCTCGCACAAGGATGAGGTAATTTGCGATTGATTCTGCTTGATGGCTCTCTTTCGCCGGAGTGGCTAAATCAGGCGGATAGCTGATATTCAATTTCTTACATATTCTGAAAGCACATTTTGTCTTACATTCAGTCTTGCATGATTTGTCACTTTACAAAGGCTAACTCAAGACTATAGTGACACACTTCATCTCCTGGTCGCGAATTTTGTTGGAGTCGGCCTTCTGCCTGTTTCGTAATCACAGGCAGACAAGTTCAATGTCCATAGTTCAAAAAGACAATAATATTACAGTCAGAAATCATACTGCTCGTTTCGTTTTATTCATGTGACATGCTGTAGAGCTCTTTACTTAACGTTTTATCATCAAACCGGAACATGGTACCCAAAGTGTTAGATGGGTAGACTTCGTGATCGTTAGGACAGGCTCATGCTTGAACGAGACCCCTAGGCTCCCAAACATTCACATATTCAATTCATGGTCATATTTAATGGCTTTCAATTCAATCATTAATTCATCCTTCCCGAATCATTTGCCTGCAATGAATCGGCCGTGATCTAAAATATTGTTACAATTAAGCCTTGCCCTTGCGCTTCAATTCCTCTTCCTCCTCAGCTTGGAGTTGAGCATCGATCTTTGCGCCCTTGGAAGGTTCGTTGCCTTGAGCGCGAGCCTTATTGTGTCTGTTAGTATTTGGTGCCAAATGAAGACCAGATCTCGATTGGACTTACAGGCAGAGTGGGGTCCTTCTTTGATTGGGCGGTCTCGAGATCGTCTTCAGGCTCGGATCGCTTCTGCTTTGCATTAGTATATAGTGGATTACATCTTGCGACGGCTCAACGAACCTCCTCAGCAGCTAGGCGGTTGGCGATGGATCGCTCATCCTCTGCAATTTTGTTATGATATTTTCTCATATTTGGTCCATGTAGGTACTTACTGGAATCAAGGTTGTTGTGAGAGTTCTCCTTGCCCTCGTTGTAGGGGTCCTCAACGTTGCGCTCCGACTCAGGAGCGTTCCTCTGATCGCCAGCCTCGTAGACACCACGGTTACCAACGTTGGAGTAGCCAGACATGATGGATGTGTAGAAGTTGTGTATTTAGTGGTTGGGAAGTGAGAATTATGTGAAGAGATGAGATGCAGGTTGTATGAGAAAATCTTTCAATCGATCTCGAGACCCTTTTGTAGTTCCTCTTCGACGATGAATCAGTGCCATGGTCGTACATCTTCTCCACAACCTGACTTCATAGAATACGTCATTATAAAAGAAAGTCCTTGCTCACCACAACAAAACGCATCAGATCGCAACACATACGTCATAAGTAAAAAGAAAGAGATTTAGCTCTTCCTTAGGGTTTCTGCAACATATGCTTGTTGCAGTCGATCTTCTAGCGTAAGCGGTTGATATCAGCTTGGCGAGGTGGCTGTCTCTGATCCTTGACAGCAGGACATGTGAGACTCAACAACATTTCATGAGTTCTCGATGAGAGAGAAGGTTCATCTTGTATATACGGAAGCAATGGGGATCGAACATTCAAATTATTCTTTCTCATGATGTGGCTTGATACCTGTGATACCCTATCGACCTTGGGTTTGGAATTTGAGCAATCGAGCTGGTGTAGCGAAACCTCGTCCGATTGTTACACCTGATTTTCTCAGAAATTAGGTAGGCAATCTGCTTTCAACGTTTCGCGATTGCTGAGTTTCACAAAGACACGGCTGATAATCGAGGTATCTTCTGCGATGTGGACCTCGACTTGAACAATCACACTGACTTTAACACCACCCTTAGCCGGAACATGGTGACTGGTTAGAATTAATGAAACTTTGAACTCAGATGTGCATATCAAACTATTGATCAGTTATAAGATGACACGAAAATTTATGACATTTTGTGGCCCCTTGAAGCTTCCTTCTCTGGACGAAGTTAGACTCCATCGAAGGAATTCAAGAACATGTGGTTAGAGATCTATGATAAAGGTATCGTAAGTCCAGGTAATCTGGACCTAAGGGCTGAAATGGAGGACACAATATTTATATCTACTACATATAAGAGATCCCAAAGTGTCTCATATGCAATGTGAGTAGCATTTAAATAGGTACACAGGCTTCAGAGACATTTCCTCTTCTATCATATCTTCTCATCCATGCAGGAGGCGGAAGATAGCGGGTGTCGTGGTGGGGTCTATGCACGGGCCCTGCAAAGCCGAGCCATTAAGTCATCTTCGGCGTGACAAGCTTCACGGAGCTATACCGAATCGGAGCTCCGACATCAACCTCCATGAACAGTCGTGAATTCTTTACAATTGTCTTCTAAACATAAACCTTTGACAATCAATCAGGAAAAATGTTTCGCTTCGTGAGTTACGAGATCAATATTAGATATGCGCAATTGTTAACACACAAATAGCACAAGACACTCGATATCGTGACGGTCTTCCACAAGGCCAGCTCTCCGGCATCCGTCAGAGTCGCCAACCTTTTGAAGCAGGTCTCTGCCAATGCCACTTCTGGCGCTACCCTTGACCAAGCGAGCGATCACTCTGCTCAAACAGCACCTATCCGAGACCAATTTGAACTCAACATCACCGAAGACCCTCCTACAGACGACCAGGTGAAGACAATTCTGGAATATGTTGGAAGCAGCGGTATCCCCAAGGTGATCAAGGGCGCAAACAACGAGAAGGAAGCTCTTAGAAAGTTCAAGGAAAGCAAAGAGAACTTCATTCGGCCAGTGGTACGTTAACTTTTTGACCTAGTGATCAAAACATGTTGGCTAATAATACGTCTAGGTTGTGGATTGGAACAATGGCAAGGCCATTGCGGGCGACAACGAGTCTGAGATCCTCAAGCTTCTGAAAGCGCAGAAGTAACGTCTCTAAAAGTGTCAATGAACTATTGCATAACCCCTCTCTGTATATACTATGTCAATGATTGATACCATCTGACGATCAGCCATATTGACATCCTGCATTTGAGTGACCCATCATAACCGACGATACTAGGTTGACAAAGGGCCAAGTAACTTTTCGAAATGGTACAGAGATTTCTTTAGGTACGCTTGCCAGTCCATCCTCGACAAACCCCTTTACGAACAATTGCAAAATTTGTCGTCCAAATTTATCAGGCGAACTGTATGTCACAGAAGGGCACTGTCATTAGCCTCGTCTGATCGAACGGAGTTGTTCCTGAACCGAGATAGAAACGAGTTTTTCGATATGAATTCAAATTGGGTTTACCTTGAACAATCTACCTCTACCAGAGTGGCCGGTTATCTGCAGCAAGAAACAGCAATCACCCGCGTTGAGCTGCAGGACACTTGGGCGACTGTTGACACGTTGAGTACCTACCTTGAGCAAAAACAATCTGCCATTATCTATATAATTGCCAGAAAACCCAGGGTTCATCGTGGCCAGAGTCTGTTTCGCTCGATTGTAGGCGAGCTGGCAATCAGGCCGGAGGACTTTCAGGAAGGTTTCCTTACCTTTGTTTGACTTTGACAGTTTGCGCTCCTCGAGTCACAAGCAAGCACTGCCACAGGCATTGGAATTCGTGAATGGATACTTGCAAGCGAGAAACTTCCATCACCAGTCTGCATCGGCAGTGCCAGAGCCAGTGCCTGTGCCAGTTACGTTGCCAGTGTCAGTCACTTAATGTTTATTTAGTGACAGTGCCTGTCAGTATTGGCCAAGATAAAAGAATCATTGCCTGTTCTTCGATTGATTGTTTCCGTTTGTTTTTATTTTTCCTCATGACCTTTTTTCTTCCTTCTCTTCTTTCTCCTCAACCCTCACTCCCGATCATCTCTCCTTCCTCACGGCGCATCATCGCGCATTGAGCATCGACCTAAGGAAGAAACGACCTTCTTTCCGAAATTCATCTCCTTCATTTTCTACCTGAATCTGAACCACCAAGTGCCTGATTTTACGCCCGGGCGCTTCACTTCTCAAGGTAAGCCTCAAACACCACAACTTAGGCATGTTGTGATTTGTCGAGACGAGGTGGATGCTTCCATCTCATGACCCCTAAAGGTCTTCTAAATGCAGATGAAAGTTTTACCTCGTTTTCAAAATGAAGCGCGCCTTGTATCATCATGTGCTAACCGACCGTCACACAGAGTATCATGGCTCAACCTCAACCCGCTTCGGCGGGTGACTCCTCTATGTCCAACGGACCATCACCGCCGCCTCAAGCAATTTTGGACCCAGATCGGACTTATGCCAAAGATCAACCACCCAACTTGCGCGAAGCCTTCACCAGCTTCTACCCCAATGGCCTCCCCAACGTGTATAAAATGCTACAGACACCTGGTCCTGAGGGCGTCGTTCAAACGTATGTCGAAGACTACCTCCCTGTGGGATTCTACACCAGCCCCCCAGTCGACGCTGAAGCCGTCTTCTCTACCGCCAATGGATCGAACCCTTTTCGTTTCATGGAGCATCTCTTGCCTCAGCGTCGGGTTCACCTTTGGTCCAAAGATGAAATTCAATCTGCTTGCAACTCACTCCGCAGGCTCTACTGGCAAGTCATAAAAGACATGCCGCAGCCCTATTGCTGGGATAGTCTGTGGACGTATTTTGACGCCCAAGACATTTACCATTATGGAGCTTTGAACCTTTGGAATGTGGTTAACCAGCTTTTTTCTGAAAACAAGATCATCGCGCTGGACGTCTCGAATGCCTTCGCCATCGAAGTTGGCCAATGGGTTGAGGACTGGCTGTACAACGACGAGAACCGTGACAAACTTATCAATAGCACTGAGACTGGTCTCTCTATCAATGGTGTGATCGGTTGGGAAGTCATGAAAGACCTTCCGGATGAAGCCCTCCTTCTTATCGCAAGTGCCCTTGAGCATCGACGATCTCTGTTACTATCACCCGAGAAATTAAGGCCTGGTGCGGTGAAGCCTAATCACTTGTTGGAGTTTTACGAAAAGAAACGCCTCGAAAACTGGTTAGGTATGTAAACTTTGCTTTCAGAATCAGGTTCTATCGATATGCTTACACTTTCATAGCTGGCCAACGCGTCCTCGGACCTTCAGGTCTGTCTACGAGACCAACAGAATGGCAGCCTCACCATGTCTCCCCGGCTTCAAAGAAAGCCACTCACCCATTTATGACGATTGATGGTAAACACTACTTCAGTCGGCCTGAATGGCGTGTGTCCAGTGCTGTAGAAGCGCTCCACCAATCCGCAGCAGCAGCAGGGCCTGCCGCCCACGGCCACAGCGAGACAACCTCGATTGAACAAAACCAGGCCAACGACACTACCACTTACGGTGGTCTCCGAGTTTCGGCTCAGGCCAGAAGCAAATCCACAGAGCCTTTTCCTTCAGTCCGGACACCACCCCCCCACACTAATGGCCAGGAAAATGATGACGAGCCCGCTTCCTCTCCCAACGGACACCATGAACAGGAGGAGCAAGAGGACTTTGATGCACTGACCCCCACGAGAGTAAGACGACATGGTCGCAAAAATCCCCGGGCCACACGGGGAGCTCGAAAGTCCACAGTGACAACATCATTGCCAGGCTCAGCAGTCATGGGTTCCTCAAGTCTTGCTAGTCCTACAAAAGATGTTGCGAATGCTCAACAGGGTACAAACCACAGGCCCCCGACCGATAGTCAGAAGGCTGATTAGCAACTAGCCCAGGCTACTTCGAGTCGTTCAAAGGACCAGATCGCTGAAAATAACATCAGAGGTGCAGAATTACAGTTGAGCACCAATGATAAACCTAAGAACAGCCAGCGACCGAACCGAGCTTTTGATCAGCCAGTGGCTCACGATCAGAAAGAAACGAAGTATCCTGGAAATATGAATACATTCAATCACATGCAAAGACCTGATGTAGGCTTTCAAAACAGTGTGCTGTCTAGTGGGCTCCCTGAGGATATGATGCGTTCTGAGCAAATCGCGATGCAGACTCCTCCCGGGGCAACTTTTAACTCCTCAGAAACTTTTAACGCTGTCACTCAAGGAAACTATTCTGTACATCCTCAACAGAACTTCCCAGTTCAAAATGGATTTGACTATGGTTTTCCACATGTTCAGCAGCCACCGCCGCCTCAAAGGGGTCCATTGCCCAGCCGTGGTAGAAATACCAGCAACTCTTCCCGCAACGATCGTTTTGATTCAAATGACAGCCGATGGTCGCACCAAAACCATGAAAATCTCAACGGTGGGAATGCTGGATTGGGTCGAGGAGGTTTCCAACGCGGAGGGGGTCGTAAAAATCGCCGTGGTGGCCACAACCAACGAAATGCGACTGCGCCTGTCGCGCAACCTCATACCGGCCCTGATTTCAATCAGAAGAGGCGCGATGCACCACCGTGGAAGGATTCATGGCGTCGGGATCAAGTTACTTGTCAGAACGTTCAGGATGGTTTCACGATCAAAGGGTATGTACCTTGCTCTTGCCAGATCTGCGATTCTCGTAACCGCTCCGTATACATCATTGTCGAAGGCTATCAAAGGATCCATGGAGCAGACGTACTCACACGGCTCAAATACGGCCTGGCTGAGAGATATGGGCATGTGGAGGAGGTGTTCCCCATCGCGTCCAAGGAACCAGGACGTTATATTGCCCGGTAAGTCATGATTCCTTATTTTTGTAGAAATAAATGATCAACTAACACAAAATAGATTTGCAGACTCCTCGTCAGTTGGTCAAGCCCTGACTATTGGCGGCGGTAACATGCCTGAGCAAGGCATATCTGTTAAATTCTCTCCAGCTTTGCGATCAAAATGGACACTCTCGGAGCAAGCACCCACTCGACCAGTCCCAGGTCGAGTTGCTGGTCAAAATGCTCCCGCTGTGCCATTCTCTCCTTATCCCTTTGGCCCATCGATGCCAAGCAATGCGCCAAGTACTGCAGCAGTTCCTTACATGATGCCTGGCATCATTCATCCGGCTGTGGTCAACCCTGGGCAAGCACATAACACCCATTTCTGGCAAGCCAGCGGAGGGCAACGTTCTGTGTCTGGGTTTGTACAGCCTCCTGCCTCTGGTATTCCATCTACAATTGTGCAGCCCGGATCCAACCTACAACCGTTCTTCCCTGGACAGCCAACTCTTGCCCCAAGACAACTTCCTGTCCCCCCTCCCGTCCAGCAGGACCAGGAAAACATATCCTCTTATGAGGTACTACAGACCAAACCTCCGTCCGAAGAAGCTTTGGATGAAATCCAACACCCTGATCAAGATGACCCAGCTAGCCCGCGAAGTGACGGAAGCAAGTGTACTGGGATCAAAGCTCGCGTCTCCTTGCCCAGCACCCCCACGAAAGCTTCCCTTATCCCCCAAGGAACACCAACGCAGCCAAATGAAACAGTAGAAGGGGTTGCGGGTATTGATACGGCAACACATCATCAGAATGGGACGCCCGTGAACTCGCTTGAGAGCCGGGCAGAAGCAAAGATGACATTTGGCCATCAAGCTAAACTAGTGTCTGAACCAACCGGTAACAAGAACAGTCACAGTCGTACATCAAGCATCTTTTCTGAGAATGAGATCAAAGAGAGACGAAAAGCGTGGGCTAAAATTCCTATGCCTATAAATCTCCGTAGGCCTCGGTCGGCTACTCCAATCAAACCTAGCAGCATCGCCATTGAGAACGGTCGCAACTTGGGGGTTGGAAAGAGCGACAATCGCGAACCTAATGCTACTAAGTCGGAGAAGCCAATCTCAGCCCAGAATGTAACTTCTGATCCGGGTACCGGCGATGCTCACGAGCCATCTACGTCTGAGAACCCCGAGTCTAAGTTTCCATTGCCGCATGCGCCAAAAGATCCGTCTGCTGCTCGCTCAACCAGGTCAACAAGAGAAGATGCTACCGAATCACAGAAAGCCACCAAAGATGAAGCACATCCATCTGAGATACCTGCAGCCTCTCCTATGACTGAAAATGTCACATCTAAGGTTGAACAATCACTTGAGCAAGAAGATAACTCGGGCACGCTACCAAGAGGTAAAGGAAAGAATGCGAAGAAGGCCAAGAAAAAGAAATCGAAGCAGATCATGGCATCTCAGGGCATCGTATCCAATCACACCTTTCAACAAAACCAGTCCTCCTCTTCTCCTCAATCCAGCCACATGGCACCTCAGCATATGCATGGTGGCAGCGGAGGGTTGGGGTTTAATACAGACTATGGAGGTTATATCGGAAGTCAGGAATCAGGTTCATCTTCGCCTATCAAGCGACATCACGATGGGCCTGAACAGCCTTCTGTATCTGGTTCTGCTAAGCGAAGTAAGAAGCATGGAAACAGCCACGAACCTACTCAGCACCAGCCTCAACTCCAACCTTCATTTGACGAATCAGATTCTCCCGATGAGGATGAACGCGGCCGTCGGGGATTCAGAATGGGTAGAGGAGGTTCACTTCGCCTTGGCAAGCAACGTCGACCTCGTCCTATGATTCCTGGCGCAATGCTTGCAGAACAACAATTCAATGCTCAAGAGCCACCTCCTTCGTCTGGTTTTGCTTTTCAATGCCAGAGCCTTCCTAAATCTGATAACTCGCAGAACTGGCGTGATAACGAAAATGGCGCAAGAAGCCGTCTCAATCCCGAGGCCCGAGAGTTTGTGTCTCCATCGAGAACAGCCTCTATCAACAAAGGACCAGTTGCCCATCTCGGCAGTGGTGAAGCATCGGGTGGTGGCACAGTGAATGAATCAGCTGCCCAGCTTGACCAAACAGATGAATCGATCCGAGAGGCCCTCAAGACCGGGCTCGATTACGCATGCGACACACCTTTGCAGAATGAGAAAGCCCCCTCCGCCACAACTAGCCAGACCCCTCAACGTCGTCGAGCCACTTCAGAAGTGGTCCAAAAAGAGACTCCTAGAAAGGAGAAGGGGCCTGCTCATCAAGGAGAGGGAAAGAAGACTCCGGCGAAAATTTCGAAACGAGGCAAAGGCAAGGAGAGGGTAGTGACAATGAGTGCGAAGGCCGACAAGGCTGAAGCAAAGGGTGAGAAAGCTCAAGACATGCCTCAAACCCCTGAGAATCAAGGAGGAAAAGTCAAGAAGCCTGGCCTGATCGACGATGACTGGCCATCACTTCCAGCCTCTCGGGAACGGGCGCAGTCTAAGCCACAGACACCATTGATTTGGGGTGGAAAGACGAAATCTACCCAAGATAACGGTGGACTCGGAGAAGGATCTCCTGTCACGAAGAACTAAACTGGGACAAGGTGACCGGGAACACATCAGGAAGAACGGAGAGAGGCATGAGGAGACATGAATCGAGGAATGATCCATGAATTTCTTTTGGTACTGTGCGCTCTACTTGACATCAAGTCAGTAGAAGAGAAAGAAAGAAAAAAGGATGGATAGGGGGCAGGGTAGTGGATTTCGAGGGCTTGTATTGCGCATGGACAAGTTGGATTGTCCATTGAAATAGTTTGCCACATCTGGTCTGCTATTGTGCACGTCATCATAGTATCAGGTTAGGGGATTAGAAAAAAGTGCGATTTAAGCAAGGTGTAATATAGTACCTTGAGTACAAACAGATGATTTGTCATATTTCTTGATAATGGCGAGGTGCTACTATATCAATATTCCAATCCCCGAAGCTTATATGTATCTGAATGTGTTACTGGGAAGTAATATGACCCCGGTAACGACAAGGCCATGAATCAGCCACGAGGAGGTCGATATTCAAGATGATGGGCTTCGTAGTGGTACAATGCTCTCTTGTCGCATGCTGATTTGACCCTTATGTACATTTCATCGTCGTGATGCCCGAGCTCGAGGTCTCTCCCTTTGACTTGTCGTTCTTTTCGCAAATATCAATCAAGCAATAATCATCCTTCTATTGAGCAGACTTAACCAAACCAGTGACGGTCTCCTCAATCTCCTTGTCAGAAAGACCCTCGAGAACCTGTGACTTCTCAACACCTCGGTCTGTTTATACGATGTTAGTACTGCCGTTATTTCGATTATATGGCCCTGGAATGTCCGAGAAGCTCTAGGTGATATAGGATACGAACCGTATCGGGCAAAGACCTTGGGCTGGGTGCCAGCGGCCTCTCGGATCAGGATGGGAATGTTGGGGTTGTTGCGCTTCATGGTAGGGTACGATCGGGTGATGAATGATCTATATCGGCGCAAAAAATGATCAGTTCAATGATTCCTCGAGCTCTGCCGTCCTTATGCAATGTCCTTCGATCGCTCGTATCCTCCAATGCGCTCAATTGGGCCAGTATCATATCGATTGTTGTCGTTGTCATTCAGAAGTAAATGGTTCAAACGTACCGAAGAGCCGCGCTCTGCTCCGAAGTCTGGCAAAAGAGGAATCGTACCTCTCGGAGGGACTGTGTGAAAGCGTACTTTGCCGACATTATGAAGCGAATTGACGTGGTTGAGTCGTTAAAAGAGAAGCGACGGAGTCGGGTCGACCTTGAAGTGCTAAGTAATTGCGAGCTTGTGGTTGGCAAGGATCCTTAGGTTCCTCACGGGCGGAATAAACTGAAAGGCGGTACAAAGGTAGGTACGTACAATTTGCATAAAAGAACCAATGGCGTAATAGTGCAAGTGCATAATTCGTTTATGCACAGCCTCCGGTGCCGCTGACAGCTTTCCCCCCACGTAGTTCGCAGTGAGCCCCGGACGCACGATATCTCCGGTTTCCGGGCGCCGTGTAGTGATGGATTTAGTGGATGGTGCGCTAAATCCACAGACCACAGCCTGGAAATGTAGAGGTAGAGTTGGGCCATCTCGGGGCGACAGTGACCGACCACCCTTGCCCCAACGTCTCAAAGCTTCTTTCGCCCGTTGAACCTCGTCTTTTTGACTACTATCTACGTCTGTTGGACAATCTCCCCTCCACCAAGAGCTCAACGTGTAAGTTGCCATTGACCCTCTGATCATGAATTCAATTGTGTCGTTTAAGACTTTTATGTGGTCGCCAAATGTCTTGTTTGCACGCGAACTGTCTTGACTAACTTTTGATTCCTGATATTGAATCTCATATTGATATCAATATTGATACTGACAATCGCATAGCAATTATGGCTCCCTCCGCAAACACCATCTTCCGCGCCTCGCGCCCTCTCTTCCGTCAGGCTACCCTCGCCGCGCCCGCTCGACAGGCTTTCCGTCAGCAGAGCTTTCGACAGAACTTCTACCAGGGCAGCGGCCGTCGATGGCAGAGCACTGATGGCGCCCAGCAGCAGCAGCAGAGCTGGTTCAAGCGCATGATGGAGAGCGAGGTTGGCTTCAAGACTGTGCATTTCTGGTGAGGACAAGTCTAGGATAAGCGATCGTTGAGACAAAATGCTAATATGCGTGGTTGTAGGGCTCCTGTCATGAAGGTTCGTTGACGATATTATCCCGCGATATTTACACTACGAAAGCAATTACTCTCGCAACATAATCCGATCACGTCGAAAAACCGATATAATCACATCTACTGACTTTGTTCGTCATCTATAGTGGGCTCTTGTCCTTGCCGGTATCTCCGACTTCGCTCGTCCCGCCGAGAAGCTCTCTTTCACTCAGAACCTCGCTCTGACTTGCACCGGTATTATCTGGACCCGGTGGTGCCTCATCATTAAGCCTAAGAACTACCTGTACGCTTATACCCCGCTGAATCATACAAACTCAAGCTAACAGCTTTATCTTAGCCTCGCCGCTGTCAACTTCTTCCTCGGAATGGTCGGCCTCGTCCAGATCACCCGAATTCTCAGCTGGGAGTCAGCAAAGAAGAAGGGCCTGGAGGGTGTCGTTGAGGACATCAAGGCTGACGCCAAGAAGACCATCCAGGAGGTCAAGCCTTAAGTGCAATCAAGCATGGGCAAATTAGACAATTGTCGAAAGGTGTGGCCTTACTCGACATATTTCATGATTTGTAATGCCACAGTCGATTCCTCCTTTTGAGGAACTGGTTTCGAAAGGTGTGAGTCGCAAATGGACGCATTTCTTGCTTTAAAAGGAGGGGATTTCAAAGCCATTCCAGAGTCAGGGGGGGGGGGGCCTCCGGAATTGGTTATTACTTTTTACATGGTAGATTACAAACGAAATAGTCAGCATGTAAATCTGAGGACGGGCTGGGTTCAACAAATAAACTTATACAAGACATGGCTAGCATCTCGTAATTTGAGTGAATATCAACCATATAGGTGTCAACTACCTTAGGTAGGTATCTCATACCAGCTATACAACAGCCAGTGACTTCCATTGTCATTATAATCCAAATCCACTATAGATATCTCTCTAAAATTGTTCTTCAGGTATCATTCATGATGGCATCCATAACACCAGCAACTTCTTTACACCACCTATGAACGCCCTGCCACAAATATTTCCCTTCGCCATAGATAGCCCCAGCCATCCATCCAATCATTAGCTGGCTGTTGAGCCACGGAACGTCAAGTGAGGAACCAGTGCCGATATGTACATGTACAGACTCAAAGAAAAGATAAACCCCCTTTCTTCTTAACAGCCATCAACTTGATTGTTCATCTCATGATATCAGGTCATTCATATTTCGAGATCTTGTGCCCACGCCGGGTGATTAGTCTCCAGAGATGCTCATCATTGTAACCATTATCAATCGTTCGCTTCTTCTCATTTCTCCGTATGTCCGTCGTTCAAAAGCATCTCCAAAACGATCTGCCGACCTGGAAGCTCTGGGTGGGCCATGGCAATCTTGACAGTGCCCTTTGACCCTTCGCTACCCGCGCTCGTCGACTGCATATAACCGTTACTGTGTGACTGCGGGTTCAATGTGCTCCGACCAGTCGGTCCACGGACGCCGAGATCGAGCACGCGCACGTCTCGACCAGCGATAATTTGGCGCAATCGTCCGTTCTCCGCGTTGCGCACCTCAACATAGTCCTCGTTAAAGAGGAGCAGATACTGTCCATACATGGTCGCACCACGGGCCTTCTTCTGCTTACCCGTGTACTCCATAATCAGCGTGCGGCTGACATCACCGTGTTTGTCCACGTATACAGCGCAGTCCTCATATGTCACGATGAATTCGTTCTCGTTCAGCCTGAACATGCCGAGCGGCTTCTGATCTCGGATGCGGCCAGCAATGTTGGCAATCGCAGGTGCCTTAAGGTCGGGAATAGACATAGGCTGCTTCTTATCCAGGGTGAGCATCTCGACTCCCTTCGCTGTCGCAACTGCAATATATGTTTGGAACAGACTAAGGGAATAGCACTCAGTTGGGAAGAAGAATTCATCAAAGTCGCGGAATGTCTCCGCGCATCCTCCACCACCAGTCTTTCGTCCACCAAAGAGTCGAGACTTCTTCTCGGTAGATTTCTGGAAGATAGGCTCGAGAACCTTGAATGATGTGTGCAGACCTTCCTTTCGCTTGTAGAACAGGAGCATTCTGTCCTTCATCTTAGCTGTGGCGAAGTAGGTTACGTCCTTGGCAAGTCTCTGTGGTGCTCGTCGAGGGTTATCGTTGACTGGCGCCGAGAAGTCAGATACTGGGGCAATCACATCCAAAGGATATGAAATGAGGTTCTTGTCGGCAATGAGCACGCAGACAGAAAACTCCTCAAGGACAGCAATTTGAGTGACGCGAGTTGCTTGGACCGTCTGTAATCAAAATGTTAGCTGTTTCTCACAGTAAAGAAAAGGGGGCCACATACCCTCTGCCATCCGCGAGGATTTGATGGCTCCGAGATATAGACTCCGTAATCAGTTCCAATTGCAATAACAGACTTGCCAAAGGCAGTAAAGCTGGTAGCGCAGTTGACCTGAGCACGACACACAGGGGCGACGCCCTGAGCTGGTCCTAGCACACTCTCCAACTCGTGAATTGCCCGGTCAAGGGGAGTGCCTTTAACTGCAACACTTGAGAACCGCGCGTACATAGAGGTAGTGTCATAATGGAAAGCAGCATCCGCGAGAACCCGTAGCCTGAATGGCTCGGCATTTTGAGAGAAGAGTGCCTTGGCGTGCCTTGTCTTGGTTTCGATAATCTTGTTACACCAGTCGGCACGATCCTTGGCTGACGATGCATACAAAGTATAAACCTCGTGACCAAGATGCTTGACCTTGAACGGATAGAGGATTTTTCCTTCAGTGTCGTTCGAGCCGGTTGGTGTAAGACCAGAGCCAATAGACGAGTTTGTCGCTGCATGCTCCAGACCAGGCCTACCCGTATTGCTACCAACCTTGTTAAGTTGAGTGCTAGAGGCAGCCGCTGCTGTAGTTCTTCCCAATGGAGCAGTGATACCCTTTTGCTTCTGAACTGGTTCGTCGTTGACGCTCTCGGGGAACAGGAGGGGCATGGGGATGGGCTACACTTCGTTAGATATAGTTTCGTAGACTGTTCAGCAAATTTCACGTACCTCCTTGGAAACATCATACTTCTTGTCCTTGCCCTCCTTGGGAGTCACCGTCTTCGCCAGAATCATGTAGTGGTCGAATAGCAAAGCATGTGTGTCAACCCACCTAACTCCCTTTGATCCCATTCTTTGTAGGTCACCTTGGAAGATCAACTCACGGCCAAGGTGGTCGAGATTCAAAACAGAATGGAAACCTGGCCTTAGCACAAGCATTCTGTTCAGCTCCATCATTTGGACTCTCTTGTTTTGTTCTTCAACCTTGGCATCAGACTCAAGAGTGACTTGTCGGATTTCTGCGATAGCCTTGAGCAAGTTCGTTTTTTCCTCGCTGTCGGTTTTCATTTTGTGCACAACACTGTCAAGTAGAAGGGAGTAGCGCTGAAGACGCTGAATAGGCGCGATCAAGTAATGTGTCCAATCGTGCTTCGAAGAGACCTTTTGCTTCTGCATGTCGTCCAAGAATCGTTTGAAGAGAATATTGCGATCGGCCTCCCTTCGAACCTGATAGACTGCGTTGGGGTAAGCCGACGCATACTCGATATAGACTGATTTGGCTTTGCGAATCCATTCTCGGAACAAGTCGCTGAAGCCAATAATCCAAGGGCCCTGCTCTTGTTGTCGATACTTGAGCTGCGACAAAAGATGGTCCTTGTTGATTGCCTGGACCTGATCCAGCTTTCCAAACACCGTATGCAAGAACTTGTCTCGCTTCTCGGGCTTCAGAATAGGGGGTTGCATGACCCGGAGCTGATCCCTGTAATACCTGCGGAAGATATCCAACTGCTTGATGTAGTTTTCCTCGCCAGTAACAATTTCGTGTAAAATGTTCTGACGCTCGACCTCCTTCTTGGGCTTTGATTCCCAGTCAGCCTTCGTAAGACCATAAAAGACGTGCCACTCGTCCGCAGGTTGAGAGTCCTGGGCGAGCTCCTCCAAGTCAACCTTCTTGAGAGTACGAGTACAATGATGAGAGTAGCATCGGCCACCAATCTCCTCGTCATGGATCTTAGGTGCATAGCATCCAGAACCAGTTAATTGCCACAAAACTCCAGAGATGCGGCCGTTTCCAAATTTGACCCATTCTTCATCAGGCACAAGCACACCTCGTTCCAGCATTAACAATACTACATGTGTGCTAAGAACTTCGGCATCTGCCACGTTCATCATGGGGATCTTGCCAGTGAAGAGATTGATCAAAGCCTCCTCGATCGTCTTGGTCCTTAAATCCATCTCACCTTCTCCCATCTCACGAATCCAAGTTTCAAGACCGCTGAGCGCCCATGGCTCAGTGCATCTGCGGAAATCGGAAGCGTTAAGCTTGGAGGGGATGAACTTCTTCTTTCGACCGCTTGGTAGTGTGATTCCATCGAAGGCCGCTATCGAGCCGGCAGGAGTCTCGTATTCTGGGAAAGATTGGTTCGATGGTACTTGCTGATGGCCGTGCCTGGCGAGCTTCCTCCTTTCCTCAGCAGCATCAGTCCTAGATCGAGCAGGTGTTTGCACCTGAGGTGTATGGCTATGACCAGCCAAAGAGATGGATCGTTCAGGTTGCAGGTTGTAAGCTTGATTGCCTGTATAGTAAGCTTCAGGGTTATCCGGTGCACCAAATCGCGAATCGGTACTACGCGAGTATGCGTGCTGGTACTGCTGTCGGTTGTTGGTCTGAACTGACAGCATCGAGCTGCTGTCGGATCCCGGCCCTGGGATGGCTGGGAGGGGTCGACTTGATAGTCCTGGGTGGTAGAATAGATCTTGCAGTTCATCCTTACTAGGGGACTCTGTTCCACTCTGTCGAGACCGCAGTGATACTCGTTCATCCTCCTCGTCGAAGCTCAGTCGATGTTGTGTTGGGGGCTGCAAGCCTCCTGTACCGCCATAGTCTATTTCTGCCGTCTTGAACGCAGGCACACTTTCCCCTTGATCATATGCACGGTTGAAATAGCCTGGCGTGGGCAGGGGTCGACCAGTATCTTGGCCGGATGAGGCGGGTGGAGATCCAACATCCCCGCCATATGTTAAAGTACCGCCAAATCCACCTCCTAGCATTCCCAAGTCTACACCAGCAAAATCGCTGTCGCTGCTGTGGCCTTGCTCTTCGGGGTGAGTATGTAACGTCTTTGTTGACAACGAGTTGATAGGAGCGGGCTCTGGGGAGGGATCTGGCATAGCAGGCATGTCCGTATATCCGAAGCCGACACTGAACCGCTGTTCGTCGAGCTCAGCTTGTCGCATAGCCATCAAACCAGCCTCTCCATATGCGTCGTCGTCATCTTCTTCAGGCTCATAAGCGGTCTGACCAGTTCGCGTCGATGTCGTTCGGCTGGCATTGTTAGGAATTGTAGTGGCACCTGAGTCAAAACGTTGCAATCGCTGGCCATGAAGATCGTTGTCATATTGACCATTCTCAGGCTCAGGAAGGGGACGGTAGCCTTGTCCAGAACCGCCCAATTCTAGCTCCAACTCTTGCATAAGGTTGTCACTCGTAATGCGCTCATGTCCGGCACTCCAGGTAAGCTCATCGTCGACAGGACGACTCGGCAAAGGTGCATTTGTTGGGTGCCGTTGCAGTCCGGGTGATGTTGATCCAGGGTTCGCGGGCGATCCGATAGGTGAGGCCTGTGAATTTGAACGGGATCCTCTATTGTAGAGTGAATTATGCTCATTCGGGGAGTAATATGGCCCGACTGGCATCTGCGTCGCGGTAGGATATGGAGGCTGCGAAGCACTCGAGAAAGATCCTCCCCCATTAGACAATTGGCCTGGGTATTGGCTATAAGACTGGTCATATGCCGAGGTCTGTGCTGCGCCAGGCGAGGCATTGAGTGAGGGGCTCCGCAATGGCTGTTCAAACCCGGATGATAAAGCAGGAGAAGCCGCCGATTGCGGGTAACTTCCTGTAGATTGATTGAAGCTAGGGGATGTTTGTGAGCCATATGACTGGCCATATGTGTTGTATCCTTGGTAAGAAGCTTGTCGTTGTGGGACATTGGTGCTTGCATAAGCAGAGGGGTCGTAAGCCTGCGGTGTGTAGGAGCTGGCATTCGAAGCATAACGCGAGGGAGGCTGATGCTGAGGCTGATTACGGTATGGTAGAGCGTTGGTGGATGTCGACCGCGAGAAGCCTGAAGTTTGCGCAAAACTTTGAGGATTGTATGAGTATGTCGGCGTGGGGGGCACATCTTGGTACTGGTGCTGATAGCCCGACAGCGCGTTGTTCGTGGAACCGTAGCCTGGCCGGGCCGCCGCATTGTTATTCATGAAGAGCTCATCCTCTTCAGAGCCGCCAAAGGCAGGAGATCGGTTGGTGGGTGGTTGAATATAAGCGGTATCGTCTCCGCCGTTGAAGCTAGCTCGGCGTCCAATATCGTCGTAGGATGAGTGCGGCTGTTGCTGTTGTTGTTGTTGCTGCTGCTGTTGCTGGTACTCTTGGCCGCGGCCGGCGACCGGATACTGCACAGGAGGCACATGGCCATATCTTCGCTGGTCGTCGCCGCGAAAAGACATGGCGGCAGGTGACTGTTGTTGGAAGTAGTTGTGACGAGGGAAGCGGGAATGGTCGTAAGAACAAATGCGAGTGCCGGTTGGGCTTGGCGGTTCGGGCGTCTACCTCGTATAGGACGGCGAGGGTTGAAGAGCGTGGGCGGGTCGCATTGAGAGGTCGAGGACGTCGACGATGGGTACAATAATGGATTGCGAGTGCTGAAGACGACGCTGTCGCCAACAGAGTAAGATGCAAAAAAAAGAGCGACGGATTTGTTGTGCGCAAAAACAAATCGAGGCGGTCGGGTCGGGTTCGAGTCAATGAGCTCAGCGGAGAAAATGGATCTTGATTCGGAGATGGATGTGGATGGACTGGACTGGATTATGTGTGATGGGCGGACTCGAGAGCGGCGGGCGCGGAATTGGGATTGGATTGTCTGAGCGAGACAGACGAGAGGGAGAAGCGAAACTAAAGCGAAAGCCCCTCTTACTCAGACAGTGACAGGACAGGACAGGACAGATAGCGTAAGTCTGGTCTGGTCTAGGCAAACAGGGTCCTGAGTCCTCCACTTGAAGTATCTGTCTGTTTGTCGGGTCCTAAATTTGGGTCTGAGCTAGGTAGAGAACAATAGAGCCTTGCGTCCTGCGGTGTGAGACGGACTGGACGGTTTCGGTCTGTCTGGTTGGACTCCAGAGATGACGGGAAGAAAAGGACAATTATCGTATCAACAAGAACAATAAATCAGTCTCGTCCTCAGCGTCAGAATTTGGTTGGTGCAAAGGCAGGGTTCAGCGAGTGACGGGGAAATAATAAGGCAAGTGATTAACCCAAGAGAAGGGGACTGTATCCGACGGAGCATGCAGGCGTAAGGTAGGTGAGATTGGAATAACCTAAACTAATTAGACGTCACTGAAGATCAATCAGGCTCCGAAGTTTCCCCATGTCATTAATGTCCATCCATCCATCCAACCCATCCCATCCCATCCCAACCATTCATGGACTATCCTCGGGAACGCCTTGAGTTGATGTTACAGTATAAGCCACAGTCAATGATACAAAAGTTAAATAGTCTCAACGGTCAAGAAGCGTATGCCTTGTTATACTGAATCGCAAATATTCATTGCCCAGGTACAAACACACTCCACAGTTAATTATCGCCTGGGGAACCCTGGGGTTTTAGAACTCGGTCTTTGGCCATTAAAAGTACCTTGTTATTCGAATTTACCCATGAGGCTTGATGGTGCGACCACATCATAGGTAGTCTGGGTCACGGGCTCGTGCTCAGGGTCATGACCTGGGGTTTTGGTGTTAGTGGCCGAGGATGTTTTACATACTTGATACAGAGTTACAAACGTTCTTCTTTGGTTGCGGCGGTGCAAAACACAACATTTCTGAGCCATGATTGTATCGCGTTCCATCTCAAGTTCAATGTGGGGGTCAAGAGACGTGAAGTTACTGGGCGGCCTCGCTGTCAGATTATCGGGATACTTCCAACGTACGTCACGGATGGCGCAATAAGGATGTTGTCTCCCGGCTCTTCGTATTCGACAATAACTCTCACCTCGGTATGAGAATACTATTGGCCAAGGAATGCGTGTCTGAATTTGGACCTGAAATCCGAATTCAACACGGTACTAGGTATGTAATGAGGTAGCCCAGTACTACTTTGTTTGTACTCGTCCAAGGCTGTTAAAACTGAATCTTTGTTTATGCTTTGTCTATTGTTAAGTCTGGCATCTACCCGAGAGTCTCTAATAAAAGCAGCAACGGCTGATGAACCTTAATTCAATTTGGTAAACACATGTGAATGAATGAATGAATGAATGATTCTACCCCGTGGTTATGACTCCCCTGCTAATCGCAATATTCCAAGACATGCTCCCATCAACAAAAACGATAGGGCTGATTTATGGTGACATTCCTATGATGAGTGTCCTACTCATCTGACTGCATGTGCTAGGTTTCGGCATGTCGACTCGATGTGTTACGGCCAGACCGAAGCATGTCAGCCGCCTAAAGCCACAGCCCTACAAGACAGTTCAAGTTGCTTTGGACAAACCCTGTATCGCATCTTGTGTCTTTTACCATGAGGACCCTGAAATTGGGCTGCTACCTACCTCGGAGATCCAGATACCCAACCGAGCTAACTTCATCTCACTCAATCCACAGCACCCATGCTGAGTCTGCTTGGCATTCACTAACACAAGTTCTCTCCACTTATAGAGAGCGTTTTGTTCAAGAACACAGCCATGGCCAGCAGTAATTGGGCGCACCGTATACCCGTTATAATTACCGAAGCTGCAGGCTGACTTGCCAAACACTTTACGCATGCCTATGAACAAGCCAAGCAGTGAACGTGGTAACACAACTGTCAGGTCATGAGTGTTTGAAGTTGCTAGGCTGACTCCATCTCAATGGTAATATATGTTGTTTTAAAGCTTGAAAGGACCGATAGAAAGCTCTCACTTCTAGTGTATGCAAGAAACTGGCTTGTTCTTTTATATCGTGCTCATTCGAACTTCAACTCTCAAGTCGGGATAACCCTATGAATCACGGCGACGGGCTTCGGCATCTGCCCCACTATTTACGGCTCCGTTCGGGCAGTCCGGAGACGGAGTCGGAACTCAATTGCTGGGGTCGTCTTGTTTTTGTTATAATAAGGCTGTTGAATCGTTAGTCAAGATATCTTAAGATTTAACATGAGAACAACATTGCGACCAGACGTAATGATTATTTCTGACTGTAAAACTGATAGAAATGTTTCGAAATGTAAGCTTAAGTCTCAGCTGGCGGGTCTGGCCTCTGAATTGTGGGGGTGGAAGGGGAGCGTGGGGTTTCACCTCTCACCTCTGAATCAACTGAATCAACCTCACTTATTGATTCACTACAACTCTTCGAAACTTACTCCAAACTCATGAATCGTTACAATGACAGGTGACACACACCGCAAGATCTGTCAACCCCTCCACCCCGCCATTCGTGACCGCCTGGATCCCCAATACGTCACCTATCATGATGCACATCTACAGTATATCGAGAGAGACGAAATCAAAGATTGGGATGGCTCAACACGTACTAAGAAGACTTCTCTTCCTCCAGGAGGGACCAAACCTATTCTCGTAGGAAGCATCAGCGATTATGACGTTGGTAGATTCCGAGTGAGAGTTTACACACCAACGGGTCAGTGTGATGAACGAGGCTGGCCTGTCCTCGTTTGGTTTCACGGCGGTGGCTGGGCAGTTGGAGGACTTAACAATGGCACAGATCTTTGCTGCTGGGCCTGTGAGAGTATGTGTTTCTTTGCTTGTGCCTGATCGTACGATGCTTACACAAAAACCAGGAGCTCGGTGTATAGTTGTCAGCATTGACTATGGATTGGCCCCTGAAAACCCATTCCCAGCTGCAGTCGAGGATGCGATTGACGCCGTGAGATGGGTCGCATCTTGTCCAGCTGAACTACAAAAGATCGACACCTCTCGCATTTCCATCAGCGGGACATCAGCTGGTGCTAATTTGGCGATTGTCGCTGCATTATCCGCATCGAACCCAGAAGTCCCTTTGCCGACAGCTCAACCGTCACTTCCAAATACTATAACACACCCTCCGATATCATTGGCCTTATTCATACCGGTTGTTGACAATACTGCCACAGCTGAAGGTGTATGGAAGCCTAATGCCGAGACTGCACCATGGCTTACACCTGCGCGAATGGAGTGGTATCGTAAGCTTTACTTCACTCAAGATGATCATCGCTCTCGATGGGACGCAAGCCCTAACCTGGCCCCCGAAGCTCTCTTGAGTAAACTTCCAAAGACTTGGATTGCTGTTGCAGAGATGGATATTCTCGCACCAGAGGCAGTGGCTTTTGGAAACCAGTTGAGGGGGTTGGGAGTCGATGTGGAAACGTTACTGGTGAAAGGTGGAACACACTCTATTCTTTCTCTTCATGGTGTGATTGATAGGGGATATAGTATGATAGAAGATGCTGTCAAACACTTACAGGTGACTTTTGGCACGGGTTAAGATACGAATGCAGCTGGAATATGCTTCTTAAACTACTCGGAGACAATAGGGACTATTTATAAGATCCATATAATTCACTATCAACAGTGCATTCAATCAACATTTGTGCCACCCTATCAATGCCTACAGTCTTCCCTATACATATCCCAGTGATTGTTTCCGATACTCGTTCTGATACTCCCCCATATATACCATCCCGAACCAGGCCTAAACTGCAACAGCTTCGCTCGTGGGTGTCTTTCGGTCTGAATCCTCCACTGACTCTTCACTAACCATCGCCTTGTTTTTGCGGTTGCGGAAGCCCCAAATGCCCTTGAGACCACCATCATCCAGCTCCAACAGCTCCCTCATGCATAAGGCTGGATGGAATATATTGAGAATGGCCACAGCAACAACAATCAAGATGCCCTCAAACCCAACAAACATATACTGATGACCCATGAGGGGCCCCTTCCAGCCTCCAGACAATTCTGCAACTCGAAAGGCGCTTCTCCAAAGAATGCAAAATGCAGATAGTGATAGAGCGCAGAGAAAAGCTTTGAACGGACGAGAATTGCGGACCTTGACGATTTCAGGGCGCTGATCAAAGGCTGCTCCACCAAGGACACGCTGGCGACGAATAGTTCGAATGGCAAAGTCGACTGAGCAAGCAATAAAGGTGAGAATCGTGACGACCTGAAAGGCGAGTCCTGCTATCATGATGTTTGTGCCTAGGTCGGCGCTTTTGTACTGTTGAGAAGCAACGGAGGCCATACCACCCCCAAGAGCTTGAAGGACTAGGGAGACAACATCGCAAGGGATGAACTAAAGAGTCAGCATATTAGTATCCAAGCTCGATGTTATCTACCCGAGGATGACTTACAAATCTAGTATAGTACTCAGGAGGCAACCGTGAGTTCTCTGGTCCGAAAGCTGATACAATCCTGCGAAGACAGAGATAAATAGAAGCAGCCATAAAGGCTGGACCCATGGTCAAGCAACAAATCTGCGTAAGAAAAGCATTCATATCGAAGCGGTTGTACCAACTCGCGATACGTCCACTGTATCCAATAATCTCGCAGAGAAGACCGAGGACCATGGCGACACTGAAAGCAGTACCTCTGCGGGTGAAAATCCAAGTGACAATGAAACCAATCAACGACGCTGTAAATATCGCAAGAAATGCAGCATTTGGTGCAAGATCAATGCGATAGAGGTAGTAGCCAGTATCGTCTACACATCCTTCAGCTTCAGGATTTTTAAGACAGAAGAAGGGCATGTAAGGAGCTTGTGTCCCGTTAAGGGAAACCGGCGAGCTTGGCTGCATGATGGGAAAGGATAACAGGGCAAGGCATTAAGTGTGTCCGGTGTTTAAAGAAAAAGGATGAGAAGACAAGTAGCCATATATATTACTTCGCCATGCCACTACGCTCCCGTATTTCAGCTTCAACGCGAGTGGCCCATTCGCTCTGACCATATACAAACAACCTTAAAATAGCCATAATCTATAAGAAAAGTACCCGGATAAGGGCTACAGAAGGAGGTTCAGGATTCGATAATGATATCGGAGTTCATCTCCGTCGTATTTCGTGTTTCGCGAAGCTTGCGGTTAGTCACTGATCTGTTTTATCATCCCCGTCGGCCCTTGGGATCCGAGAAACGTCATGCACTGCCATTTTGATTGCGAGAACATAGAAAAGTAGTCCTATGAAGAGATATTATTGATTGACTCCAGTTCAGCCTCAATGATATAGTTGAAGGATCAAAGGAGCCTTGCATATGGCCCACTCACACTTCCTCGCACCATCATCCTATTCTGGCTGCCTATCAGATTAGAACTCTTGCTGCTGTGCCTCTTTAAAACCGAAAGTGATCAATATGGCACAAGAAATATTCTCCACTTGACATATATTCCATACTACTGTGGTCCCCCGGTAGCTTGATATGCGCAAGTTTGGACTATGTATATTGCGAAAAGCTGGGCTCTCTCAAACCCAAGAGATTGTAACGTGCGTGTACTGCTCGAGATGTATTGCTGTCCCTTCTGTAACAAATAAAAAGAATAAGCATTATTTCTGAATCGTCGATCAAAGACATGACTGAGTCCAACTCTTCCCCTATTGCGCTTCCACTTAACCACCTACTTCTTCTTTTTCTTTTCTGCAGAACTGTCTCTTCTAGGACTCTCCTCCACGTTGGTTCCACTGGCGCCGCTCTTGGTCACGATGCCGCCAGCAGCCTTACTCGCACCGACACTGATACCACGACCTTCTCGCATATCCAGGCTGATATTGCTTCCGACACTTCCGCTGCGCTTAACACCAGCCTTTACTCTAGCCGCTACTGGGGAATCCAGTCCACTTTCAGGCGAATCTCTTCCCGCAGCACCCTTAAACAGCTCAGGGGTGGCTGGTCGGTCGCCTGCAGGTATTTCACCAGAGTATTTCACTTTGTGTCGTGTCGTGTTCTTGGGAGAAGGAATTCCAGAGGCCTGCTCTCGTGCTCTGTGTGGCTGGGGTTGCGGTGCAAGTTGGACACCATTGGCTCCCTCAAGACTTGGCGTAAGTGTCGAAGATTCGCTCTCGCTACCGTGGTGAGCATGCCCAAATGCATAACCTGAACCCAAAAGACTCTCCTGCCGGCTGACATAGTAACGATCATATTCCTCCTTTGTATGCTCGGCATCAGTGAAACTATCGAGCGCATCAAACACGTGCTGGAAAACCTGCGTATCGACATCTCGAGCCCAGAGAAAGTCAAGATGTTCATAGTGAGGAATCTCAGTTGCCACAGTTTGAGGAGGTAGTTCCTTGAGCATAACCTTGATGTCCACCAGGGAATCGCTTCCGCCGTAAACCAGAACGATTGGTGTTTTGATGTTTCGAGTCGGGTACTTGGCAACCTTGGAGTATTTGCTGTTTGTAGTGACACTGATCGGTTGATGAACGTCATCGTCATACATCTGGAAGCATTTGTTTCGAATGATCTGAAACCAGTGAACCACACTCTTGGTGCTCGTAAAAGAGTACAGATGTGGGTAAGCAGCCAACTTCTGACTTGCGGAGATATTGAGTGTTTGCCAGTTGAACAAGAATGAAAGCCCCACATCAATGAGTTTGCTAAAGATAGGCGGGTATAAGATGGTCTCCCACATAGTGGCGGAACTGAGAATCGAACGTCGACCAAACAAAAGGAACAAAACAGAGGGCGATGCCGTCACGAGCGCGTCGACAATTCCACTAGATAAGCCGGCAGGCGCCATAGCAGGCGCGAGAGCGATGAAGACATTGATCTGGTTGTTGAGCTTGGGATGGATGGCTAAGCTAGCAAAAGCCTGAGCTGTACCTTGCGAAAAGCCGATGTACGAGAGACTCTCCTGCTGGGTCGTATCAAGGATATAGCTGATGCTGTCTGGAATGTCATGAAAGGCGAATTCGTCGATAGAAAAGTCCCAGAAGGCGTTGGAGGTTGGCGATTGATTAATTGACTTTTTGGAGTACTTGTTACCCCGGTTATTTCCAAACTGTACAAATGTTAGTCAATAGACGTAGGTTGCGTAACGAGGGCAAACTTACCCAGACGTCGTAACCTCTCTCGACCAGCTCGAATGGTAAACATCGTTGCTCATCTGTGAGAGCAACCCAGACCTCTGAATTCATAAGAAGACCATGGTGCATGTATATGACCTTCTTTTTCAAACTCGTCGGGCCGTAGTTAACTTTCTGTCCTTCTTCACCCTTCCTCCACTGCAGACGATGAAGACCTAAAAGATATCCATCCTTGGTCTGGGCGATATGTTCTTCTGCTTCGTAGCCCCAAATGCGACACAGCTCAACGAAGTCAGGCGCGTCTCGTACCTTGGTGGATATCGCTATACGATGTTAGTCCGAATTTCATAGAGACAGCCAAAATGCCAACTTTTTCGTTTACTCTCTGCTCGTCGCCTCGCAGGCGCAGAAAATCTATTGAAGAGTCGTCTTGAAGCTCTATAGAAAAGCGTAACAAGAAATGGGGCTGCATTGTTATTGTTAGTATGACCCCTACACCGCTCAGAAAGGGACTGCGACTCACGCAAAGCCAACGTCAAGACTCGAATGATTGCCTCGAGACCGACGAGGATAAATGATCCCACGAGAGCTAGATACTCGTGACTATAAGACAAGAGGTTAGTAAAGCCGGCGCATGGTAGAGATGAAAATGTGGATGAACGCCACGCAGATCTTCCAAAATGCAAGGCCAAGGTAAAGATGAATAGGGGAGAAACTTACGGGCGAAGCCTTCCGATAAAGGGAATTGCCATCGCGACAATCTTTGTCTGATGATTGTCGCGATACAAGCTTATCCCAGTTTAAGCTTTTTGTTGTGGTAGGGACAAGGATCAATGAGAGAAAAAGAAAACGAGGTTGATAAGTTGAAGGTCTTGTCCAGATGGGTGATGTCAGTATTCAATGAATCACATGCAATTGGAGATAGCGATAGCTCGAGTTGAGTTAGTGCCTAGTCTACTAAGCTACAGTGAGGTAGCACTAGCACCACGAATCCATGACCTCAGAACTTTAGGCGAGTTTAACGACAGAACAAGTAACCCCGAGTCGAAACTCGGTGAAGAACAGAGAAAAATGGAGATTTTAGTAGGCCTCAAGATGTTGAAAGAGCCCAATGGCAAAAAAAAAAAAAACATGTCATATTTTCCTTCCATGATACCCATATGAAACAGTCATTACCACAAGCGAGCCACAAAAGACACTGCCACATGGCATGCGCCAATGTCAGGGTTGTGTACAAGAGGATTGGTTCTTTTATAGTGGGGCATCTACACTTGGCTAAGACACACACATAGTGAGTGAGTGAGTGATAGAACAGTTGATGAAAGCCGATGAGGATATCTTCAATTACTACAATTGCAATTGTAAACTCAACTACTATAGTACCGTAGACCCCATTCCTTTCCTTTCCTGTCCAGGCCATTATTTCACGACGCTCGCTCTCTCAAATTGCTCCAAGCTGCTCCAAAATATTTCATGCCACGCAACGCAACATTATGCCATTGCCATGTCATGCTAAACATCGCTCATCCTTCCAGAGTACAAGCTACGATATACCGTCTTTCTCTTTTCCATCTCGTCATCTTATCTTGTCCCATCCTACATCCTGCTCGTCATTACCCCCGTCTCCGTATCTACAGCTTCTATACTTCAAACTTCTTTAGCGACGCCCTCTGAGTGATGTGTTGCTCTGGTTTAGCTAGCATCAAGGCTCATCATGTGCTGACTTGACGAGTGGCATTACCAGGAGCACTAAAATAACATCCGGTGAGCGGTTCGAAGTGCGGCTCAAAGTCTTGCGTCTTCCCTAAGAAAAGGAACACCAAAAAGAAGCCGAAGATCGTCAACACTCTTACGAGTATCTCGCGCCCAAGGATAGTTGACGTCGTAGTAGTTGGGCGCCGCCAGGTAATACAAGAAGAAAGATCTTTCCAGGAAAAAGAAACGCTCCCCAATACCGGTCCGGTATTTATTTATTGTTATGAACCGAGCAGCTCCGACTTGCGGTTGCTCTTCCAAAAGTCGATGGCTTCAACAACGTCGTCTCCCTTATCGTCCTCATGTGCAAATAGAATCTGGCATCATGTTAGCATCCTGGAGAGAAATAGCCTTCTAGGTGATCAAACTTACCTCATGCGTACTACTATGAAGCATGCGAATGTTCTTGCGAGGGACAATGTGTACAGCGCCATTCTCCATATTCCGGAGCTCAATAAAGTTTGGCTCGAAAGCAAGGATCCAGGGGTAACTGAGTGCAAAGCTCTGTGGTGTACCCTCCCAGTCAATTCGCCACTCTGGCCGGGCCCTCCAGCCGTTGCGGTTAACAAAGAAGGAGAATTCCGAATAGTTAAGCAAGAATTCTCCATTAAGTCGTTCAATGTGGATTGGTCTAACTCCTTCTTTGCGAGCCACGAAGTCAAGTGACGTATCAGCCTGATCGAGCAATGATTGTGTTTCGAGGGTTTCGAGGGAAACAACCTCGAAACCTCGAGCGCAGGCAACGCATAGTTTGGACTTGAGGAAGTGAACGGACGAAGATTCAGTAGGGATGTAGAACTCCTTGAACGGCTTGAGTTCATCATGGCCACCACTCATGAATTTACCAATACCCTTCTGCTTCTTGGCCTTGGTCATGGCATCATTAGGCTCAAAGACCTTGATCGTAGTAGATAGGGCAGACGACTTGACGCAGCAGACCAGATGCCTGCCCAGGCAGATGCCCGTTTTGAAGAAACTGCAATGGTTCTGGATCTTTTTAGGCCTCCTAGATAATGCGGGCTCATCAGGGTTGAGGGCAGAAACTGGGTAAGACTGGAGTGTTTTGTTAGACAAGACCAGCAGTAATTGGTACTCTTCCAGAATATCAATCTGAGTAACGCTTGCAGTCTCCAATACCCTACGGGGCACTTGATCCTTCACCTTGCGGTCTGACAGGTAAACACCATTGTCAGTACCGTACAAGAGCTTACGGCCACCATCTGTCATGATATTAGCGAATAAACCGGACAAAGCAAAAATGACTTACCAAATGGCGTAACACAGTTGACACGGTTGGTACCAGCAAAGAATTTGCTTGAGATGACCGTTGTATTGAAGAAGTCTGCACGGGATCGAAGGCGTTCCTGTGCAGTATGAATAAACTCAAGCCACTTTTGACGAGCGGCTTGGTTAGATGCATAAAGCGTCAGCTCATAGCCTGCTTTACCCAGATGCCGGAACGTAATCGGCCAGCCTTCCTTTCTCGCTGGGTCGTTAGCGTTGTTCCGGATCGAAGGAATCAAGCTTGACGAGGTACGCTTCATATTGCCATCCTTGGGAATGACTTCGTCCATTTCCCTGATTGCGAGAAGTTCCAGAGGAATGGGTCGTCGGTATGCCTTGATCTCTTCACTCTTGCCAGTCTGCTTTATGCGAACAAGAAGAACGGCGTGATCGAAGAGGAAGGCCGTAATTTCTGCAGGGTCCGTAGGTGACTTCTTGAACTGGCATTTGAAGACCATTTCACGTCCCTCTTCAGTGAGTCGAAGATCAACCCTCTCATTAGGCCTGAAACGAAGCTGCTCATGAAGCCTCCTGAGGTTGAATCGGTTTTCAGCCTTTCCGGACTCGGCGTTGACTCTGCCTAGAATATCTCGAATCATAACCAGGACTTTAGGAATGTCCTCCTTGTCAGGGTTACCGTCTTCCGTGTATTTCAAGACGTTCTCCAAAAGTAGGGGATATCGTGCCAGACGGGTCGTAGGCTTGGTCAAATAACCGTTCAACTCCAGTTTTCTCGATTCCTTGCGCCTTTCAATTTCATCCACAAACTTGCCGAAGTATGGGTTGACCGATCTTTCGTTCTCGAATTCGAACTTTCCTTCCAACTGCTTCGAACCGTACAGAATGAAGGGCTCGAATTGAGGGACATATTCAAGGAAAATGTCACCGATATTGTGAACAATAGGTTCCTTTTGTTGTCGAGTCGTTAAACCAGACGCAAACCGGGAGCTGACAGTATGAATACTGGGGTGGTCGATAATGTTGCTGAATATGGTCTTGACGACCTTTTCGCGGCGCTGAACAGGCACTGGCGAGGCCTTTGATCGTAGAGGCAAAATCCAGAAGTCTCGTAAATATTCCAAATCCTTAACGAAATCTCGTTCTGTATAACAGATCTCTGAAATAACTTCCTGCCTCTTCTTCTCCCGCTCATCTACCTTCTCAGCAACTTCCTTGGGAACCGAGTTAATCCAGAGTTTCTGTTCGTCTGTCTGATCGACTTCGTCATCGACAGCATTGACAGCATCCTCCTTCCGTAGTCCAGGGTTGATCTTAAGGTTGAGTCTCGAGACTTGCTCCAGTCTTCGAGGGCAGGCAATTGAATAACAAAGTTGATCCCTGGTACAAGTTGGAGAATAACATTCGGAAAGCAGGACGAAGACACCATTCACTGCAGGCTTATCTTCTGGCTCGTCCATCAATGTCTCCCTGAACTGGTACATTTCCGACTGGGAGTCTCGTAGACGGTGCTCGTAAGTGACATCGTGGAAAAACTTCTGGGCATCCAGAGCTCGGCCAAGAAGGAGGGCAAGATTACGATCCGTTGTCCTAATAATATATGACAAGACATCGACCGCCTCAGAACCGCTGAAAGCATTCTTGTATGTCAGTTCGTTCTTTGTCCGGTCACCAACAATGATCTTGCGACGGAAGCACTCTCCGACTCGAGACAGTAGGGCGGGATACACGAGGGGTGGTCGAATCTTCGTCGCGGTCGGGGGGCGCTCGCTCTCGATCGACTTGCTTCTGGTTGGTCGCTGGACCAAAGTAGAAGCATCAGACTCGGAAGGGGTGATGGTTGGTGCCACGGTAGAGGCCATCGACATTGTCCTACTATGATCGCCAGCACCATTGGACGAAACCATGCTAGAGGTTCGGGTCTGTGCTCCTGGAGCGTGAGGCATCGAATTAGGATAACCGTTAGTGGCCGGCAGCTCTGTAGGTGCTCGTCGGTTAGGGATGACTCGGCCGCTCATGGTCTGATGGGCGTCCATGCTCTGGGGTTGGTAATTGCCAGTCAGCGACATGGTGCGGTCTTCATGACGTTCCGGCACAACTCGCCCTTGAGCGGTCGTCCTCGCCGAATTCTGCTGCGCGTACGGGGCTTGTCGAAGGTGGTTTGCTGGTGCTTGCTGATAGGCGCTAGGAGGAGGGTGATACATTGGCTGGCGAGGAGCAGAAGCGAGTGACTGCGAGCGATAAGGGTCATTGTTCATTGCAGGTGCCGGTCCTCCTTGATAAAATCGCTGAGCGGGAGTCCTTGCACCAGGAGCTTGTGGAGGCGGCGGACCCCTTTGGTCCATTCGCGGAGGTGGAGGTCCTCCAGGGCCAGGATATGGACGCCGTGCCTGATGTTGTTGTTGTTGCTGCTGCATGTAATGAGGTGGCATTTGACCACCAGATGCCGAGCGTTGACTAGGATAGTAGCCATTCCCCATCATGCTATTGCTATCCATTGTTCGAGTCCTGCCAGCTCCTGGGTCTCCATAATGTCCTGGAGGAGCACGAGGCGGTGGCTGCCGTTGCATACCAGAGGACATTGAAGACATAGTCTGAGTGCGACCGGGATCCATCATGGATGGAGGCATCGAGGAGGACGAAGTCATTGTTTGAGATCGACCAGGAGGCGGAGCCGCACCGAAGATGTTGGAGAATGCAGCATCTCGTTGACCGTAATTGTTGTCGTCGCCGTAGCCCCTTTGCGGCTGCCGTTGAGGAGCTCCTCGAGGATCGTAACCGTAGTTCGACATGATAAATGAAACTTGATTGAGAGCATGTCAGGAGAGTTTCCAAGAAAGGGGTGGTACCTAGGGATGGGAGTTGCATTACCAGTAGGGTTGTGAGCGCCAAAGGCTAAAAGCTCGTTATCAGGCGTATCAACAGCCGACTTCGACGGATGCGCCGCCGTCAGTCGACGCCAATACTGTGCGTCCCCTTAAGCTTAAGATAAACGTTGAGGAAGATGCGTGAGCGATAACCTTCCGTTATATACTGGCGCAGCGAATTCCCTCACAGGGTAGCGGTCGTCGTTACAGTGGGTGAGATGAAGAGGGATCTCGGGGGTGACTTCTACTCAAGCAAAGTGTCGTCGGAATTTGCAAATTTGGGCTCGAGGGGGCCGTCGGACAAGGCGGCCGGTTGAGCAAAATGGCAAACGTCTCGCCTTGGGCCGGAGCTCGTCGACCGATCGAGTATGCGGAGGGACGACAATAAGGAATGTGATCGCAGACAATGGGCGGTCGCCGTCTCGAGAGGGTTTTTCTGGGGGGTGGCCCTCTGGTGATGGACTTTGGAGGGAGTTGCAGTTGCAGGTTCACGATCCAGGCCAGGCACCCGACTCGTCGCAGGTAAAGAGGTAAAGGCAATTCAAGCCAATGGAATCCACGTTCAGGTACTGAATGGAACAGAACAGGACAGGCCAGGGAGTCTTGGAGCCAACGACGGACACGCCAGTGCTAGATCCACCACAAGTCCACCCGTCTGATGGCGGCCTCTGCGCTTTTGGGGGGTCAAGATGAATGTGGTAACGGGGGGCGGGCAATGTGGGCGCGCCGTAGTGGACGGGCTATGGGCAGTTAAATTATTTAGTACACGTTCAGGGGATGAATATACTGGGGTATAAAGTTGCAGTGTAAGAGCATGGATCTTTGGCGTTGCGCCGTGGATACGAAAAAGAGAGGGGAGAAGTTATTCAGGAGCAGGTTAAAATAGCAATTTATCTTTAGTTAGTACTAAAATCGGTGCCTTGTTTCAAGGCGTCAACTCGAGTTGTTACAGTGAAGTTGAGCCTCTTTGTTTGTGTATCGTAGTCCGACCTAAAGCTGGTCGCCTAACTGTAGTGTTGACGCTCCAGCCCGATACCTGGAACAGATACTGGTACAGCTGTGGTTACTGGTGCCTCATTTATGTAGCAAGCACATGTCATATCTCCTCTGTCGTCGCTCAATTGTGCCCGTGTACTCGTTTACTCGTTGCACAGGATCTTTGTTCGTAATGGACCCTTTGTGGTGAGTCGAATTCAATTCAAAGGTTAATTGATACAGTGGTTGCCATAGACGGGAGTTACGGCAATTAAACCTCCTGTTGAGTCTGGAGGGGCACAAGGGGCACGCTAGTGGCCGTTGATTCTTACTTCTAACATTAACCTGCATCCTTTGATTATGCAGTGGGTGTTTGCTGATTGCTATTGTTTGTCGTTTGTCATGGCTGAACTCGAGCAATTTTACTGACGAGAGTTGCCGAGAACAATATCAGCAGATAGGCATCTCCATGCTGTCCTTGGCTTTGATTGCATCCAATTCTTCTGTGACTGGAGCTGTGGAATCAAATGCCGCCAAAGACCAGGTATTGTCGGCTGTCTCGGCCTTTCAGTCTTGGTCAATGATACAGGGCAACGCTCACTAATACTAAGGCAGCTTCGAAGGGATAGCTAATCTCGACTTTAAGCGTCGAATAAGGTTCAAGGAGAACAATCATAACGACCTACCTAGACAAAGAAAAAACTTGGAAACCATCCATATGGGCTCCCTCCCCAAGTGGAGGACGATAAAGTCAGGAATACCTAAGAAGCCCGTTATTTCCCATTATTAGCAGGTACTTTAATTATTTGACAACCTTATTTATTTATGGAATCACGAGTCAAGTCGACCAGGTAGAGGTACATATACAAGAATAGTAAGAAGTTTATTATCTTTACCTTATTATAGAATCTTAAGTAGGTATATTTCTTGATATTGATTGGAGGGTATTTTGCTTTGTGCATCGTCTCGAGTCCTGAATTCTTCGAGACTGGATGGCTGATTCAGTCACGTGATGGGACGAAAGCCACTCGCTTGTCATTGGTCAAATTAACCCGTTCTAATGTGGCTTTCCACATCAGCTTCCAACTCCTCTGGTAGCCTTGGCCAGTAGCAGGCTACATCATCATCAAGCTATCAACGTCAACTCTCACGTCGCCCATTGACACTAGAGCTCGCCAACGGCTTCATATCCTCACCATGGCAGAATCAGAGCTCGCCCCCAAGTTTGCCCCCTTTATTGGGATGGTGAGTATCCCCGCGCTGGCCTTTCTGTTGGCCTGAAACTAGGGGTGGACGCGAATGCTGATGCTGCGAGTTTGTAGGCCGGAATTGCAGCTGCAATGATCTTCGGATGTACGATATTTCCTCCCTCTTTACACGATGCGATATGACCCAGATCGAATACTGAACGACTCCGATAGGTATTGGTGCTGCTTATGGCACAGCCAAGTCTGGCATCGGCATTGCTGGTGTCGGTACATTTAGACCAGACCTCATTATGAAGGTACAACTGTCCTCCAGCTCAATCAAGGCCATCGCTGACGCCTGCCGCAGTGTCTGATTCCCGTCGTCATGTCCGGTATTATTGCCGTTTACTCGCTCGTCATCTCCGTCCTCATCGCTGAGGATCTCGACCCTGGCAAGAACTACAGCTTGTTTTCGTACGTCGACGCAAAGTCTCATCAACGAAAATGAACACTAACAATATCAGGGGTTTCCTGCATCTCGGATGTGGCATTGCAGTCGGCATGACTGGTCTTGCCGCTGGCTACTGCATCGGAATTGTCGGCGACACTGGCGTTCGTGCTTATATGGAACAGTCTAGGATCTTTGTTGGCATGGTCCTGATTCTTATCTTCGGTGAAGTTCTTGGCCTCTATGGGTACGTCATTGATGAACTTGCATTGTGTTTCACTTATGCTAACTATCATATAGACTTATTGTTGCTCTTCTCCTGAACAGCAAGAGCAAGGGTTAAACAAGCCTTAGTCAAACAACAATCTAACACCTATTCTGTCGACCCTTCATCGAGTGGTCGACGTGTACGTCGGGGGAGGTTTTGAGCTGCCGTCGAGTTACGGAGGCATACAATTATATGTACATCGGGCATGGCGTTATTGGACGTGTATCATATCTTTTGCAAACAGGTAGAGAAATGGCGGAGAAGTTGACCGTATCTAGCTTCGATTATAATCACAAAGTCTATGCTAACACGATGTCTCCAAAGTATTGACACAAAATGTCTCAAGGAAGTTTGAATATTCATCCCATTTGAGGGGTAAGCTACCTAATACCAGTCCACGGTCACCAAACCCTATGCTACCCTACGTTTGAAAACGAGTGACAGAAGAGAAGAATATACTCACGACGACCATTTCATGCCATCGATCGGAGTGCAGTTGACAATTTGAGAACCCCAACTCACATGCCATGCCTCATCCTGACAACCCAATCTAGATCATCAAACGCCATGAGAATGCAACAATGGCGTTTCAGCCAACGTAAATGACATAACAATAGCGAACCAGCGCAATAGAGATGCAAGAAAACACGAAAGGCAGAGATCAACAGAGGAAAATCATAGCAAGCGTCGTCCTCCAATGCGACGTAGGAGCTTCTTTCGGCTCCCAGCCTCCACCTCACGCCTGTATGGATTTGTCGGAGTCCAGTTTCGCTGCCGGTCATCCGAGTCCCTCATTCGAGCTACTTCAACTTTAGCGGCTGCAACATAACACTCGACAAGCTTGTTTTCTAACTTACCTAAGAACCAGTCCCACTGGCGATCTTCTCGCAGAAGAATATCATCCCCTGACTCTCGTGCAAGTCGCTCTGTGCGGGCACGCGCAGCAGCCACCTCGCCAACCAGATAGGGATCCTCCAACGGCCTGGTTATGTATCGCTCTTGTTCTTGCTCGCTAACATCGGTCATGACTCGACGAAGGCTGTCTACAGGATCTCGCTGAGCAGTCAACCGCCGGTTCGCGACATTCTGGTAGTGCCGGGCGGCGGGGTTGCTAGAGACGGAGGACCATGTCGCGATACGAAAGTTGTTCAAGTTCGGTTGGGATCGCAGAGGAAGAGCAGGTACTGGAGGCAGGCCGATCGTCTGCTGGCGTGGAGTTGAGGTACCGCTGCCCTGGGGAACTAAAGACCTCGCAACCGCGTGAGACCGAGCTGGAGGGGTGTATGATGGCAAAGTCTCGGGGTATGGGTTTGTTGAGTGGTATGAGGGAGCTTCCGAGACTGAGGCAACGAACAGGTCAGTAAGGCAGGTCTCGTGCCAGGTAGTGGATCTCTAGCATCGAGCTCCAGTCTGGTGTATAAGTAGAGCCGATATCCCAGCGGGATACTTGGAATAGCAAGTACTTTTGCCTACTCACCATAAGAAGGAGCAGCAGAACGGATAGAGGCTGTCTCGAAGTCGTCGTTGCTATACCGAGGGGTTGCAAGGGCGCCCGTCATGATGGCAGATTGCGGTGGAGGAAGCACAGTTGAGAGCTAAGTGGAAGAGGGCAAGCACACGACAGCTCGAGCATCAGTCCAAGAGAAGTATTGGGAATACTGAGGTTAAGTAGCGATACGAGACAGTAACAGGATCACACGGCAGGCGGCTGGGACGCTTGAACGGTCCGTGGGAAGTCAGAAGGCAAGATAAGTGAGACCTGTTAAAGTGTGCGGGAGCCAGAATTATGGCCTTTTTGACCGGTGTTAAAGGCGCCAAGCTAGGTAAGACAAGGAGGGTCAGGATGCCCAGGAGTCTGATGCACAGCCGCGGATAAACATGCATGTAGTTTCCAGGTATGCAGGAGAGGATGGTGGGAAGCAAGCAAGCGAGCGAGGTGAAGAGCCCAGCTCGGAGGAGTACAGAGTACAACAAACCTATTGGCGAGCGGAGCACTTCGGAGAAGTACCAGGTTCAACCCGAGCCAAGGTCTAGGCTGGGCAGCCGTATCGCATCGTGGCGTGGGTTTCTCTGGCGTGGAGGTTGCAAGGGGGACTGAGATGCGGGGACACGTGAGAAAAGACACGACGATGATGCTGTGGAGGACCATCGAAAGCATCATGACGCGTTCTGTTCAATGCAAGTCTTGAACAAAAGTCTCTTGCTTATGGGCACTGTTAAGAAAGCTTGTTGATGCCGCCCAGTGTGTATTCGTGTCACAAGCTCTCCTGCACAAGCTCTCTACAGCCGCCACAACTCCAACAAATGCGAATGCAGGGTGCACAAGAGGATCTAGAGGCTGCACAGTAACATCCCTAATTAGGGACAACCGTCAGCAAGCTCCCCTGAAGACATGTTCGGGCGGTTTCCTTAGTTGGCATAACGAGCTTCCATGGATGCTTCGACAAGATACGGTGATAGCGGGGTATCACGGACAGTTTTCCGGCGAGGCCTCGGAGGACATTTACCCACTGTGAATGGCGGGGTTGTTTATGCTGTGGATAATGATCGGGCTATTTGTGCAGGGGGGGAGAGTCTCTGGGGGGGGGGAGAGTCTCTGGGGGGGGGGGAGAGTCTCTGGGGCGGGGAGAGAGGCCTAAAAGTCCAGAAGTCCAGATGGCCAATGGATAAGACGGCTGGCGGGTGTTTTCTTGGCTGTGAGAAGTTCCCTGGCATAAACAGAAGTAGCAGCGTAACTGACGGAAGCCAATGTTGCACAACGGCGGTGTTGACGGTATCTGAATCCGGTTTTGTTCAAGACGGCGGTCGAGCTTGTGCCAAGTGGTGGAGCTGAATGATGTATTTGACGTCGAGCTTGCATTTCCAGGACCAAGTTTGTTTTAATTTCCGTTTCGTCTTGCCCTGTCCTTTGCAAGAATGTTGGTGCAGCTTCCATTATTTCCTTACAGTAAGGTTGCCGATCTTCCTAACCGCTGTGAACCGCGTGGTCGGGCCGGCCTATGATGCCAGACCTGGCTATTCTTTTGGGATTCTGAAAGAACGCTATCCTTGCGAAAGCTCAACACCCACCTCTTCTTCCAAGCTTCGAATAGGTTTAGCTTGGCATCCTTTCCCCACATTCGTCGAAGTCTGAAGGACCTGAAGACCTCGACGAAGTGGTGTCCTGCTCATCTTTGCTCCAAGCCATTTGATAGATGCTATAAGTCAGCCTCTTGGTGTGAAGAGTTGTTGATCAAAAGCGGGGGGCTTGCTTGATCACCAGATATGGAATTCTAAACTTGTGACTTTTGGCGCGTCTCAGATGCAGGAACAGCCCGCGGGGCATCAAAGGCCACTTTCAGATCGCATCTTATCAGTACCTAGGTAGGTTGGTATGTAGTTATTGTCCGCACCAGGTACTCATGAGGCACTATTGGATACCCCGTTTTCTCCGGTGGGAAAAGAGGAATCTATCTGCTTGCAAGCGGCTGATCCGGACCCATTTCACCGAGGTGTCAAGGCCCTCGGTTGAATTCAGTTAGTTACGGCTCATACTTCAGGGGAAGCGGCACGGTTCGCACGGAAGTGTTGAGTGGGAGTGATGAATAGCGGCCGTCGTTCCAAAGTTCAAATGTACATCTTGCTCAACCTGGCACACACACAAATCTGCAGGTTGCGCTCTGATAGTGATAGAGGGCGGTGAGTGTCTTCTGACGTGCATCGAGGTGCATGACAACCTGGGTTAGTATCGTAGCTGGAATAGAAAGGAAACGTTGAAAACAATAGATGTCGACTCTTTTCGTTCCTCGAAGTTTTTTTTTAGAATGTCAATAAAATCGATACCAGGTGACAATGAGTAAAATGGCCTTACCTATTATACAATCTTATTTCTACAAATTATTTTATACCAGAACCGTATCTTGTTATTCCAAGTCCTTGGCTTTCTTTCCTCGCGATGCGTAGGCCTTGGGCGGGATCATAGGGCTATGTTGGATGGTTGGACCCTTGAATTCGGTAGGATGAGTGGTGTCCTATTCGCAGTAGTTTACCTCTCTTTCCGAGAGGGTTGCCGGGAAAGCCCGTATCGAAACAATGCTTTCTGTGTATTTGCTGATTTGTTGATGGCGTTGCGTGACTGTTGTGGCACGAGGTGAACTTCGACAGTTAATGTCTCTCTTGCGCGATTTGTTCACGACGTCAACACGTAGAGTTAGTCCTTGGAATCCTGTTTTTGAAGTATGGGATTCTCTTGGCTTTTTGGTCAGAGTGTTGCATTTCACATAAGATAAATGGTTGATGTGAGTGGAGGTTTGCTGTAGTAGACTGCGTTCCTGCCTAAAGCGGGCTTACAATGACTGCAGCTCGACCTGCAATAGCTCCTTCCTCCCATGGTTATGATATCGCATGCATTCGGGCATGAACCCATCAATAGGTAACTTTCCAGGTCTGTACCTAATTCAGTGAGAGAAGAACACAACGAGTCCATAAGACAAGAGGGTCGATGAAATTATCCGGACAACTCGAATAAATATGTTTAACTAACGTTAGGTGGAGTTTATTCCTAAACTGTTATTATTCTGTCTCATAATTATTATCCTTCGCACACTGGCATGTCCTAAAAGCAACATCCTATCACCATCCGAGTTCTTTCAAGGGCGGCGTACCGAGATCTCGAAACAAGCTGTTTATGTGCTCTTCAAGTTAGTTGGCTGAACATAAGAAGCCGTGAACATTATTACTTCAGTTTCCGACTTTGGTTTATCACAACAAGGTGAACCAAACAATAGAATTATACTTGTTTTTGTAAGTGAATAATTTCCAGCCGTTGGGCATCTTCGAGTGGTTGAGACAAAGTGTGACAGAGGAATAACTCCTGTCAAACTTCTATATATCATGCTTCCTAAAAGAAATCTATTCGGGATTATAATCATGAATATGCTCTGCACAGCTGTTAATTGTGTACCAGTTTCAATAGGTACCAAACTACCCCTGTGTAACAAGGTAATGATCTGCTGGTTTGTATTGGATAGGTCAATACGTGATTTCAAAGCGAAATTTCACCATCGATATCTCTGCAATACGTCAATGTTCCTGGGTCCTTGAAGTTGAGTCATGGCCGACGATCCGTTTGATGCCCCACGTTGTGTCGGATTTTTTATTCACAATTTTCGAAATATAAATGGCATTTTCAGCCGCAATATTGTCAACGTCCGTCTTCCAAACTACTTACGATATTCGGTATCATTGGAAATCAAGAATCCCCAATCACTATAAATCGTCTCATCATGAGGAACTCGTCTCTCGCATATCACGATCCTGAGGTATTGGGCCCTTCACAACAAAGTAACCTTGAAAATGATACCCTGGAGCCTCGTGAGGATCAACCACTTCTACAAGCTCCTGAGGAAGATAATTGGAAACCTCCTCGTGGTTTCACCTGGATTCAGCTAGCAATAATGTCTAACGTCTTCCTCTACGGCCTCGATAGTACCATCACCGCTGCGACTTATGCCGTAATCAGCTCCGAGTTCGATGCCGCAAACACAGCTTCATGGTTAACTACATCATATCTCGTCACTAGCACGGCGTTCCAACCTCTTTACGGGAGAGTATCTGATATATTTGGGCGACGTTTGTGTTTCTTTATTTCGACAATTACGTTTGCCTTTGGATGTCTTGGATGTGGTGTTGCGAAAAACGTCATCTTTCTCAATGTCATGCGGGCATTGACTGGGTTTGGTGGTGGAGGCTTGATGACAATGGGTAAGTGTAACTCGAAAATCCTCAACTCATTGTTACTAATCTTTGAAAGCTACTATTGTAAACTCAGACATGATCCCATTTCGAAAGCGTGGCATGTACCAGGCTCTTCAGAACGGTATTTATGGCTTTGGGGCTATTTCTGGAGCTTCTTTTGGTGGCTCGATTGCCGACCATATTGGTTGGAGGTGGTGTTTTCTCTTTCAAGTTCCAATCTCAATCTTGGCACTGATCATTGGAGCTCTAGTTGTCTCTGATCAGTCTGGAGGTTTTTCGCTCGATGGCAACCTAGGTACTGTCTGGCACAGAGTCGACTTCTCTGGATCTCTTCTCCTCGTTGTAGCTATTTCAGTTCAACTTGTGGGACTTAGCCTTGGAGGAAACGAGCTTCCCTGGGGTAGTCCTTGGGTAATTGGAGCCTTGATTGGGAGTGTTTTCTTGTTTGCTCTGTTCCTACTCGTCGAGGAAAAGACGAGTGCCATCCCAGTTATTCCCCTTCGCTTGCTGCAAGGGAGGTTACCTATTGCAACGCAGTGTGCAAACGTCTGCGCAGGCATGGCTGCATATGGGGTAAGTTTCAGCGAGCTTTCCAGTTTTATTGATTCAAACTGAACCCTTCACAAGTACCTATTCATGCTTCCGCTTTTCTTTCAGGTGGTTCTGCTTGACTCAGCCACCACAGCCGGCGCTCGACTTGCAATTCCATCACTGGCGACTCCAATTGGCGGTCTTATTGCTGGTGTGGTAATGTCTCGTTGGGGCAAGCTACTTGCTCTTGTACGCACTGGAGCTCTGCTCATGGTGTTGGGCAACGGCTTGGTGACCTTGCTCCAATTTCATGATTCGAAATGGAAGTATTTTGTCTATGTCTTTCCAGCAAACCTTGGTCAAGGTATTATTTATCCGGGTATACTGTTCACTTCGCTCGCCTCATTTGATCACGCCGGTGAGTATATAATTCTCTGCCGATCAAGACTGCCAACTGACAAGTTTATAGATCATGCTGTCACGGCCTCAACAGTGTACCTCATCCGCTCACTGGGAACTGTCTGGGGTGTTTCAGTCACATCTGCCATCGTGCAGACTACACTTAGCGTTCGTCTACCGGATGCATTGAGTGAGGTACCAGATAAATGGAGAGTATGCCCTTTTTCTTGTCCCCAACTTCTGTCGTAAAGCCCTTGATCAGATGCTAATCGTGCTTTCCTATCTAGGTTATTGAGAAAATTAGACACTCTGTTGACTACATCCGTCAACTGCCTCCCGATGTGCAACTCAAGGCACGTCTGGTTTACTATGATGGTTTGAGGTATGCCTTTGGTGCCTCGACTGCCGTAGCCCTTCTAGGACTCTGCGCCGCCTTAACTGCCAGCGGAACTGGCCTTCGAACAACTCACAAGTAGTCAGTGATGCTCGAGACTTTTGACTTCGCTCATGGTCAAATGAGTCTCAACTTCCTGCATGCAATCAAATTTCTCTTGGCAAACATTCACTTCGCTCGTGGTCATGGACATGGTCCCAAAATTCCTCAGATAGGATCAATTCGATTGTTACACTATCACTTGCAAGCAAAGGGATCAGCCCTCGAAGACTGTCTGTACCCGCTGATCAGGGTAATATCCAAATAGACAAAAAGGGCTTAATGCCCTTTGTTCAATGGCCAAAAAGTGTGGTTCCGCCCGGGATCGAACCGGGGACCTTCTCGGTGTTAACGAGATGCCATAACCAACTAGACCACGGAACCGAGGCGATTTGATTGTTGAGTTTTGCTCGGGGTCTGGAGATTATGTTGGCTGCCGTCATCCACTGAGCTCTCAGGTCTATCTCACGGCCATCTAGCGAGAGGCATCAATGATCAACATGGTTGAGGCGATGTAGTCTTCTTTCTTGAAGTATATAATACTCGTAGAGCCTAGGTACAGCTTTTCGAATAGGAACCCCTGTCGAAAAAGCGCTGTATAGATATGTCAGTGAAGAGGCACCACCCACCTTGACCACGAACAACTTCGAGATCGTTGTACCGAGTTCTCTTTTCTTTTCAATAATCAATGATCGCATCCGTATTTACTCGGAGTGATAGTAATGATGATGATCAGCCTCGATACCTTAACTGATCTTGAGGTACTGACATCAGGATGTAACGAGTGCAGCTGGAGAGAGGTGACAGCGGGAAAAGGGAAACAAACGGAACATATAAAAAGAGGGACTTGCTTATTATTGCTAATACTCAATGTATCAATTAGAACCAGATCAGTACAATGGGAGAGAGTCCTGCATAATAGGCGTGCTGTAAATTCCCAGTTGCTGCTGCCTGAGGTGCCAGGTGTTTGACAGTGGTCGCCAAACATTGAAACTGCCTCGGCGATAGGCCCCTCTTGATCAATATTACACGCGACTAAAATTGTTCCTTCTCTCCTCTTTCCAATTTCGTTCTCATTTCCCTGCATCATCATCTCCTAAGCCTTCAACCTAACCTACTAACTACAGCATCGCGGCCAACTTCAACCCGGGTTACCGATATAAGGGGCAGTCAAGAGTTAAACTTCGTTTTGAGATAACCTGCTCTTACCCTTATTAGTCGAGTTTTCGAGGTCCATTCAAAGATTCCAAGGCGCATAAGGGAGAAGCATGTTCTATAGCCACGAGAGTAAGTCAGCTCATGATATCTCATCGCCTGGGACACAACTAACATCGCTTCAGTTCTCAGCAACACCCAGTATGGGGTTGCCACCATCTGGTATACCTCATTTCTCTTCTCTTTTCCTTCTTGTACTTACTGACGTTGTGATTCAGGCTCGTCGCCACTGTGGGCAAGTCTAATCAGAAGCGGTTGACTCGCAAGGCAATTCAACAAGTCAACGTTCCCAAGGCATGCGAGACCATCATCGATCCAGGAGCCCCGTTGGCCCTACGTCTTCAGGGAAATCTCCTTTATGGAGTCTCTCGTGTCTATGCCCAGCAGTGCCGTTATATGCTCTCAGATGCTGAAAAGACACAATCTGACATGATGACCTTCTTTCGGGTTATGGACACAAGTGAAACGGACCCAAACGCGGGTAAAGCAAAGTAAGACGTCCTTTGTTGGCTTATAAAGGCCTATGTACTGATATATCCTTCTAGGCGCCATCAAATCACCCTGCAGGATGACCCGTCCTTTGATCCTTTGTCAACTATCCCAAAGCTCGACCTTTTAGCTAGCGTTGATGATTTGGTTCTTCTATCAACAAAATTTTCGTCACAGGGCAATGTCTCTCAAATGACTCCTATGACTCAAGGTTCCAGTTCTTCAGGCCGGGGCAATTCACTGCTCAACTTCGACATTCCTCAGTCTTCGCATTCTGGCCGAAGCTACCGTCTTCCAACTGACCTTGAACACGATTCTCCTTTCGCGAAACCTTTTCATGCGCAAGACCCTGTGGAGGACTTCAATCCGTTTGGCGTAGATATTGAAAACATGCCCGGTCTTGACCTTAACTTTGACCCAGACGGCAACCTCATTGAGTTCGGCGACATGGAACCACAACTCCCTCCCCTTCCTGGAACAGCGGCCTTCGAAGAGCACCTCCAGATTCAAGCTGCTAATGCAGCCAGCCTCGGCGCCGACAATGGGCACCTTGGAGGAGACAATGTGATTATCATGGGTGAAGATGCTTTGCCTGACGTCGAGCCTTTCCTCAAGCGTCCTGTTGCCAGAAAGGCCACCTCCTCGGCCGAGCCATCCTCTGAATCAGTCTCGACTGAGGAAGCAAAAGCACCACTGCGACGACAAAGACGCCGTCGAATCCGCCAAATGATCGACGGCAAGGACCATGTCGCTGCAACAGAGATTCGAAGCTGGTCTATGAACTACCTGGACAACATGAAGACCAACTACAAACCCCGTCCTGCTACCACTGTTGCTCAGGCACGCCACAACGCGAAGGCTTTTCTTTTTGACAATGGGCTGGCGGGTATTGGTAAAGCTTCTTCAGGTGCGGCACACCCCCTCGCAGAACACTTCTCTGGCATGGCTCTCTTGGCACAACTGCAAGGAAAGAATCCTGAGCAAGACGCAGAGCCTGTGACGCGGGGCCGCCGCCGTGTTTCTGCTGAAGCTTTCAAAGACGAGCAGAATGAAGAACGAAATGTCCGCCAGAAGGTGGATCATGCCAATGAGCTTGGACGTGGTGTTGATTATGACATGGGTGTTATCATGTTTGGTGAAGACATTGCCCCTGAGATGGGAATGGATGCAGCAAAGGGTCTCGAAGATCGCCACTCCTCATCCATGGCTCCCTGGAGTCGTCCTCCCTCTGCCGCCCCAGGTTCGTCTATCCGGGGACAGGGTAGCGCACAGAAAAGATTCCCTGCTCCAAGTCCTCTACATGCCCGCGGTAGCGCAATCCGTCCTATTGAGCGCTGGAGTGATCAGCTTGGGCTGCCGCATGGTTCTGACGACCTGGCGATGCTCCATTCTCAGGACTCTTCTATCGGTGATGAAGGCTTCATGGGCGATCTCCAATTTGCCAATGGCGACGACACACAGGGCTCTGGTGCAGTTATTGATGCCTCTGCTCTTGACTTCCTAGGCTATGCCACTTCTCGCGTGGAATCTAAAGGATATACTCGTTCTCGCGACCGAACTGGCTGTCGCTGGATCGATTTCAGCACTCTTACCGACGAGCTCGACGATCCTGCCAACTCCAAGAAGTTTGCATCGGAGGCTTTCATGCATGTTCTCATTCTTGCAACTAAGAACGCCATCGCCGTTGAGCAAGATGGGATTGCCGACAAAGTACCTTTCGGCACCATCCGCATTGGCCTCACTCTTCTTCAGCAAGAGGTCGACATGGCCGACGAGCTGGCCTAAACTTGGTTTTAGAAGGCGGGATTCAATTGGTACACATTATCATTCATGTGGTCTTTACAGACGCATGGTGATGAAGCCTACAACAGAAACGACTTTTATGGGCAATGACTTTACGATCTCAAGCGGCGTTGCCAATTTCATTTTCCAGGGAAGTCGGTCACCAAATTCTTGGAGTTTGGGGAACGCTTGATATGGAAGCAAAATGGGGACATAGGTATTGACAGCATACATGGGATATGGTCAACGGTATATATCTTGATTTTGGGATGGGAAACAAGGCATCAACGGGATATTTCTGGTCAGTAAGCAAGATATTAAGTGGGCAAGCCCTCGAAACATAATCATCATTCGATGGGAACAGAATTTGAAATAATTCGCACATGATTATTATTATTGATATTATCTAGTCAAAGGGATCATCATCAACTCCGCCCTCTCGATCTTCGAATTTCATGTAATCAGCAGATGTGCCCTCCAAGTCAGCATTGACCAACTTCCAAGCCTCGTGGACAGATTCAAGGATGGAATCATCGAATGCGAGACCTAGCGACGTGGGGGAAAAGGTAGCAATGTCTCTATCTACGCTCAAAGAGTTTGTTCCACCACTCTGTTCGTAGTACAACTGGTAGATGGGTGAAGACACATCTTGACCATTGGAAACAGTGGCAAGCAGAGACGAAAGAGCCTTCTCAAGAACCGATTTCGCCGATGTGGTATACACAGTGGTGAGATATATGACATCTGTTGACTTTTCGTTAGCATGATCGTCTCTTAATCATGTGTCAAGTACAATGATAAAAAGTATGAGGTGCGCATCAGGTTGTCAGAGATAATGATCGTCATTAGGATTCAGACAATGTAGATAAGTATTCGGTATGTGAATCATCATAACACCAGGGAGGATAATAGAAAAAAGAAAAGGATAGAACTCACATTGATCAGAAGGGCACTCCCCAGTGTCGCTTGAGTGTACCATGGCATACACTGGAAACTCGTGCAGACTTTCGTCCTCACCGGAGACAGTGCCTGATGGAAATGCCACTACTGCGACAGCGGGTGCGGGAGCGCCGTCAGTGAGCAGCTCAAAAACCGGAGACAAATTTGACTTCGTCACCGTAGTAAGCCTGCTGATTCGAATACTGCTAGAGTCAGCTGCATCGGCACCTTGGACGACCAATTTGGCCTTGACGTCGATGTCATTCGTGAATGAGAGCTCCAGCGGAGCATCGGGTTGCTCAGATCGCTGCAGATTCTTTATGCCAGAACCCAGCATATAGATTGCACCACCGACAGCCGCAGCGCGGCAGCCCACTTGAGCCACCTCTGACAAACCACCCCATTTAGGATAGACTGCAGCAAAGCCAGGACCGAAGACACCCATCGATGTCAGGTGTCGGTTGATGGCGGTCAAGCCATCTTTGACTGTTACTTTTCCATCGTGACTCAGCGTCAGTGTGATGATATAGGATTGAAGTGCAGTATCGAGCTTGAACTCCGACGCCAGGAACTGCGCCAGCTTCTCATCAGCACGCGCCTGCCATGTATCGATTTGAGGTTCCGAATTGAAGTCAAGCACAAACTTGAGGAACTTCATCAAGGACCGCTTGGACCGAGCTGGAATGGACTTGTTGGAGAAGACATCTTCGCGGGTCGATGGTATCCGACTGAGCGACGGTGTCGACGAGGAATCTGAAGGTGGCTGGAAGATGTAGAAGGAACCGACAGCGAGAAACTCGATCTGGCGAAATGCTTTCGAATCGACGAGCTGTGTCACCAGCTTCGACCGCAAGTGTATCAGCTGCGGCGCGAGAGCCAAGCTGTAGGATCGTGTTGCGCCTAAAGCGTCCGCATCTCGCTTCACCTCCGCGGAAGAGAACAACCGCGAGGGTTCTGTCGAACGATTCTTCTCAGCCCACTCATCTGCCTCCTGAAGACTGAACGCAGCTTCGCTGCCTCCGTAGAAGTCGTTGGGGTCGACGTGTAGAATATTCTTGCCTGAACGCGACAAAGCTCTTCAAGAATGAAGACTGGGTCAGTCCGACCGAGGCAGCATCTCAACAATGGAATCCAAAGCTTACAGGGCGAGGAGGGACTGTTGTAGCCCAGTGCCGCTGATCACTACATCCCATAGGGTGTCTGAGAGGGATTCCATGGTGAGGTTGAGGTTGTGAGGATAGAAGGAAAGGAAGGGAGAGAAAGTTGATCAGCCTTTTTATGATGCGCGAAGTTTGAAGAAGATTTCAGGTGGGGCAGGGTTGCTAAGCAGCCAGTGGAGGTTAGTAGATATATGGTCCGTGCACTTCTACTCCCAGCAATGAAAAGGATTGGCCGAGATTTTCCTCTCTTCTTCTTCTTCTTCTTTTTTCCTCATCATCCACTCAGCCTTTTACGCAATATCTACCTCTTCTGGAACATTGCTTGTGGCGTGGTAGTTTCATTACTACTCACTTTATGAGTGGTAGAGCGATTTGTCTTCCGGTATCTCCTGCCCTAGAATAAAGTCTGAAAGGGTAGGTCGAATGGCCTTGACACATTTCTTCATTCAACTTAGTTTATGATTATAATGGTAAAAGCCACGGCTGTGAGCAATTGTGATCGATATTCTTTTCATTGGGGTATCATTAATCTATGATTGGGTGATGGCCGTGTTAAACTCCTCCCATCGCTTTGAAGCCCAGCCCAGGAATTGCTCTGATGTGAGGAACTGGGGCGTGAGGGCAGTTCCTCCATGCTTGGAGATGGTCAAGATCGTGACATCTCCGTCCTTGCAATCCACCACAATCGTTACACTCTCGTCGCAAAGTGACTCTTCAAGTCTGTCTGGGTCAACGAGTAGCCAGAACCTGCCGTCAGTGGGTCGGTCCGTTTCTTTGCCGGTAAAGACAACTGCTGTGCATGCGATTGGAATGTTCGTGATGTTCAGAGGTCTGAGCTGTTTGCGGGAGCAGATAATCATTTCTCGGTCAATGTCGTACCGCGCTCCAGGAAGCTTCGTGTTTCGTAGCGCAGCCATTGTAGCAGCCCACGCAGCATCGAACGGGTTTCCATCAAATGAGATGAAAAAGATATCAATGTAGAGCACCCAGTAGGCCACAACGGATCGGCTCTGGTTGCTTGTGTCTTCTTCGTCCTCTTCCATGCGATCTTCGAGGTCTTCAGATAGTGTTGTGTGCCATATTCGCAGGTCATCAGGCTTGATTATTTTGGAGCTGTGAAGAAGGGAGTATATCCGTGTGCTGAGAGTCTGGGCAAGCGTGCTTGGTGGACCACCTGGGAGGAACTGAGGAGCGCAACCCGTAGCAAGCTCAATGTTGGGCACCAGGAGGTCGTAGTCTTTCAACTCGGTTTCGGTATTGGAGGCACGATAATTCGGGATGTTGGGAGTTAAGATAGTCTCGCCTCGTACACCACAAATGACGGTAGTATCGCCCACACGAACGACAGCACTTCCATGAGCGTGTGACAAGCTCGCTAAGTTGACTGTTGGCTTGCGAGATTCGTTTCGGGCTCGGCCATTGCTTCGAGCTGGGCGGATATCATCAGAGGCGGGATCGAGGCTGGCAAGCAGATACGGATGAGGCGATAGCTTGGCAAAAGTCGTCCGTGTAAGTCCCTTATTAGAGGCCATGGTTTCTGGTTCAACTGAAGCCCTCAGTTACAAGTTACCGTGAGTTTGAATTTCGACCGTGGTCGGTTGTTGATAGTTTGATATGAGAAATTGATGATGAAAAGTTGGAGAGATGTTCGCAGCCTCGTGGGGTCCTTGGTGGGGTACAGTTGAGCTCTAACCAGTCAGACAGGCTACCTAGGTGCAAGGCTGACTGGACTCCAAGCTTGACCTTCGACGTAGGGTAAGTTGTTTATGAAGATCATGAAGATCATGAAGATGATTTGTATTTAAATATCTCGCGATATTAACAATCACAACTAACAAATTGCTATCTTTTTCTGGCTCAAATATGATCATCAATGTTGTTCTCGATTACCACAATTAATGAGTGTCGACTATCCTACTTCTTTACATTAACTATCATCAAGGATGACAGTTCACCTCCGGGCTGTGTTGACTGGGAGGTTGATGGGATGGACAAGAATCATTATTGTTGGAACGTTAGTCTCCAACTTTACAACTTCTGTATCAAGAAAGTCCTTCATTATCTTTGAGTAGGGATTTACCGACCTCTTTTCCCGTTACATTACCCACTGCCAAAGCGCAATCACCAACAACACCTCGAACGGCTTGATCGACAGTCACAAGAAGCAAAAGTCAAACCAACATCACCAACAACATATTCCGTCTCATCCGACACTTACATCGTGAAGTATCCATGAGGCGTGGCAAAGGGAACAGAAATTTGACAGGGAGCTTGGATCCTTTGTTGGTCCCCTCACATCATGGCATTTATCCCGCGGCGGTCCGCAGAAGCTGTGCATGGGAGGCAACATATCACCAACATGCTCAACGGTTATGATGATGTCGTGCGACTCTCTGTTGGTTCAGGCATTTTCGATGCATCATCGAACGACGAGAGACCCTTTCAACATCGACACAAACCGTTCCTGGCCCATCATATTGCGCTCGGATGATTCTCGACCATTTTGAGATCCTTAATGCCCGATATAAACAAGGGAATCCTCGAATGAGGTTCGAAGCTTTGAAAGAAAGAAGTGGTGCACGAATCGAAGGACGCATGCGATTAAGCCTCCAGAAGGCTGATCACCTCCAGCAGCGAATCACAACTCGCCTGTTACCGCCCGTTGAAGAAGCCATCGAAAATCTGCAAGGATCGTCACTGTGTCTGTCGGCCAATCATGTTAGCCTATCGCATCTCATCACAGCGTTACATCTTGAAGACTCCACCATGGTTGCTTCTCCTCTGCCATTCAGCCCCCAAATCCATCAGCGGCCTCTAAGAACAATTACCCGTCCTTGGAGGGGGGGATAGACCAACGCAGATGGCTCAAGCAAGTGCTTGGATCACAGTCCAAGTGCCAGGAACATCTTGGCCAGATGTGTCGGGAGTGTCCAGCGCCCAATCCTGAGCCGTATTCAGACGCTCATCTTTCCCGTGGTTGTGGATGAGCCAACAGCCGTAGAGAGCTTAAACATTCGGTAGCTATATCATCACAATGCTAATTTCTCGTCCCGTACAGCAAGCGCTAGGTCTCATTTTATTGTGAAGCTATTATAGCGTTCATCACATTATCACAGCGCTCTTGGGAAAGACGCAATGAAGCTTTTTCCAACAAGAACAATATTTCTTTACAAAGTTTCAAGCAAGGAAACAGCATAGCATGTCCCAGCCGTCGTTGATGATGATCCCTGGCCAACATGCAGACTTAGAGCCTGCATCCCGGTCCCTCAACCGGAAAACATCCACATCCCGCCATCGTGTTTCTCTCATTATGGATTGAACTTTCTCTTAATTCTGCATGTCACCCACCTTCATCACTCCGCCTGCGTCTGTTTCTCTCAACCACGCCAGCTCGCGGCTGTGTGACAGCCGGATGATCCACTCATGGGGAGACGGCATTTCATGAGCTGGCCAATATCAGAGCTCCGTCAGCCGCTGGGCCTTGTGTTGACTCGTTTGCTGCACAGACTCTTCCCGCATGTCAATCTTGAATTCCACCTCTTCCTATCCCTGTCTGTCTGTATAGTAGTGACATGCTTGCCGCCGCTGTATCACAAGAGGCACCCACTAGCTGCAATATGTTGCTGAGCCTTACCTCTGCAGCTCTTTCGTTCTCCGCTCGACGGTGAGGATCCGATCGCCTAAGGCCATATATTCGGCCGCATGCCCATCTGGACTCCACTGTAGCTCCCCGTCTTAAGACCCTGCTTCCCAATACCCTAAGTTCAAGGCGTTTGCATCCTTTCGTTTATTGTTTGTGTTATTGCCTCTGTACCTCTAATCGGAGAGTCTGGTATTCTTCGATTCGAGCCGATTGATCGTTTCACCTGTGCGCATTTCACTAGATCGCCATCCATTGAGGGTTCGATAGACCAGTCAGCCAAGTTGCCGTCTTATGCCCTTGTTCTCCTCTTACTTAAACACACGCATAAAGATATACGAAATCGCCGTTGATGTCGAACTAAAAGGCCTGATACGCGCTCTGTCGCCAAATACTACCAAAATTTGCTGAGCTTTAACGCTGGTCGAAATGGCTCCCAACTCATATATGCGCGAGACCATGGAGGAGGCCACAAGGACCTTCTCCAGCCTCATCAAGCGCATCTCCATTCCCCTAACACCGACGAGCCCACCCGGCTTAGTCCAGGCGCATACAATAGACCCATGGGAGAAGTCTGGTAAATACGGTCGAGGATGGTCTTATTTCGCCCTCGCCTTGATGGGCACTGTTCTCATTATGCGTGTCTGGCACTTCTGGCAGGACAAGATTCGACAAGCTATTTACAAACAGGAGGTAGAGGAGCACTATCAAAATCTCTACAGTGCTGAGGCAGAGGCTATGTCTGGGATGCGCAGTGCCCAGAGCCAGCATTTCTTCCCGGAAGGTCATGACATGATGGGCGAGAAGAACTTCCGACCAAAGGCACACTTTTCCTCTGTTAACATTATCAACGATACCTTGGCTCTATTTCGATGGATCTTTTATCGTCCTATTCCGGACTTTGTATTCGGAAAACGCCGAGTCACCTTCTCCTCATTGGCAGTTCTTACTACTGTCTTCATCTCTCTCGCCTTTGTCGTCCTTTACTGCTTCCTGCAACAGCCCCTATACTGGCAGAGCATTCAGTTTGGATCACCTCCCCTGGCGATTCGATCCGGCATGATCGCCATTGCTTTGACACCATGGATCATCGCAACCAGCATGAAGGCAAATATCCTTACCGCTATCATTGGCATTGGTCCTGAGCGACTGAATGTTTTCCACCGATGGGCAGGCTACCTCTGCCTGTTTCTATCCCTCGTCCACGCCATTCCCTTTTATATCCAGCCTGTCTGGGATGACGGTGGAATGAAGGTGTTTCAGCGCTTGTTTCCCGGCGGGAGTGGTATCATTTATGGTACTGGCATCGCCTGTCTTGTACCCCTTATCTGGCTTTGTGTCGCATCACTACCCTTCATCAGGAGAACAGCCTATGAGATCTTCGTGGTCCTCCACGTACCTGTGGGGATTGTCTACGTTGGTCTCCTTTTCTGGCACACCAAGAACTTCCTCATGTCATGGGCCTACCTGTATGCCACAATAGGTATCTGGGCATTCTGTTACTTCATAAGGCTGTTCAAGCTGAACTGGCTCAAGCCTTGGCGTATGTCTTTTATGGTTGGAGACGAGGCTGCTATTACTCTTATGGCCGAGAATGCCATCAAAGTTACAATTCCAACCCAGATGAAATGGAAGCCTGGCCAATACGTTTATCTGCGTATGCCTGGTATCTCCATCTTTGAGAACCACCCTTTCACCATTTCGTCGCTGTGCAGCGATGACTTCCCATCAGAGTACGGTGAGCAATATCGTGACTGCACTCTGGTATTCAGACCCTATGGTGGATTTACACGCAAGGTGTTGGACACTGCTATTGAGAAAGGACCATTCCATACCTACCGCGCGTTTCTTGATGGCCCCTATGGCGGTATGCGCCGCGATCTAGCTGCCTTCGATACCTGCATCCTGATTGCCGGTGGTAGTGGTATCACCGCCCTTGTATCACAGCTTCTCAACCTCATCAAGAGAATGAGGGATGGCAAGGCTATCACCAAGAAGGTTGTTGTCGTGTGGGCTCTGAAGCGACTTGAAGCTATGGATTGGTTCAGAGAAGAGCTGCGAATTTGTCGTGAGGCCGCTCCTCCCGAGAGCGTCACTTGCAAGTTCTTTGTTACATCGGCCGTAAGAGCAAGACCAGGTATGGAAGGCCCAGGTCCCTTCAACCAGGTCGGCCCTGGTGGCCCCAATGGACCCCGAGCTTTGAGTCATATGTTCCATGACAAGCTCGATGGTTTTGTTGCGGGAATTGCTTCCAAGAGAAACTCTGCCCTAATTCAGTCCGAGGCTCAGGGTGACCCCGAGCGTGAAAGGGAGCTCCGAGCCGAGGACGAGGACCGCATCACAGCCCTTCCTCAGCAGAAGTACCTTCAGCCTCACTCGATCCCCCCTCCTCCACCGGGGCCACCTCCTACCAACCAAGATGAGGCTCTTAGGAGACTTGAGGGTCACGGTTATCCTGAGGACAAGAAGATTCCCCTTGAAGACGGCGAGGAACCTACTAAAAACGACCCGGAGTTCCATTTCAGACCCATCAAGCAAGAGAATCCACCCCAGTTTAACTACGCGCCAAGGTCTCCTCGAAGACTTCCAGAGTCGTTCCCTACAGAAGAAGAAGCATTCCCAGTTCGGGCTCCTGAGCTCGCTCACCTGAGGACAGCCAACCCTGAGGCCGGAAGACCGCGACCAACATCGACTTTTGGTCCCCCATCTGGCTTTGACTTCGGCTTTCCCCAAACCCCAACTGAGTTTCAAAAGAGTCTGATGCGTTTTGCGTTCCCCGTACCTCATCAGATCGACGGAGGGTGGAGCGTTGAGTATGGTCGTCCTGACCTGGGCTACATGCTCAAGGAATGGGCGACAGGAGGTGCCGATGGACGAGGAATCCTTGGCCGACGTACAGCAGTTTTCGTATGTGGCCCACCCTCTATGAGAGTTGGTGTTGCCAATACGGTTGCTCGACTACAGGCGGAGATCTGGGGAGATGATGAGCTTGAGGAGATCTTCTTACATACCGAAAACTACGCTTTGTAAGAAGGGAGTATTGTGTGAATACATTCAGTGGGCTGTAATATTATGGGCTGTGCTGGGGTTGATGGAGACGGAGCGAAGAGATACCATGAGCGATCTGATTTTTGATGACCTAGTATATATATACCAACCTACCTTTGGAGGTGCCTTAGCTGTATGAGTAGGCAATTGAGCCTGAGCTACCTATATAATATCGATACCCTATCTACTATCTACTATACCTATCAGCCTATTTTTGAATTATCAATTATTTTTTGATGAGAGCCCGTGAAGACCCCGTGATCGGAGTTGACATGACATGATAACATGACGATATGACGAAGTGGCCAGAAGGGTTCACGAGATTGGCCCTCCCCCTCATGCAAACTCATGATGAACCCCACGTTTAATCAAGAGGCACACACATTTAAGGATCGTGATTGGAGAATGGCTTTAACCTAAATCGAGAAGGTGGAATATGAGGACCTTGGAGGCTGTTTTGGTGGTCATTAATGATTAAGGTATGGCTGTGATGGCGTGGAAGCAGGAGGAGACACCTTGATGGTTCCGACTTGTTATGTGAGAAGAGCCTGAAAAGAATAGGTAGGAACTGAATATTTGAGTCAAAGAGGTCCTCACAATTAAAAAATTTCAACTTTTCAACTTTTCAACATCCAAAGCATTCTCATTCATAACCATCATTTCTCAACCCTTCAGATACTTACCACAAGCTCTTAGTAGGCGAAGGACAGCACCACTACCATAACAGAAACCACTTACACTACCACTTGCTATCTCAAACCCTCAACCGAAAATACGGAATTCGACAACAATGGAGGAGTGGCCGGTTACAGACCTCGATAAAATCGCCAAGGGGTGGTCAATAGCCATGAAATGCTCCAAGGAGCGCCTTCAGCGGGTGCATGACCTCGCGGCTGATGAACTGGACGATGTCATCAATGATGGCCACTTGGTTCTCGAGACTGTGTGCTTGTTTGTTCACGCTTGCATCAAACACAATCAGTACAAGTATGCATTTAGTACCTGCAACAGACTCGAGCATTGAACTAACTGGAACCGTAGACTTCCTCTTTCGTTTTGGCGAGTCCTTCATGCTGAATATGGTATCATCGTCTATCCTACAGCATTCACAGAAGACATCGATATCCAGGGACTCAACACTGATGTCACATTCACTGAGGCTTATAACGGACACATCAGTAAGTAAAAATCTCCGTCTCAGGTCATTCATTAGTACTTATACAAGCGATAGTGATGTATGGTGGAGCCCGCGGCATCAAATACCCTCCCCGATGTCCCCTCGAGTTCATGCGAGAGCCTCCGCCTGTGTACCAGAAGGAAACACCGAAGATAGAATCGTGATGTTTCTCAAGTTGAAAATATGTTTCTGTGATTTTTGGAATTGGGTTTGGCGATAGTGGTACGCCCGGAGCATGGTAGCGTTGGTGGTTTAGATGCATGGCGATTCAGCATGCCAGAGACAGTTTAGAGACGTATAGTAGCGTATGAATGCTTATAATTTCAATAAGATGAATTGCCAAAAGCTTGAGTCTATTTCCAATTCGCATCAAATGGCATTAACTTTCTTCGCGCTGTCCTATAGCTCCGTCTCGGTTCGCTCTCCATACCCCCTCCTCACCTTCAAACTCCTCACGTTTCCAAACCTCAACTTTGGATTTACACTCTTCCAATGCCTCTTCACCAGCTCGCCACGCCGCTTGTCGATGCGGTGATGAGACGGCGATTAAGATGCTCTCTTCTGCGATAGGTACAGCTCCGAGGCGATGAATCATGGCTACCCCGCGGAGACCATGCTTATCGCGAACGTCCTTTGCAATGGCCATCATGGACTTCAGAGCTCTGGGATGATAAGCTGTATACTGCAGTTCTTTTACTGCCTTTCCGGCGAAGTTGTCGCGGGTAGTACCTGGGCTTGGTCAGTTTCGCTGTGAACAACGATTTGTGAGAGATGAGAGCTTATTACCTGCAAATAGCACGATTGCACCAGCTGAGGGGCTGCGCACCCGGTCCATGATGGCCTGGGCATTGAGATGATCGTGAGTCAGAGCGACATAGCAGTCTTGTTCTGATAGTTCCCAAAGATCTTGAGCCTTTTCTTGAGTTGCCATTTTTAAATCAGCAGAGGTTGAAGGAGAGATGAAATAAGAGTAAGTTTATATCTCGGAGTTGTTCTATCAGGAGTGGGTTTGATTTGTTCAAGGGTCAGAGGTCAAGCCATGTTGTATGAGACCATGATGGTAGAGAGAAGGCCCAACATAAAATTACCAGTCATGATAAATATTAGGTAGGTAGTCTGATCAACGTGATTTCTGTACTTAATCACTTTCTCCAGCCATGATTGCCTGCCTATTCGCTGATGATGGCGCTCACATGAGCGCATCACATCGCGATGACTAAGCCCCACTTCGACATCTTATTCCTCCCTGCCGCCTTGACTTTTTGACTTTCCTTCAAACATTTTTCATAAACTCTTCCCTTTTTTCCCTTTCACGTTCAACCGTTTCTAAAACCGACATCACTTTAATTTGAAAAAGGATACCGAGTAAGCCGAAGCTGCTGTGCGCGACGACCACCACATGCGACCCTCGATCGCTCCACGGACGACTAGCAAAGGATGATGAACATGAGCGACGAATTTCAAGACCGAGATGCCGGCTACCGATCGCGGCAGGGTAAACATATAACCCGAGCCTCTGGCAGAGATGGAAAACTCGAGAAGGATCTCCATGGATGATTTGAGCCTCGTAGCTAACTTCCCCACGGGACGGCGAGATCATTCCAGGTCTCCGCCCAAACAAGCTTTCCGCGACGATCCTCGAGAGAGAGATTCTCGATACCGGGATGACGAAAGGGACCACAACCACGATTACGACAACCGGTCTGGCCGTCACGTTGATGGATACTCAAGAAGAGGCGGCGCATCTCGAGAAGCGCGCTACAACGCTCACGACGAACATGACTACCGAGGCATGTACGATGATGGTTACGTAGACAATAACGATCAAGGGCAACGACGCCACGAGGACGAAAAGCGGAGTGGCAGAGGTCGGTACCGCGATGGTGATGATCCACGATCTCAGTCTCCGTCTGGAAGCTATCATAACCGCGGTCACTCCGACAGCCCAACGCGAGATGCTGGCAAGCCTAGCGACACCGTCATTCTCGAAGGCCTGCCTTTTAGTATATCGTCGAATGAGGTTGGTACCCTATCGGTCTAAGCAAAGTGTTACAAGAACCAAATGCGGGCTTCTGGGCCTATGGATTCGAGCCCGACTGCCCTGGAGGACGGACAAAAGGCTGCCTTTATCCCATCCATTGTCCTTAATTAAACGGCACCAGCGGCGCAACACATCCCTTGAAACCAGTCGATACCAGTTCTCAAGACTAATTTCCGGGCCTATAGCTGCGCGACAGTATCCTGAGCAACTCAGTTGCCGCCGAGTTCCCGTCAATTGACTTGCGCGTTTCCGCTTCCAAGGGTTAGTAAGATGTGGTTGGTATCTTACGTTCTTGTTGCTGACACATACAAACAGGAAATCGCAGAGCGTTTGTGCAGTTCCAGGAAGTTGACCATGCTGTTACTTTTATGAGAGAGCATTATCCAAAGCTTCTTGTTGAGATGACGCATTCCACTGATGACGTCCCAGAAGGGAGATTCGATGCGTACATCCATTACGCTCGAAACCGAGATGCACGCGACGAAGATGATGCTCGGGGTGTTCCCAGTGGTGACTGGATCTGTCCTACTGTAGGTTTGCTCTCACAGCTTCAGCCACACAGCCACTAACGAGATAGTGTGACTTTTCCAACTTCTCTACCCGAACCAAATGCAAGATTTGTGGCGGCCCACAGGCTGGTAAGTCAACCGAACATTTCAGCAACGATAGAAGCTAATATCGAAGTTCCAGCCCCAGCGTGGCAATTGAGTCTTACAGGCATGGCAGATGCTTCGGATGTACCCGCACAAATCCTTGTCGTCTACCCCTTGGCATCATTTGTGACTGAAGATATGCTAGCCAACGATATGAAGCGACTAGAGCTTGTGAAGCAAGATCAAACCAAGGATACGTCCAACGGAGCACCCAAACTGAAGTCCACAGCCCCGACAGGTGACACGACAGGTTACGGCGCTCGACCTGGTTCCCTTCATCGAGTCTTCCTTATGCGTGACGTGCACACGAACGAATCCTTTAAATATGGGTTTGCTGAGTTCTGGACGGTGGAAGACGCATCGGCCGCGATGACGAAATTTCACAAATCTCGATCATTTACGGTTGCAGCATGTCCAGTGACAGTATCCAGCACTCATATGGGGGTTTTCTTGCCTGAACAACGCGAGTTTACACCGGAAATCGAGCACCTGTCGTTCACACCCTTGTTTAACCCCAACCTTCGTGTTCGCTACCGAGACTACCACGTGTATCCTAGCCAGCAGGTTGTTAATGAACAGCCTCCAGGAGGTGAAGGTGCCTCAAAAGCAAACGAAGAAGATGGTAACGACAAGAAGTCAAAGAAGCGCAAAGCAGAGGGAAGCCTCGCTGCTTCTTCCACGAAGAAGTCTGTGCCAATGATGGCGGGCCAGATGGCCATGTGGCAGCGCAAGAGGGATGAGCTTCGTGTTGAGAAAGATGCTAGACCGGCACGACAGGATAAGGCCGAGTTCAGCGATGTGAATCGAACTCCACTTCGCATAAACCTGTCAGGTTCTGGAGGAGACTCATCGAAACCCCAGAGTGCTATCAAGATCTCACTTTCAGGAACACAAAAACTTGGTCCTCCTGAGCATGCTGCTCCCAGCAAGCAGGGCTCACCAGATGAGTCTCCCGGCAGTACGACACAGGCAACCTCAGCCTCTGGGGATGCACCAGTTTCTTATGTCGATCGCGATCGATTGATGTGCCTGATCTGCATGCGCAAGTACAAATCTGTGGATGAAGTTAACATTCATGAGAAATCTCGGAACCACAAGAACGCGATGGAAAACGAGGAACAAGTCAAAGCCGCATTGCCCAGGTTAGCAGCACGCGACAAGAGACTTCAGAAACAGGCACAAGAGAACCCCGACTCGGCAGCTGCGACATCACAATATCGCGATCGTGCCAAAGAGAGGCGAGCTGCCTTCAATCAGCCAACTAAGCCAACGACCGCACCACAAGGCAAACCCAAGCCGGGTCCGAAGGCGGAAGAGGCTGCACCGGCTCCGAAGCCCGTTCAGTCAAAGGGAGCAGGTATGCTGGCCAAGATGGGATGGTCAACCGGTGCAGGTCTTGGAGTCAATGGAGATGGGCGTACCGAGGTTATCGAGACAAATGCTTACCAGGAGGGCGTTGGATTGGGCGCAGAGGGTGGCAACCTTGGCGACGCAGCGCAGTTGGCTGAGCGTAAGACAAAGAACAGTTACGCTGAATATGTGAACACAGTGCAGGACAGGGCACGGGAGCGGTATAACAAGATGGGCTGAGGAGTGGACATAAAAGGCCATGTAATTACAGCTTGGGATATAGATGGTAAAGGCGTTCAGAATTTGCTGTGGAACCGAGGACGAGACTCGACATGCCAAAGATAGTCGCACATGTTCAATTAAGGGGTATCATTTTTTAAATACAGCACTTGAAGAAACCAGTGCCATAGATTCTATGTACAGGCGCGAACTCACTTGCAGTGGCTGACGCTGGCTTTCAACTCCTATTGCCAGTCTATTCTCATGTTTACAAGAGAGTCAATGCAATACCCGCAGCCACGATGAGTGTCACCATGGAAGCAGGAGACAAATGACCGGCAGCATTGTCGTCCTCTCCAGAACTGGAGGTGCCTATAGATGGGTTAGATGAAAACTGAATAAGAATGAAACAGATACAGTAAATGACTTACCTTCAACACCAGTGACATCCGGGAAATTGGTTTCCTTCTCCTTGAGTTCGACGATGTTTGACTCGTCGGTGTTATGGTTCGCCTCAGCGATGCCCAGCTGTTCATTTGCCAGGTCATAGACAACGTAGGCAGAACGCAGGAATGTGTCTCCAAGAAGAGTGACGCTCCCCGTGAGACCATACTGACTAACAGGGCTGATTCCAAACATACAGACGCTGTCCCAATCATCAAAGTAGGAAGAGACTTGAGGATCGTCGAAAATTTCCTGCTTGTCGGGGAAGGCATTGATGACCATCTCGCTCATGGGAACAGAGATTGTCTTTCCGTCGAACTTGAAGTCAAAGCTAACACCCTTGCCCTTGTCTTTGCCGTAGGCGCAGTCTACAAAGGGGATGGCGACATCCTCCACACTCAGGACGTTGAAGGCCTTGTAGATAGGCCCTACTTGGGCTTCGGGCAAGAGGCAGACGGTAGCACCAGAATCGAGAATGGCGGTGGTGTCTTTCTTGAGACTATCTACCTTGATCTCATCTTGGCCCTTTGGTGTCTTGACCTCGAAGCCTTGGAAGGCGACGGTGAAGTGAGTGAGGTTGAGAGTGGAAGGGTCAGGCAACAAAGGCAGAGTTGCAAGCTTGCCGACGAACTTTTTAGTGTCAAGGCCGCCGAAGAGGATAGTTCCTTGCTCTGAACTGAGATCATTCTACGTGTTTTGTTAGTAAGGGGCTAGTTGTTCTTCCCTGTTGACTTACCAGCCAGAGACTGAAGGCAGCTCGGTCAATCAGGCCCTGAGACACCATGTTCTCAACAATGGTTGGGTATGACCCGTTGGCAACGACATTACTAGAGAAGCCCAGGCCCATCAAGCCTGTTGGACGAACAGATTCGGAAGCGAGACCTAGTCTTTGCTGCTTGATGCTTTTTCCATCGATAGTGACGGTATCGTTGAAGTAATCACCACTAATTGAGCGCGTATCAAGATAGGTGATGTCGAATCCATCACGGTCGACCAATTTATAGGTACGACTCTTGTCGGGTTTAACTATAGATGTTTAGTACAGTCTTGTTGGGTGAGATGGGAGAATAACCTACATGTAGTCATACAAGGGCCAATAGTCTCTTGCTTGGTTCTACTATTGCAGAGATCGGTGTCATCTGAGTTGAGCCAAGTATCACTGCTACCAGTGTCAAGCTGGAAGCTGATATTTTGACCTGGTGTACCGACTTGGAACTCAGCGTAATATCCACCCCCTGTGATATTATTGAGAGCAGCGAGACTGAGAGTGTCGCGTTTGTCAAGGGACGAGTCATGATGAAACCTTTGCTTAACAATTGGGGCAGAGACAGTGCCAGCAGAGACTCCAACGGCGAGAGACGTCAGAAGCGTAAAGGTCCGCATTGTGTTTAAAGTCAATTGGGCGACTGATGAATAGAGTTGATAACCGGCGTGCCGATGAAACTCTAGCACGCGTCGATCTGCAACGACTCAAGGGAGTATAACAAATAGACGATAAACGAAAAATACAGACTTTATACGATGAGAAAAATAAGAAGAGAAAAGATTTGAATTTATGAAACAAGGACCAAGGAGTAAGCTTAACTCCAAGGTATTTATTTAGCGTCGGCAGTTAAAAGGAGTGAGATGGGGGAAAAAAGGACAATTTCGAGGAGGAGCTGAACTTTTTGTCTTTTGATGAGCTGGAGAGTGCCAAGACTGCCCAGGCGGTTAAGGGAAGCAGCTGGAGGCAGTGCCTACGCCACTAAAACGCCCGAGTCTGCCTTGTGGAGATTTAATCCAATGACTGGACCCCCTGGGAAAGTCCGGGGTTTGGCTGCTTTAGGGGTCCTCAAAGGATTTAATGCTCGCTACAGGGGATGCCATTCAAGTCGGGCGGGAATCCATCCTTCTATGGATTTGTAGGAGTAAGGAATTGCTACGTGTACAAGGCTTAGCTTTGCTTGATAGTATTGTAACTTACGAATCAGTTGGAGCCTAAAGGATCATTATTTCTGAAGTCTTGGAAATGGTCAAGAATATATGATTATGATTGATCTTCACTGATACGATGGGATTGAGAGAGGTTATATTGATGTTAGCAAAAGGCAAGAGACAGAGTAACGGTTGAAATGTTATGATTATTATTATCGGTTTGGATTTTTTAGTTGTTTTGTACTCGTAATACATGTTTTTCTTCTTTTTGTTCTGTTCACTTGTTGGTAGTTTGATTGTGGCGAAGATGAAGCGGATGATGAACAAAACAGGCACCGGCATCTCTTCCATTATTCAGTCTCTTGTAGCACGAGTTTCTGGGGCATTGGTACTTTGTATGGGACTTTTTGTGCCTGTTATTGCTAGTAAGAGGCCTAAACTTCTTCCCACAGAGTGTGCATTATATTGGAATGGTTCAGACCTTAACAAGTATATTAATCAATTCATGGTGACAAACGAAGTGGCAGAAGCTGTAAGGTGGAAGAACTTACTCGACATGTCCGAAGTTGTACGACCTTTTGGATGTTTCAACCGAGGAGACTTTGCAAAGATGCAATATCTCCCATAGCGTCTCGACGGATTCATGTTGGTAGTCTTTTATCCACACGCAGACAGGCTTCAGTCGGTGCACTTCGGCCTGTAGAGCGTGTAACTCCCAGCTCTCATCCTTTCTAGATGGTGCGCCAGGCCTCGTGCTGATCTTGTGGTAATAGATCGCGTCCCTGCTTGCGTATCCATGTCTCCTCGTGAACACTGTGAGCACAAGGAGCGTAGAGGAGATGACGGTCTTGACATATCTTGTTAGTAATTAATATGTAGGAAAAGCTGAAAAGGAGGGGGAATGGATCAAGGCTTGCCTCGAATGGTTGTGTGTGTAGTAGATGATGATGTATTTGCGTGATGAGGGTTGGAGTGTTTGTGTAGTAGGTATCAAGGTTAAAGATTATGATTGGGATGTTTGAAATGGCAAGTTGGGAGTGGTTATGGAAAGGTGAGAATAATGAGGAAAGAAGAAAAGTCTGGATAGAGCAGAGGCCACATATTTATACCGAAATCTTCAAGGCAATAGAAGTCATAAACCGTATCCGGACTCTGCTTGAGCGTGTGCTTGTTCTCCTCGTGTTCGGGCGGACAGGAAGGAAAGTGACAAGAGACAACTTAAGGGTATCATGGTACATGACGCATGTTGCCGAAGGGTATGCACTTCATTGGACGCACAGAGTCACTGATAGTGTTGGGAGCTAGCATACTGAGGAAAATGGGAGCCATCACAATACTGTAGCTGATACGTCTGAAGAACTTTCCTAGACATGACATGCTGAATAGAGCTTTGGCCATACACATGCTCTGAACAAGCCAATGAACAGCCCATGCTTGAAGGGAAAAGGTAGGTGAATGATGAACAACATATCAACCAACTGTTCAGTCCGAAAGTCATTGAAAGGGTTGAAGTGTGACGTGGTTGTCAAAGGTAGTATTACTATGTATGGTATCAGTCAACAAATGAAACGAAACGAACAAACACTGCCACAGCTCAAAGACAGATCACAGCTTCGCGCCCTTCTCTCCGCCATCCTGCTTAAGTCGAACAACGCCCTGAACAAAGTTAGCACAACTCTCATATCAAATAATAGACAAGACTCACCTCTTGGAAACACGTCGCCAGCAACGCCCCATCCTTACCAAATATCTTCTGTGTGACAACACCCCTGCCATCTCCCGCCCACGGACTCTCCATCTCCGTAAACATCCACTCATCCGCCTTGACAGCCATTGGCTCGTGGAAGTAGATGCTGTGATCCAGACTCACAAGCATTCCCACCTGTGCCCGCCCCTTCCAGTCCTCAACGTTACTACCCATGCCCTCAAATTCACACAGGCTCTTGACTTGCTCTTGGGTCTTCTCGTCCAGTGAGGGTACCTCTTCAGGCGAGAATGGGAAGCGCCATAGTCCGTGGAGACGGGAGACTGTGCCGATGAAGTAGCTGTCTGACATGTATGCTAGTGCGTTGAGATGTGCTTGGTGGCCACCTCCAGCTGAGATCTTTTGCCGCGAGCGCATCCACTGTCTGCTCTTGCGGTCCTGTGGCTTGCAGTTTGGGTCCTGGGCGCCCAATACTTCAATTCTGTGGCTCTGAAATGGTCCAGTTCTTGCCCACTCTGGCTCACCATCCCAGTCATCTGCCGGTGGGCTCACGTCCTTTGGCAGGCTTGCCGCATGGCTGACCTCCCGTCGCTTCTTCTCAGGAGGTGTCTCACGCACGAAACTGATGGTGGTGGTAAAGATGCACGCACCCTTTTGCCGCGCTTGAACCGTGCGTGTTGAGTATGAGCGTCCGTCGCGTACACGCTCAACATGGTAGAGAATGGGTATCTCAGAGTTGCCCGCGAGGAGGAAGTAGCAGTGGCATGAGTGGACCAGGAACGTCTCTGGGACTGTCTTTTGCGCGGCAGCAAGACATTGTGCGATGACAGCACCTCCATAAATACCACGGGCACCGGGAGGATGCCATTGAGGTTGTGTGTTTGTGAAGATATCCTGTGAGCAGTCAGTATCGCCAATTATTTGTATTGATGCCATGCAATGAGATAGAAGCAGGGATATAGGTGTACTCCACGCGTCAGACTGCATGAGGTAGTATCACATATCATTGATACATCCGTATCCTTGACGTAAATGAGTGATGAAAAGAGGCACAACTTACAGGGCCTAGAACCTTGATCTCTGTGACATCCAATACATTCTCAATCAGAGACTTATTCTCATCGTGCTCTGGTGGTCGTAGCAGAGTCGGTCTAACTATATCCTCAATGACTGTCATTTTGTGCTATTCGCCGCTCCAATTGAACGCGTTGTATTACTGTTGATGATGCTGGAAAGAAGTTGTGGATACTCAAGAATAGTAAATAAGGCACTATCTTTTAAGGAGAAAGATGTTGTATTTAGAGGCCGAGCTTTCATGTGCTGCCTCACGACGAGTTCCCTACGTAACCTACCCCTGATGAGTTTAAGGTTATGGATTTTTACCGAGGTTCGGAGTCTCTGCCGGCCGTGGGGCCGAATCTACCTCGTTATCGGCCACTCACAGGCCGGCTCAACACAGTTATTCTCCGTTCCGGGAATTATAACGGTATTTAGCTCAGATATGAACTCAACAAATGATGGTATTTCAGTAGCGAGATGTCATTGTAACTTATACTATAAGCTCCCACAATTCTACCTATCTATAAACTTCCCTCCCATCGTAGTAGCTGTATTACTCACACCTCGACCTCTCTTTTTGTATAATTAACAACTTTCATGATCAATAACTATATCACCGAATCGTATCCTCATCCACATGGTCTTCATAAATTGGCTCCAATCCCTCCCACGCAACTTGGGGATCACCGTTTGGCCCGGCCTTCTCACGTCGCTCCCAGTACTTACCAGTGAATTGCCAATACTCCTCTCCTGTGATTTCGCAACGCGCCTTTCGAAACCAAGCTGGCACAAACTCCTCGCCACGCTCTTCTCGGAGACGCCGGCGCGCTCGTTGAGCATTCTCCAGGCGATTCTTCTCATCAGCAGCAAAATCGTACTCTCCATCCTCCATAGCCCGTTGATCAGGTCGAAGGCGAGAGTCAGTAGGAGGAAGCCATGGTCGGAGCTTGTCATCGATATGGTTGAAAGTCAAAACAAATGGCGTCAAGTTGAAAGGGATGCCGGTTGGTCGCTCATTGGCCTTCCAAATGAGATACGCGCGATTGGGGTCAGCGAGACCACCGTGGGCCATGTCGCCACCACTCTCCTTAGGTTCATCCACGGCTGCTTCGTAACCTGGGGTTAGGCGAGCGTACAGCTTGGAGTTCCAGCGACCACCGAGACTGACGCGAACCTTGCCGGTTGCATCAGTGACCTTTCCAGATACTTGATATGCGCTCGATGCCTTCCAGCCACGTGGTTTGAACTCAACGTGAGCCACCTCGCCCGTTGTCCAGTTCTTGATCTCCATGACGCCATAGTTGTCGACGGTTGGGTTTCCAGTGATGATACCAATGACAGACGAGGTAACCTTCTTCCATGTGTAAAGCTCCTCCTTTCCTCCAGCGGTAGGTCGAAGCTTGAGGAACCATGTACCCAGCGGGTTGATGTCGAAGGATTTACCATAGAACTTGGACTTCACAGCTGATTCACCCCAGTAAGACCACTTGGGTGACTCTGCGTATGCAGCGCCAACTGGAGGGTGATGGCTGACTTGCTCAATGAAGAAGCGGTAGTTCTTGTCGGGCCGCACATACTCAAAGGTCTCTCCCAACAGAGGGTTGAAAGGCTTGGCCACACGACCGATAGTTGAAGCGTACTCACTAGCAGCAAAAGCAGCCACGTAGATGAGTCGTTCGATCGAGTCGGCTCGGTCAGCAGCCAGGTCAAGCAAATCGGCATACTCCATGTCCTCTCCAGCACGGTAGAGGAGTGAAGTTGGCTCGTTGAAAGAAACAGGTAGAGTCATCTTGGTCATATCCTTGCCAATCATCGACTTCAGAATACCCTACTCCAGATTAGTATTACTCGTATGCCACGGAAATGTAATAAACGTACCCAAAGAGAAATCTTAGGACGGTCATCGGCATCCATCTTGAGCCTCGTTCGAATGCCATTCTCATAACCCTTGAAAGAGGAGCTGATGTCTAGACCGCCAGAAACGACAATATCCTGAGACTTTGGCTTGACCTCTTCAGCGGGTAGTTCAGATACCTCAACCTGGCCAGCATCCACGGCGTCGAAGAACTCGTCCTCTTCTTCAGATTCACTCTCGGACAAATCCACGATAATTGTGGGTTTCCTTCGGACGCTCTTCATCGTAGGCGATTTAGGTGGCACTGGTGGCAGTTTGGTGGCGGCATCTTCAAACTTTCCTTCTTCATCCTCCTTCTCTCTGTCGTCGTTCAATTCCTTCTCAACAACTGTGTCCTCAACACGAGGCACGGCCTCTTCCACACCGACAGGTATACCGCTTTCGATCACCTCTCTTAGCGCCCTCTTTGTGGCCTTGCGTCTCTTCTCTGCCTCTCCAACGCGAGCCTCCAGAACCTCTTGCTCACGAGCCACCTGCGCCATGCTTTCCTCCCACATACGTCTCATATTAGCCTCACGGTCAAGGCGGTATTGCCAGTAGGCGTCACGGTCCTTGGAAATGCGGAGTAAGTCGGCCACCAGAGTTGACAAGCTTCGAATAGCGGCATCGTATGTTCCCAGCGCCTGCGTCACGCTGTTGTCAGAGAGAGGTGTGTTGGGGTTCTGGTTGAGCTCGTTAATAAGGGCTTGGTGAACGTGAGACATTGTTTCGAGCTGGAGCTTAGCGGATTGAGCAGTAATGTTGAGCGCATCCTTGGTAGCTGTGGGTTCTTCGTGAATACTCATGTCGTCGCCATAATCGTCGTCGTCATCAATATCGTTATGCGTTGGCGCTCCATTTCTAGGTGCCCGCGACGTGCCTGCATCAGTCTCAACATCGACAAACTCGTCTTCCTCAAAGCTACCAGTTGTACCGGGGCTGGCATGGTTTGGTCGTTGGTCGACAGAAGAAATCTTGGAGAGAGATCTGCTTGGAAGTTGGGAGCTATTCCTGCGTAGATCTGTGACGCTGGTGTTCTCGCTGTGAGAGTCCTGGAGAGAGAGCGTACTTGGGTCGGCTTTAGCCTGCCTCAAGAGCTCTGCGCCTCGAGCCGCCCGCTTCTCTTCCTCCTTAGCCTGGTCCTTGGACCACTGGATCGAATTATTGAGAGCCCAGAACCATCGCTTGGCCTCAACCTCGTGGTTCGCTTTAAGGGTATATTTAACAGAGGATTTACCATGAATTTCGAATTTCGTCTTTTCATCAGGACTCATATGAAGTTTTGCAATACGCATGTTAATGGCACCACGGCATGCGGAGCCTGCATCGTCTTGGTGCTTGTAGTAGCTGAGAACGCCGTCCTCAAGCACGAACCATCGCAGTTGGTAACCCTTCCTGTAGTTGGTCCATTTCTTGAGATAGCCCTTCATCTCACGAGCCTCTCGGCCGGCTAGAGGATCATTGGATGCAGAACCTGCCGTCCCCTGGGAAGCGGCCTGTCCCAGCACAGCTTTCTCCTGGATTCCACGCTGGGCAGCCACAGCTGCTGGGGACTTTTTGAGGATGGCCTTTGTAGCATCGTCGTTGGTGACGGACTGGGGCAGCTTGCCCTTTCGATCGCGGCGGAAGGGGTCGGCACCGTGCAGAAGCAGAACCTGGATGAGGTTGGTGTTTTTCTTTCTTGCGGCTTCGTGAAGTAAAGTGCCACCAGTCTGGACTGTAAATGGTTCGGATGCGAATTCGGGGCTGTTGATATCGAGAACGGTCTTGACTCGATGCTCTTCGAGAACACCAGCAAGTGCGCCATAATTGCCCCGCGCGATAAGTTCTTGAACTTGCTTGACCTTGGCCTCGGCGAAAAGCGATCGTGAGAGCTGCAGGAGCTGGAAGATTTCGGGGTTTCGTGCGACGTCGAGGGGCAATTTGCCTTGGGCGTTGGCAATAGCATCGTTGATATCCTTTTGCTCTAGAAGAAGCTTCACGACTGTGGTGCGGCCCTGGATTGCAGCCAAGTGAAGCGGGGTGTTGCCATCCTTGTCGCGAGCATTCACATCGATCGATCCCTGTCCATCAGACAGGACGTACTCAATGACAGGGAATTCGGCACACTGGATCGCCAGGTGAAGGATTGTGGTATCGTCCAGAGCGCTTGTGGCAGAAGCGCCTACTGATGAGATGCTCGCTCGGGGGGCGTTCTCAGCTGTCTCGCGAATGGCACGGGAAATGGATGAGGTGTCGCCGCTTCGGAGGGCCTCGACGAACCTGAACTTCCGAACGGACTGCTCGAGGCTTGCGGTGCTTTTCTCGGCAGACGGCGATGAGAGGAATTGCTGGGACTTTGATTGAGAAGCTGTAGGCGAGAGGCCGGCCGAGGAGACGGACTGCTTAGCCCCGTGGCCTCGCGGGGTCTGCTGGTGCGCCATGGGGTTGATTGGATTTGAGGATGAGGGAGTTCTCCGAAGCCTCCCGTCTTCGGAACCGGACTCTTCGTCGCGAGTATTGTTGCGCCGCAAAAGAGAGAGAGCGGCGGCGGATTTGGACCGCTTGTGGGTGCTGAAGATAAAAAGATAAACAGCGGTCAGTAGGTGGAACGACTTTTGATGCTGGGGGTTGGTCAAGCAGAACAGCCCAGGGCCAGAGCAGTGGAGGGGAAGCTAAGTTTAAGTACGAAGCGAAGCATGTGTGATGTGGCCCAGTTGCAACTCGCATCTACTGCATCTGGTGTGCATATGCAGCGGTAATTGCGAGCCAATCTGACAATGCGGCAACACTCTTGGTGCTGTAATAGCCCAGTAACAACAGTAATTATCACTATCACTTGGACTCACCCGTCACCAGCGTCAGACATCTTGGCCGACGTCTACCAATAGATCGAGACCCCAAAGTTACTCTTTGTCGAATCGAGGCGGGGAACAAGAGAAAATAGGGGCCAGATACTGGATTTGCAGCAAGGAAGTGCGCTGCAGTAGGTATCGTGTACAGGGGTCGTGCTGGTCAATGCTAAGCTGATGTGAATGCTGAGCTTTGGTGTTGTTGTTGGTGAGGGGAAAAGAAAAAAAGTTGGCCGCCAAGTTGGAAGGAAAACAAAAGCGACCGGATTTAGATGATGCGGTTGATGAATTCGTCACGACAGAGCTGATCAGCCAAAATTGTTATGGATGGTTGCTACTGTACAAAGGTACAGACAGCCCAGAGGAAGGACAGCAACAGCGCTGTAACTGGTCATGGAGGGGCCTCTTTTGGAGCTTCCCACCAGGTGGAGAAACCTTCTTGGACAGGCGATAGGGGCACTGCCACTATCATGACAACCTTCAGATTCTACCAAAACAACCTGATAAGTTGAACTGAGGTCCCTGTAATCTTTAATGTAACATTTACCATACATCGCTTAACCTGGCACAGCTGAGCATTCGTCACCTTTCGGAGATTTCATACCATTGCTTCCTCACCTCTCTCTCTCTGAGGTGCCTCTAATAGAAGTTTCTCCTCATACCCGTCCAATGACGTCTTCCCCTCAAACCAATCAATCAATCAAGCTTTACCGTGACAACAACCGGGTTCCTTTGTTAGCTCCGAGGAGGCTTGAGCCTCGAGGATCAATCCGCCCGCGACCAGGAATAATAAACCGCTAAAAGCCAAGCTTTTGAGTTTGACGTCGCCAAGGTAACTTCGAATGAGGAACACGACTCAGAAGCCTTACCATTCAATAATCAGAGGCACGTGAAACTAAAGAATTCTTGTTGTTTTATCGCCGTCACAGCCAGGAATTTATACTTACCTTGTCTTGAACGTGTTTGATGCAGCCCTGAGGCACAAATTGAGTTATAGCGGCAGCCACTGACGTATCATTCTGCTTTCAAAAATCCCTATTTCGACACTGAAGTGCTCATCAGATAATAAATAGTCAAAAGGCATGCAGCACAGACACGATTAATAAGCAAATAACGTTGGAATATTGTGCTTGGGAACAGTTCATCAGGTTATCAGAGTATGAGCCATGTGTGACGTTTCAGGTCTTAAAAAAAGTTCAGAGCTCCTTGCATCAAATATCATTGAATTCTGACCGTAACATATGTATGTATTCATTCGATACACATTAGCATAAATAGGATGGCATGAAACTGTAAAGGCTGTTGACCTCTACATTAAGAAGGTATAATCAAAGAAATCTTGACCTTAGGGACAAGAGAAGAAAGAGGAGCGATCAAAGGAAGTCTAAGGAGTGTATCCCACGCTACAGCACAAGCACCTGGAAGAGCACCATACCAGCCAGGGCAGTCAAGCCAATGGCGAGGGAAGAGGCTCCGGCAGTAGCGGGAGTGATCGGGGCCGGAGCATAGGTTGCGGCCGACGCCGGTACCGACTTGTAGCCACCGGTAGGAGCGGCAGCACCGGAGGACTGCTCACGAGTGGGCTTAGCCTGCTCGAAAACTCCGGGCTTAGCAGCTGTCTTGAGCGTGACAGGAGGAACGACAACGGTGGTGTAAATAGTGCCGTAGTAATGAGCCTCCTTAGTGGCGATCTTGGGCATCTCAGGCACAGGCTTGTAGATCTTGATGGGCTGAGTCTGCTGCGCAGGCACAGTAGCCGTGGTCCACGAAGCAATCTCTGTGGTGACGGCGCCGACGACGCAGTTGGTAGCACCAGGAGCACAGTGGCTGATGGTGTTGACCTGGCTTGTGTAGAGAGTCTTGATCTCATGGTTGTAAGGGACATCAGTGGGAACAGGCTTGCTCTTCTCTGTCACAGGGCAGACTGTGGTGTAGACAGGGATGGTCTCAGTAGTAACAGATCCATAGGGGCAGTCAACAACTTCAGGAGGGCACTTGGTGACGGTGTGAACACTCGTGGTGTAAACAGTCTTGGTCTCATACTGAGAGGGCACAGCGTAGTTGGTAGGCTTAGCCTTACCAGTAACGGGGCAGACAGTCGTGTACAGAGGGATAGTCTCGGTGATCACGTAACCATCCACCGCAGTATGGACTCGGGTTGTGCAGACCGTGCTCGTAGTCACGCTGACAGCAGAAGTGTTGTCAGGGTACTTTGTGTGAACTGGCGATCCCTTGGTAACAGTTGCAGTGCCAGAGGGGATGAGGGTCGTGGGGTTGCCATTCTTCTGAGTATAAGAGGGAGCATCGTAGGTAGTGTTCCAGCCCTTGAAGGTGCTGAAAGTGGTCTCGGCAGTAGCAGACTCAGTTTCCTGGGCAGAATCCGTTGTCTTGGCAGTTCCTGTGATTGTGTTACTCTCGAGAGTGGCATCGGTGGTCGACGTCGCGGCATCGTCAGTGGTTGCAGAAGAGTCACTAGTAGCTGTGACATCGGCTGTGGCGGATGAAGTACCGGTGCTCAAGACACTGCCAGTTGCGGAGGTCTCAGTGGTGTCAGCTGAAGAATCAGTGGCTGTGGCAGATATTTCGGAAGCAGTAGTGTCAGTGGCAGAACCAGAAACGTTTGTGGCAGAGCTATCGGTTGTCTCGGTTGCCAAAGAGGCATCAGTAGCTGCGGAGGTATCAGAGCTGGCTGTGGAATCCTCGGTCGAAGAAACACCAGAGGTGGTGGTAGTATCAGCAGTTGTCGACCCGCTGGTTGTGGCAGTCTCCGTGGAAGAAGCGTCAGAGGTTGAAGAAGCATCAGAAGTGGTTGTTACACCAGTAGTAGAAGAAACATCGGTAGTAGTTGTGTCAGCTGTTGTAGTAGACTCCGCAGTAGAAGTAGCCTCCGTGGTAGTGGTGAAGGCAGTGGTGGTCGTAACAGGAACAGGGTCACAACCATATTTCAGCGCATCCATGACATGCTGATTATAGTCCTTGCCATCAATCTCGTTACCAGCACCACGAGTCAAGTCCCAGAGAGAGATACCAGCGAAGTGAGTCTTGTCCTTGAGAGCACAGACGACATCTTTCATGGCTTCTGGCTCGAGATAACCTCCGCCCGGAGCAGCGGCCTTGCTAGCAGGGAGACCAACGTAGAGCTTGGCGTTCTGACTGCATTCACTGTCCTCAACAATGGCCTCCCAGTCATCGTAGTTGAATCTATCCCATGAGACTGAGGGGTCGGGGATAGCATCGCAGCCAGGGTTGTTGTAGAACTGGATGAAGAGGGCGTCGAACTTGGCCTGATTGATCATGTCTTTCATGTAAAAGTATTCGTCGCTAGTAGGGCATTGGGGCGCGCCAGTAATGATAACGTCGTTGTTTAATCGGCGAAGCTCGTTGATCATGGCGATATAAGGGCCGTTGGCTGATAGTTGTTAGCTGTTATGCAGGTCTTGAAGATGCAGGATCACGTACGAAGGTCATGCTCGATATCAAAGTCGAAACCATCAACAGCAGGACGAGTTGTACCATCGTCACTGTCGAAAGGACGAGGACCATCCCAGCTTTGATCATAAGGACCGAAGGCCTTGTACAGGAAGTCGGCAAAATCAACGCCCTTGTCATTAGTGGTCACCTTGTAGTTGCTTCCAGCCTCGTTGTAGACTCCACCAATGCTCAGAAGAACCTTGACTCCGCGCTCCTGGCAGTATGGAATGCCCTCCTTAATAGTGTAGCACTCACTGAGGAGTGATGAGGAAACTCCATGTTTGTTACTGAAGACACCAGCCGCACAGTGTCCGGCAAAGTTGGTACCAGGATAGCCTGACTCTGTATGTTCGGGAGCCTGGTTCACAAAGGACAGAGTAACGTACTCTGGGCCGGAATCACAGTAGGACTTGAGAGAATCAGATCCAAGTTGCCCCTACAGAACTTGGTCAGTTAGTTGTTCCCAAGACAGATTGTAAGTTAAACAAACCCAATATCCATTTAGTCCCAAGGCGAGACCAGAACCACCGGGAATAGAAGGAATAGAGATAGACATTGTCACCAAATGAGTGACTGGAAAACTGTAAAAGACTGTAAAGTGGCCGAGGCCGTTAAAGAATGTGTGATGATACGGGTATCAAAGAAAGGACGCAAACCAAAGTTTGCAATGAGGCCTGGGACCGAGCCGTCTCCAAGTTGACTGTCAACAGAGTTGATGGGAAATACAGAGAGGAACATCGGAGAAGAGAGGGAAAGCCATATATTATGGAGGGAACTACCACTCGAAAATTTCTGCTCTAGACGCATCTCTCAGGTCAAAGCCATCTCAGCCGCTGGCTTCCAGCCATTTGAACCGGTGTTTTCCTATCTAGGACATAGTAAGGAGTCTTCTCGCTAGAGGAGGACCATTTAGAAGTAAACCCCCGGGTTGTCGATGGGGTACGGCGAAATCGGCCGCATCGTGCAAAGTAATCTCCGCCTTAGAACAGCAAAAGAAGCCTCTTTCTGTAAATTCTTGCAGTTCAGACACCTGAAGGAGGCTATCGATTTCAGGAACAGGCTAAGCGTTGGTCGAGAGTGGACTTGGGCGGCTGAGGGACTATCAAAAATGGGCGTCTGAGCCGCGTAGCCGATGCGCCAAGGTGAGAATGGGGACGGTGATAAGGTAGACTCAGCCGCTAAGCTGCGTTTATGGTGTCATTATACCACACTATGATTGATATGGGAAACGGTTCAGAGGGGAATTATGGGAATTGGATCTTGGCAGGCCAATGATTCCTGTCTAAGGGTGAATGATGGGCATGATTGATATCCGCTTGGAGACAGCGCCAACATTAAGGTGTCTGGTCACTATGGTGAGGATGTAAGTCTTAGGGGTAATATGAATGGGGATAGGGAATTGACTCGGTTCGATTATCTCCGAGTATGCATGTTCAGAGTGTCGTTGGTCCGATTACGCAGTTGATAATTCGATCGAGGGGCTCAATCTCTCCATGAAGGTAAGTTCATAGGGATAGGGTCTTATGACAAGAAGATTTCACATGCATCACTTCTGTCTCTGCCTCTAGGTGAAGAAACTCAGGTCATAACAATTGACATTTACTGCAAAATATTTTAATGTGATGAAGAAACTGAGAGGGGCTGTCACTTGATGTTGGTATCTACCCCTGTTACACGTGGAGTCGTGGAAGACTAAGCGATAGAGCTAGGGGTTCCTGCATCCAAATCGACCAATCGCGTGTTGTTCTCGCTTTGATCAACACGCTGTAGGGCTAAACTTTTAGCGCAACTACCTAGGCCGTCACCGCTCCTGATTTCCACTTCTAGCAAACCCCTGATGCCTCCGGAGGTTTTGGCCAGTAGTTTGATCACTGAAGTGACGGCTTGTGCCCTAGAGACTTGGCGGTGACAGAGCGTGAACCCCTGATGAAAAGGGTTTGGACTTGACGTCTACCTACCACGTTGGGAGATTGCCGATCCGGGGTCAGTCCCTGCCTGATCGACATTTTTCGCTTTCTTCCGAGTGGTGTTGATGTGTCAATGACATCAAATGCTGTCACTGTGTATCTTCAGATTCATAGGTAGTCAGACAAAAACCCTTGTTGAAGAGAGTGGCTGACTCGATGGCTGTGAAAAGGAGTCGAATAATATTCCGAAGCGTCGTCAGCTTAGACTTGAGCGTGGCTTTCTTTCCTCTTTCTTTTGGATGAGGCTAGAACCCATAGTTTGTCTTTCAACAGCACGCTAACCGTCTTGTCAACTAGTCTAATACTTTTTCAATATTCCAGGCTTTTCAGCTTCGCCTGTTTTTTTTTGTTTTTTGTTTTTTTTTTTTAAAAAAAAAAAAAAAAAAAAAAAAAAAAAAAAAAAAAAAAAAGCACGTTCATGGTGTTTATTGATATTGCTTATAATTGATGCAATGCCCCCTGAGAGATGGTGATTCACCAAAGCTCACCAATTATCAGTATATTTTCGGTTCCATTCATCTTACACAACTTTCTCGCCGGGTCATCTCTCACCAAATCACCACGTGTTGCTTGGCAGTCGACATACATAGGTAGAATTTCCAGCTGCCAAGGCTATCCCTTGCACTTCTGGAGACCTGCATTTACCGCCCACCATTCGATATCAGTATTTTTTTCATTCTTTCTAAACTCGGCGTGTTACGCAACGTGGCTCTCGACTCTTTTCCAGAATATATCTTGATGGTTGGCCTGAATTCACCCCGTTACTACCTTTTGACTTCATGCTCCTCCCTTGTTGTCGAGTCATCTATTAGTTGACGGTCCTCTTCGAAATTTCCGAGGGTGGCCCTCAATGCAGGGGCCAATAAATGTCACTCTCGGCGCTTTGTTGGACGAAATAGATTAACCTACCGCTCAACAGGGCATAAGACGGATTTGATCAGCTCCCCACTGCTTTATCATGAGGTGGATAAAGATGATTTTAGTAGTTCGCTAACAGCAAAAATCCTTACGAACTTACCATCCACTTGTTGGAGACTTTGAAAGGACAACTTCAAGATGGAACGATTTTTTTTTAAATATGGTAAAGAAATCATTTTTACTAATTCGCGCTAAATACATCTAGAGACTTCTATTGGTCGTATTGCTCCCATTTTTCTGTCTAAATAGCATTCCCCGGCTTAGGCAGAGTTGTCAACCCGGATTTAAGCAGTATCCAGAACGACAACCTCGGCCTCGGCCTCACCAATGCTCTCAACGGCGAGCTTATCACCGGCGTTGACTCCATCAATGAAGGCACCATCACCCTCGTGAATCTCGGAATCCTCCCGGCCATCCAGACGGATCTTGGCCTTTCCTCCCTTGGTCATGGGCACATGCACATAGACCTTTCTCTTCGTTTGCTCAGTAGCGCCTCCGCCGACGGTCCACTCAAACTTCTTGCTTGGCTCGATGATACCAGCGGCCATGACAAAGTCGGCGTGAATGGGGATGGTGTCGGGGATGACAGGCTCAGCATCCTTCTCCTGTTGGGCTGTAGCTTCCTCGCCTCCCTTGAGAGGGCTCAGAATCTTGACAAAGTCTTGTCTCTTGGACTCATCGCTGAAGTGGCGGGTGTGATATCGGGGGGTAAGACCACGCTTCCAGGGGATGGCCCAGATCTGAAGAAAGTGGACTGTGTCTGACTTGTGTTCGTTGAATTCCGAGTGGGCAATGCCAGTTCCACCAGTGGTGAACTGGACATCTCCACGATGCATGCGGTAGAACTTGTCAGACTGTCCTCCCTCCTTGCCCTTGGTGAGCATTGAGTCTCGGTGTGTAAGCTCTCCTGAAAGGATATAGCTGAAGATCTCAAAGTCCCGGTGAGGGTGAGTAGGGAAACCTGAGTTGGCCTTTACTCGATCCTCGTTGAGGACACGAAGAGAGCCAAAGTGACTGAACCTCGGGTCATACCAGTCGGCGAAAGAAAAACTATGGTATGTGTTCAACCAGCCATGATCACTATGGCCTCTGCTGCTGGAGCGATGAGGAGTGATCTTTGCGTGACGGAGAGACTTGGACATGTTCTTTGCGGCGTTCATTTGACTTTGAGTAGTTGAAGTAATTGCTGCTGTTTTGTTTGTGAAAATGTTTGTTGTAAGTTGTTGAATGTGAGTGAAGTAGTTGTTTGGATAGATGATGATGAGGAGGATGGAAATTGTAGCGACGAAAATCGCAATCAAGGGACTGACGCGAAACATATATAGACGAAATCACCGAATTCACGAGAATGTGCCTGCATGAAAATAGATTCGATTGATGATGATTGAAAAACGCTGACAAGATATAGCTAAGTATGTTTTGCTGTGTAATTGACTTTGTAATGATTGCTCAGCGATTTGGTTCGTTGCTACGCAATAATGTGGGGTAAATAGAAAGATTTTGGTGATTATCTCAGGCTTACACAGACACTACTAATCTCACGTGACGTGACGTCTATCAGTTTTCGCCAATCGAGGTGAGCTTGACACACGCTACCACCCTCCCGAAGCTGACATTTGATGGAAACTCAATTGGAGGGGCAGTTGAATAGTCTTCGACTAAGTTCTCGAAATCAAAATCAATTCAGCCTTGAACTATGAATACGATATGCGACTTTTTTCTTACTAGACAGAGTAACAGGCTACAAGACACTCTGATGAATGTTGATTGGTGGTCCAAGTAGTTGATTGCCGATTGACTCCCTGATTTCTATTGCCAACCACCACTTCTCCATCTTAGGAGATACAACATTCATCCCTTCGGCATTATAACAAGCAGCCATTTATCTAGTCGCCAATCGGCGATTGTTCCAAGAATCTGGGTACGGTGTTCTTTCAGCTCCCTACCGAGTTAAGGATATCATCAGATTTTCTGCTCCCTGAGGGCTGCTTCTCCCAGGTTGGCTTGGTCACCATGACGCAGAGTACAAACAAATTTGTAGCTTAACCCCTTCCAACACCAGCCTCTTAGAGGGCGAGAGAGACAGGTCAAGGATCGAAAAGATGAATGATCCTAGTCTTTTAATTAATTTCGACTGTCAATGTTGCATGTGCCTTGCATGAGGAGGCAGGAAATGCGGCTCATGCCCTTGAAGTGGTTTAAGTGGATTGATGATGGTGGAGTTTGAGCCTCAGCTGTGTAAGCCTAGAGCTCAGCTTGCTTTTGTGTCATTGAAGGGTTTGGCATCAGTGACAGTTACATTTAACCACTCTAAGTCATCCTGCTCATCTAGTCAAGGTGTTCACGCCTCGGTCTTGCAATTATTGTTTTCTGTATCTCAAGTTACCTAGCATATCCAACTTTGAATACACTGCTGTTGTTACACCTATCTCGAATCTCTAATTATAGGATTTTACCACCACAGCCAAGAAGAGATAGAGTTTAATGAGACCTAGATCAGGAACACAATACACCTGAAACAACTGATCTGAATTTTGAGGATAAAGAGGCGGGTAATCGTAATTCTGGTACAAGCTGGGTTAGACGTCAAGCTGATTGTTCCAGATACCTAACTTTTGAGGTGGTTGGTGATGTCTCAAACCCCTGTCCATCGTGATAGGTAGTACAAACA